TTAACAGCATTAAAGAAGCCTTTATATTAATAACTTTTATATATATCATTAAAAATGCTTTCCCTAGTGATTTCCTTAACAGGAAATAGCTTCCCAACTTCTTAATATTACTACCCTTAATATTGCTAGCTAATAGTAGTAATTTAAATATACCTAATATTTCCTAGTTAATATAGGCATCCTTAGCTTTATTTAAGCTATTTAAAGCATTATTCTTATTAGGGATGGCTTTAAAGGTAACCTTCTTAACATTTTTAATAATATATTAAGCAGCATATTAAATAGCTATTTGCTTATCTTAAGAGGGCTTTAATTAGGCTGCTGGCTTTTATTTTACAACAGCAACAGCCTTTATCTTTATTATTAGCTTCTTTATACATAATAACGCTATTAATTAATTAATATATACCTTATTAATAAAGTAAATAACTTAGCATTATAAATAAATATATAATTATAATAGCTAAGCTTTTGCTTTTTAAGAGCTATTAAAATAAGTTACTTGCTAATTTAAGTAAGCTATAATTATTTTAAGCTAAGGTTAATAAAGTATATACCTCTTAATATAATAAACTTAAGTTAATTTTACTACTCTTAACCATTTTAAAGATATATATAAAATGAGGTTATAATAACCTTTCTTTTATTAAATTGGGTGCGTAATAATGTTAATAAGGGTGTTTATAAGGATCTTAGTGCGTATTTCGCGTTCATAGCTAAATTTTGATGCAGGGGGGGACAGCTGACCAAAACGACAGGGGGGGGGCATTACTTTGCTTGAGACAGACAGCACTTGGATCTGCTAGCTGTCACTAGCTGGCACCCTCGCAACGCTATGTGGCCAGCTATTTACACAGTATCTAGACGTAGCTGCATCCCAGTGTGCCTGCCACAAGCAATTTATTTAGTATTGTTTAATTGGAAGGAGTTCCCTTGCGATATGAACGCTCAGAAGGAAGCTACCTATGTACCTAGGTATTTAAGGGTGCCCCAGTAGCCTGTGCACACACACGATCGTGCGTTCCAGCAAAACCTTCCCCTCAGGCTGGCCAACAAACAATGACTAGAAAAGGCCAGGAACTCCACCGGTTCCCGCCCGGTGAACGGTGCGACGAATGCCGAGCGAAAAGATGGTATGCAGAAAGTGGGCTCCGATACTGTCAAAACGGCCATCGCATCGAGGTAGGGATGATCAAGGACACTATCACAGAGCTTGCCGAGCTTGCTGACACTGGGTTCCCAGGGCTACATCGAGTTCGACATCGACGAGGAGGACAATTTCGGACAGCAGGGCAAGATCGTGCGCAAGGAGCGAGCATCCAGAGAGAAAACTACGAAGCACCTCTCCGGCAATGCGGCGCGCGAGCTCTACCTGGAATGCCTCCAGCTCATCCTCCGTAAGCAGATCTGGTGGCTCGTCCACAGCAAGGGGCTCCCAGAAGATCTGGAGACCGTCGTCCGTGACCTCTGGGACCTGCGCATCCGGAACTTCGCCGGCCTCAGGAGCGCCGCAGACTCGACAGACGGCGAGTCCGGCCTGGAGTCTGGCGCCGACTCCGGGACGGAGCTGTTCAGCTCGCAGGCCGGCAGCGAGAGCGACGCGTCCACCGCCACGACGAGGACGACGGCCAGCCGCGGCAGGAGCTGGACGTCGGAGCCCGGGCAGAACTGGGACCTCCCGGCGCTCTCCCACTGTCTCGCGCTTTGCTACCTGGGGTGCCTGACTCTGAGCCTGCCGGTGCGCGTAGGGCAGGTCTACAACTGGGCCAAAGATGACCGCCTGCTCTTTCTCGGTGCATTTGATGCGCTTCCTTCGGAGATGACGGCCAGACTGCCTGGATCGTATCACAGGGCCCTCAAGGTTAAGAACACCTCGTTCCGTGGTGGAGAGCTGCACCAGGCGATTCTGGAGTTGGTTCTCAATTACCACTTGAATTACGAAATCGTGTTTCCCCCTCTGAACACGCCCCTGCTTTTACTGCATTATTTGCGAGAATTAGCACTACCACGTAAGTTCAGAGCCTCTCGCAACGCGTCCCTCACAGAGCTGACAACCTCTCAGCGGAAGTGTATGTCCATGTCCGAGCAATGGCGAGACTGCTAGGGTTGGAGCACACCTTCAACATGGGCAGGAAACGGTTCAAGCTGCTCGATCACCCAGACATTCTCCTCGTCGCCTGCATTGTGTTCTCAACAAAGCTCCTCTACCCATTCGACGGCGTGGAGCGACCTCCTGTCAGCTACCGGGATCCATCGTCCCTGCAGATCGACTGGGGAAAGTGGCGAGAGCTCATGAGGGACGCCGAATCCGAGGGCCTGGAAAGGCGCGAGATAAACCAGTTGCAGCCCGAAGACGCCTGGACCATGAGCGACAGGAAGATTGATGACTACCTGGACTGGTACGAGAAGACACAAGTCAAGCAGGGTATTGAGACGCAGGAGCTCACGGAGCTGTTCCCGCTGGCACACATGCGGCTTCAGAACCCCAGGCCTGAGCTGACGGAGGCTCAGATAGATGAGCGGCTCAGGACGGCTCAGAGTTACATAAGATCCGTTCCGCCAGAGAAGGGGAACTCGGTCAAGAGGGCCGGCGACGACCACGCTATCTACCGCACTGCTGAGGACCTGCCTGATCTTGCAAAGGCGTTCTACGGAAAGGCGGCGGAAATGTCCGGTCTGTCGCTCGGCAAGCTCGTCAAGGCTGTGCACGCCGTGGAGATGAGGGTCTATCGATGGAGTACCCAGGAGCACAAAGACGAGCTGAAGGCGGACGAGCCTGAGGGTTCTGGGTGATGAACTACCATCCGTAATGTACATGAATTACAATAGAGCAAGAAATCAGAGATTCACACCTGCAAAAACGGAGGGTACACCAATACACCGCCAGCACTAAACTACCTGGGTACGTGAGAATTCACATACCTAACACCCATGCCCAATTCACCTACCCAACACCTAATTTATAGGTTTTAGGTGTATGGGTGCTTGGTGTATGGGTGTATGTTTGCACAGCCATTGGAATCAAACCGTATGCTTTTCCTTGCAGGGAAAGTAAGGTTCGTCTCGTTACAACAGTAGTGAATACGCCAGCAGACTGGTCGACTGACTTGCCGTCCGCGGCCCGGCGTCACGTGCCACGGGTCCCACACAAGGGCAACTTGGAATTTTCAGTGGCCAGACTCCACCGTCTTTCCCGTCAGCCAGAGGAGGCACCCGACCTTTCAGGAACCGTCACCCTCCCAAACCACAGCAAACGCCAATCCCCCCCCCACGAGGACGAAGCATTCAAGAGTGAGTCTATGTCGCATCACTATTCCCCCTTGCGAGCTCGCATCTTTTGATCTTGTGGTGCTGACAGAAATGAACTCGCAGTGCAGATGTAAGCGCTCCCAATCGACCCGACGCGAGACTCGACCGACTTGCCGCCCGTACTGACCCGTCGACGAACAGCTTCGTGAAGACCCTGACGGGCAAGACTATCACCCTTGAGGTGGAGTCCTCCGACACCATCGACAACGTCAAGTCGAAGATCCAGGACAAGGAGGGAATTCCCCCAGACCAGCAGCGATTGATCTTCGCCGGCAAGCAGCTCGAGGATGGCCGCACCCTGTCCGACTACAACATCCAGAAGGTCAGTGGGAATGAACGCAACCTCGACAGTCCCAGCGAAAGACTCGGTTCCTCGCATCGGCGCACGATTCCTGGACGCCGTGCGAAGGCGAATACGAGAATATGAGCACGAAGGCTGACAACTCAATACAGGAGTCCACTCTCCACCTGGTCCTCCGTCTCCGTGGTGGTCTGATCGAGCCCTCCCTGAAGATCCTCGCCTCCAAGTTCAACTGCGACAAGATGATCTGCCGCAAGTGCTACGTACGTTATACCCACCGGTGTCCAGCATCGCTGCGCCACAAAGACTGACACCAGGCTTAGGCTCGTCTCCCTCCCCGTGCCACCAACTGCAGGAAGCGAAAGTGCGGACACACCAACCAGCTGCGTCCCAAGAAGAAGCTCAAGGTTTGTCTACCGCATCCTTGCTGGTCATCACGAGCACGAAAACATACTGACACGCCACTAGTAAACGATTCTCATGTCTGGCGTCTGGGCGGTTCTGGTATCACGAGTGGGTTGGCAAGGGAAAGCAATGGTGCAAGCATTCTCTTGCGTTCTTACGTAGCACATCAATAGAGATTCGTGCTTATCGGAATCAATGGGATGAACATACACAGCAACGACTTGATTGGTGTGAATTGATGGTAGAAGTGTGAAGACGGCCAAAGAAGACCGGATCCACAAGGTGGCCAGCATAGGGCGCGACGTTCTGGACCGTGAGAAGGGTCCAGACGGCAGTCCACTGAGCCGTTGCCATTCGACATAAACGTCTTGCTCGAGGAGATTCGAGGCATGTGCTGGTGTTTGTGAGTATATCGAAAGGATTTATGCAATACCCACCTGCGTACAGCATTGCACCTTGGAGGCTACGTACCTTCATGTTGGTGAGAAGGGTAATAAGGTGGTGGACTGGCGGCCCATTTCATCAGCGAATCGTACGTGACGAGATGCTTCTTTGGGGGACTCGGATTCTCATAGCTCGGACACATGCAGTGTAAAAACTATTGATACAGCGACCTACTTGCGAAACATTCTGTATTTTCTTCTTCCTGTCATGTATTCCGTAACAACTTCTAAGGTACGGTTCTAAGAGCGAGAGTATGCCACTCATTCATGTAAAACCCGCTGGTTGAGTGAGGGTCCTGTGGCATGCCGGAAGGTACGTACCTCTCTCGGCTCACATCCTTGTCGCAATTAACCTCCAACCTGCAAGCTGTCGACAGCTGCAGAAGGGAGCTCAACTTCACTTTTTGTACAATCTCCCAGACCTTGCAACAACACCTTTCAATAACGCAGATCCATACCCTCAGACTTGCATATGATACCCTCTTGTCCGCCAAATATCTAAACGTCGATATCAAAGGAGCATCCAGCAGCGATAGCGCAAGATGTCAGGAGGAGCTGGCTACGATGCTGTGGTAGACGTGGACGACGAGGTAAAAGCCACCCAACCCACGGGAAACACACCCGCGCGGACACGCAACCCCGTTCTAACAGAAGCTTCCGCCCAGGGCGACCTCGGCCACACCGACCTCCAGGACGACCTCGAATTCCACAACTCCAACTTCTCCGAGTCGACGCCCGCGATCCGCAAGGCGCCCGGGTCCTCGGGCCTGCCGCTGCCGGCGACGGCCTCGTCCTCGGGCAAGCGCTACCTGTGGTCCATGTCCTTCTACGCGCAGTTCTTTGACGTCGACACGTCCGCCGTCCTGCAGAGATGCTGGGCGGCGCTGTTCCCGCGCGCCAACTTCCTCGACGTGCTCGAGGGCAACCCGGACCTCTACGGCCCGTTCTGGATAGCCACCACGGTGGTCTTCATCCTGTTCCTGGGGGGCACCATAAGCAAGTACCTCGCCACGACGGGCCAGGAGCCGTTCGTGTATGACTTCAAGCTCCTCAGCGGTATGTTCCCATCGCAACCCATCCCACCCATGCATTGTCGATGAGGGAAGTGTCCGCCTGCTTACATCGTGTTGCACCCAGGCGCCGCCGGCCTCATCTACGGCTACACCCTCTTCATCCCCGTGGCTCTGTACCTCGCGCTCCGGTACTTCGGCTCCGAGTCCGCGAACCTGCTCGAGTGCTGGGCTCTGTACGGCTACTCCAACCTCATCTGGGTGCCCGTCGCCCTGATCAGCTGGAGCCAGATCAGCATCCTCAACTGGGTCTTCGTCGGCGTCGGGTTCGGCCTGTCCGTGGCCTTCCTCCTGCGCAACCTGTACCCGGTCCTGAGCGCCACCGACAAGCAGACGAGCAAGGTCCTGCTCGTCCTGGTCCTGGTCCTGCACCTAGCCCTGGCCGTCGCCATCAAGATGCTGTTCTTTGCGCACGGCAGCCTGATACAGAATGAGCAGCCGGGAAGCGGCGTCGGAGGTGGCGGTGATGAAGGAAAGGCACCCGAGCAGCCACCGCCGCCACCGCCGGCGTTCTAGGTTGTATAACGGGCATTGTCGAAGGGGGCTTCCACGTTAAGTATGCATGGAGCTGCGGACTTGGGCGCGTTAATGATTGCATGTACACTATGCCGCTCAGACGGGTGGTCTGTTTTGCTGGCCCGGGGAAGGCATATATCAGGGGAACATCCATTTTCACAGTTACAAGTCCAGAATAGCATTGCTGCCATGCTCTCCAGCAAAACATTTTGCCCGTATGACCATATGAACGTATCTCTCTCCTGCAGCCGTACAAAGCCCAAACCTCGAACATCACCTCTCCACCTTGCCTCCCTTCTCAGCCCAGTCCAGCCAGCTGCCCGGGTACTCGCCCACCCTGGACCATCCCGCGTCCTTGGCCAGCCCAGCCGCGGCGCGGCTGCGCACGCCGGCCTTGCAGTAGAAGACGACCTCCTGGTCCTTGGCCGGCCGCGGGTACCCGAAGCGATCCTCGAAATCCTCCTCGGTGATGTGGAAGCTGTCGGGCTGCGACGTCACGGGGATGTTGACCGCGCCCGGCACGTGGCCGGTCGACTTGAGCTCGCCTGGCTCCCGGACATCTGTGGGGGGTTGACGGCGCTTGGGTCAGCTGGGCGTGTTCACTTTCGTTCTCTCCTCCTTTTCTTTATACGCCTGTGTGTATGTATGGAGTGAAAACGAGGGGAGGGGGGTTTATTTTCGGCCTGAAGGGGACGGAAGGGAGGGGGTTTGTGTCGTACCGACTACTACAACGTTGGGTTTCGGGTCTTGGGCGAGTTTTTGGATCTGTGTACCGGGAATATTAACTCGTCAGCCATTCTGTCCGTCTGTGTGTTTGACCGTGTTGCCTTCCGCCCCTCCCTCAGTGCCTGTCTGCCGGTCTTGTCTCCATTGTAGCCCGGGTTGGCGGGGTGGGGAGGAGGGGGTTTGAGGGGCCAATGCGCAACGTACATCCTCAAAACTCCATATCTTGCTCTCCCCGGGTTGCTGCTGGGAGTACCTGCGGATGCCAGAGGGAAAGGCTGCCGCGGCATGTCGTAGGGCCGGGGCCGACTGCCTGACAGCTAGCGGCGCGGTGCTGTGGAGGATGAGGGACCTGGAGCTAGCCACGCCGGTCCGGTAGGCGCCCAGGCGCAGGGTGTTTGCAGCGGTCTGCAGGGTCTGCGGCGATGCCATCTCTGCAGGATGGATCAAACAAGTGCCGAATGCAGGTGGGGTGGTTTGGGAGAGGTTGCGTTGGCTGGTCTTGCGGGAAGTGGGTTTCGACGGCAATTGAGCTCCTCGGGAAAGCTCACTCGGAGACGGCGGCCGGTTGCTCCCCCGCTGATGTCACCTGCGGGCATAGGCTTCGCAAAGGTTCGGGAGGTCCAGGGGTCGTGTTCATGTGTTTTCTGGTTGGAAGGGGCCCTGGATCTTGCGCAGATCTCTGTCTGGCATCCCAACCATTTGACAGCTCGAGTGTGACGGGTCGTGCCGCCGTGGTTGAACTCTAAGTCGGCCAATCGCCCTTGAAACGACGGCCAAGCTTCCCACGACGGATTGGTTCAGATAGAGTTTACAAGATCAGACAATGTTGCTTCCATCGTGATTCCACCGTAATGTAGTACCCGTCACAATCGCAAGGGTGTCACCCATGGGTCCGAGGACAACGACTGTAGTTAAAAGATTTACTTCTCATTGTAGCGACGCCTCGTGAGAAGTTCGCGTCGCAAAGGTGTGAGTTGTAGGTGTGAGTTCTCTACCGCTCTGCTCTGGGTGGAAGCGGTGCTTCATGACACCCGAGCCACTGACCTGTTCCTCTGGAGCTCAGTGGCTAAGAATTATGTACGGTATTAAAAGTTATTAAGCTGTGTCGTAACACGTCTAAAACCATGCGGTCACGCTGATAGGTCCGTTATACCAGCCGTGTCGTGCTCGCTCCTAGATTGCTCTGCATCTTCTACCAAATCCCCTCTACCACTTCCGGTCCTCAAAGGTCAAGGGACAGTCGTCCTGGGTTCTGTTAGCATGCGTCATTCATGAGGTTGGGGGACGACAGCGCGAGGTGGGCTTACCATTGGGAAGATGGTGGCAAACACCTTAATCTCCTCCGACTTTGATGTCGGGTGGTGCGTCCAGTCCATCAGGAGTGAGGCCTTGCCGATCATCAGGGCAAGGTTGAACATGGCGTAGTGCTGTCCAAGGCAGTAGTGAGGACCAGTGCCGAAAACCAGCCAGTTCTTTGCGCCCTTCTCCTCGGCATCGCCTGTGTAGTACCGCTCGGGGTTGAACTCGTCCGGGTTTTCGTACACTTCAGGGTCCCGTAGTGAGAGGTATGTCGAGGGGATGACCATGGCGCCCTTGGGAACAGTGTAGGTGTCGGTGATGGGGAATGCCTTCTTTGCAAGGTAAGGCACCATCAGCACAGGGGGCCGGTACCGCAGCAGCTCACGGACCACGGCGCGGGTGTACTTCATCGATTCGAGCTGGTCCAAGGTCAGGGCTGCGTTGATGTCACCGTTGCGGGTCTGGAGGTTTTCCTCTCTGACTCGGTCGAGGATGTCGGGCCGCTGGGCCATGATCTGAAACAGCCACGTAGCAGCGCTGCTGGTGGCATCTTGGGATGCGAAGAGGAAGGTGAAGACGGTTTGGGCGATCTCGTAGTCGGAGAATTCTCGCAGCAAAGGTGTTGGCTTCTCAGTCTTCTCACCCCTGGCCTCGGCCTCACGCCATCTGCGGGAGTCCACCATGCTCTTGACCCAGCCGTCCATGATGCAGGAGACTTCGCCTCCGGCGTTCATGCGGACCTTGCTCTTGGCAGCCGCCTTTGAAAATTCTGCAAGCACCATGTCTGCGGCCTTTTTACCGTACCAAGTCTTGCTATAGGGGATGATGAAGGGGAAATTGACCAGTTCCAAGGCCTCGGTAATCAGGTAGTAATCGTCCGCAATCCTCTTGACGCCCTCGTCAGACACGTAATGTCCGCAGAAAGTTCGCAGAGACACGGCAGTGATGATCTCTCGGAACTCAGACATCCAAGGCACGGGCTTGCTACCAGCATCCTTGGTGAGCTGAACCCACTTCTTGAAGTAGCGGTTGTACACGTCTTCTTGGCCGGGGAGGTAGCACTCCAGAGCCTGGCGCGTGAACAGTCCATTCAGGCCCTTGCGGAAGTCGACGTGAGGCTTGCCGTCCAGGAACACCCAGTTGTCAGCTCCGAGGAGCTTAGGGGCGACATCGACAACGCATGGCTTGACAAAGGTTGGAGAGTTGAAAACCTTGCGGGACATATCTCGAGTGGAAGCAATGATGACGAACCTTGATACAAAGAGCGTTAGCCCTTGTGAAATACTCGAACAGTCTCAGGGCGTGTGGGGAACACTTACTTGTGGAAGATAGAAACGCAGCTGAGTTCGCCGCTCAGCCATTTTCCGTAGTATTCTGAAAATTTGGGGTTCATGGACTGCAAGAAGGGTCCAATAAAGGGAGCCTTCCAAGATGGGCCAACGATTGAGCCCTTCTGGCGGATATAGCTGACTGCAAGCATGGAAATTAGCTGCTGAACTCTGTTCTGAGGCTCTTCGTCTTGTCGTGGCCGTTTTCCACGTTTCCCCTCGCCCCCTCTTCACTTTTTTCTTGGCTTTCCCGCTCATATTCACTCCTCTTTCGTTGCAATCGATCCTGGGTGATAACATACTTTGATCATAGGCGACTGCGAGAGCCACAGCGGTCCACAAGACCGTCCACAGGCTGGCATGAGAGATTGCGTCAACAACATATTCGAGCTGAAGTGGTATGTTGATGTTGCCGTTCTGTGGACTCGCCAGCGGCGAGGTGAAGCTGGTGGAGTTCGTGTCCATGCCGGGCACACCCAGTTTGCTGCAAGGGGGTTGAGATGCGGAGAAAGCTGTGCCTGTTCGGATTGGAGATTTGCCTTTTGCGTCTGTCCAACAAACAACAAAGGCAAACAAGACCGAAGAGGGAAAAAAAGATTGAAGCTCGGAGCTCCCTGGCAAGCTGTCGTTGGGCGCGCAGCTCGCAAGGTCGGCTTTGCGATCTGATCCTTTTTCTCTTCCCTCTTTTGAAGGCGCTGCCTCTGGATTGTTGGGGCCGTCGAGGTGTTGGGCCGACTACTGCGCGTTGGAAGGCGGGAGACGAGGGAAATGCAGAAGAAGATGGCAGGCGCGAGATGGACCCTGGGGCAGTCTCTGTAATTAATAATGACAACCAAATTCCAAAGCAGGGCCAGGGCGAGCAAAGCAAGGGTCGACTGGGTAAGAGGAGCTGGTCTTTTGCTGGGTCTTCTGGAGATAAAAAGTGCGGGAACAGGAGATTACACTACCAATGGGAATTCCCACCGTCGGATGCGACAATTGCGATTCAACTGTGCAGGTGCAGGGGTCGTTGTTGCCGGCTAGCGCGTGCCCGGTCTGCTTCTTGCTACCTGCTTCTTGCCTCAAGGTTCTTACTTAGTCGTGTCTCTATTGGGGGCAGTCTGGTGTGTGCAGAGTGGTGCCGTGCCCGACTTCACTTCCATGTCCCTATAGCACGCAGCACATTGTGACATCTCGGCCAGCTGGTCTGGGCCACCCTACCCAGGTACCGTCCGATGATTAGCACATTAACCCCCTGGGCAAGGTACCTTCCCGTCCAGGCAGTGGTAGGCGGGCTGGGAGGTACTGCAGGCCCTCGAGCTGGGTACCTTGGGGACCAAGGTGATGTCCATAGCCGATCAGTTCCTGGTGGGGAGCTATGGCCAATGGCAGCTACCAATTCCCCTCCCCACCCCGTAAGCGTAGCCGGACGGGCTGGACGGGTAAGCCAGACCCGCGTCAGGCCATGGCAGGTCATGGGAGGCATAGGTTTTGAGGAAGGGAGGGTCGTTGTCTCCCGGATGTCGTCCCACAAGGTTGTGCTACTCTACTACTGTTCCAGATCATCCTGCCGACTTGCGAGAGGTTATCCCACAGATTATCCCACAGATCCCACAGCAGGTCGTCCCACAGGCGATTCTTGCACCTTTCCTTGTGCCAGGAGGGCCTAGGCACGCCGGGGTACATTACTGCAGTCACCGTCTCAAACTTGTCCGAGTCTCTCTCTCTCTCCGCCAGTGATCGTCTATCATATCAACGCAGTCACATCACACACGCCTCCACACACACCCTATCGCAAATTGGGTTAATCCCATGTTGTAGAACCAACCTCTCCAGGTCCCAAAGCAGAGGCCGAAGATCTCTCCGCGCTGACACAGGTCCACAACATGTCATCTCCATCATGTTGTGATCCGCCGTGCGGAAATGGATACTGTACCCAGCCAGTCTAGCCAACCCAACCAGTCCCAGGTCTTCCGTCCACACACGCCGGTCACTGTTGCTGTGCCGCGACAATGCATTCGGGCTCCCAGGGTCGTCAGGGGCGCCAGTTGACGTAACTTATGGCCCCGCCCGATACAACCCTTGTCACACATTCTGGGCATCCTGCTACGTATAATATGCGACAGGCGACAACACATCGTATGGTTGCGCATCCCTCGTTCCTCTAGGCTCGACGATGTGGTTACATGCTGGGCTGAGGTGTGGATCCCCACTCGTTCTCGAAATCTGAAGAAGCTCGCACTTCGTTCGCCGGTATTGCCTTCTGGCCCAGCAGCCCGGGACCATCTGGGACGACCCTGGATGCGTCGCAACATTATCTCGAATACGCCGCCATGTCATTGGTCAATCGCACAGCTCGAGATCCGGATACGAGTACGAATAAGGCCGTTTGCAATCACGTCGTCCACGGAAACATCCTCAAGCCACAGGGCCGACTGCGCGCTCGACATCGCGACGCGAGAACATACCAGGTAGTGTGAATGCAGCTGGTCATCTCCCTTCCAATAGGACCCGCCACCACGATATTGCACACCCGAGCTAGTGGACTCGACCATACGCAAACTAGAAGCCCAATACGATCTCCGCAGGTCCCGTACGATGCCCGTCACATGCATCGACTCTGCGCCCTTTGTTGCTGCTCCGAGGCCGACGTTCGGGCCCAGGCAATCCCGACTGTGCGGGCAGAGGTGTCCGCTAACCTCCGTCCCCCCTGCCTGCACACCCTCGGGAGCGGCCATTCGGTGCCTTCGTTTCAAAACAGTCCACATCTCAAGTGACAAGTTTGTGAACTAATAAACTAGGATGGTTGTTTTTTTTTTGTTTTTTTTTTTTTCCAAGGCAACTGTTGCGGTCACAGGGGACACCGTAAAATATGGGTACCTGATACTCTTCCTGAAGGGGACGCCAACAAGCCGCAGCGCCAGCCGCTATCCGAGTTTTATGTGAGACTGTCAGCGGGATTTCGAAAACTTTTTGCATGCCTGATCAAGTTTCATGACTAATTCCGCCGAGTATTGACAACCTGTGCGTCTTGCCGACTTTGTTATATACACTCATTCATTCGCTCCGTGCCCTCTGCCCTCAGCCTCATCAGCAGAGCAAGTCATGCTTGTGTTTAAATTTGTGAACGCACGAACAGGGGCGAGGCCATGCTATCTTATCCTATCAGACGACGGTTCAACTGATTCGACAATGTCCGTGAATGTTTGCCTCGCTCTACCTTGGCCATGTCTCAAGCGTTGAGCTTAATCTAAGTCAAGCGGATGGCAAGTAGAGAGTCATGGACTCTTCTACGTCATTGAACCCTGCGCACATGATGCCACTATAAGTCAACCAATTGACTAGCAAATCATTAGAGAAACGGCCATCCTTGTCAGAAGTATACGCAGTAAGAGCAACCAGTGTTCAGACCATCTGTCCAAAACCAAAGATAGACTAGTATGGCGCGCCCGAGGCCATTGTGGCATCGCAGGAAATCTTTGGGCTGACGAAAACTGTTCAAACTAATAGTGTAGTTAGTTCCCTCGAGAACAGTGCTTGCGCTTGACGATTTCAAGTCCGGTTGTGCATCGTGCAGACGCCATGGACGCGCACCTACTTGCCAGGTAGATGGAGCTTGGGTTCCCTTCGCTGAGGTTCATCCCAAGGTAGATATTGCCGAGCGAATGCCTTTTAAAGACAGCTTTTGTGAGCGCATTATGGTTATTTTCATGCCATATACAGATATATATGTGTACTTTTCCCATTGCGTTCCACTGCAGTCGAGGCTCAAACTGATTTCCCCAGGGTTCTAAAGATCCACGACCGGTATATCAACTCAGTGTCTACGCTGTCAGCGGTTGTTTTCAAAACCTACCCTATCAAGTCCATGAAAAAGAGTTGGACAAGGCCGTTCACCTCGAAATATGGTGTATACTTATACAGCAAAGCATTATAGCATCAACCCTGCTTTTCGTTGCCCTTCTCATGATTGAAAAATCTTCTCTTTGAATCTTGATTTAGACTCAAGACCTTGAGCTGTTCCTATAAGCAACACTCGTCACTACGGACAAGCGACAGTCCGCTAAGATTATGTGAGTAACACTCATGCCTATATGATTATTTTGCAAATTAAATTCTACGAGCCATGATGTAAACGTCCGGAATATGTAAGTCATCAGGATCCCTCTCCGGCACATATTCTCGCGTCTTGTTAGGATTTCAAGATCGGACAGCGGAACCACTCATTCTAATCTCTTACTGATTTGTGAGATACAAGAGGAGACATTCCCTTAATGATGGGGACCTTTCCAACACATTCTTCAAGTCCGTTCTCGTAATAGTCGCGCACCCTCTATGCCCCAAATTAGGAAGGCCAGGCAAGACATTTTGGATATGTCATACTGAGAGACTAGGTAATGGCAGTATTCATTTCAGTTGAGACTTCATGGACTCTCAAGCTACAACAGGCTATCTTGAAGCCCATTTAGAAAGTGTCGTCCGAGATGTTTGCATTCATCTTGACGATCGTTGGGCTGTATTCAGACGAGTCCTCAGGTTCCATGCCGGCCGTCAAAAGTATGTCATCAACAATCCGCTTGCTTGCCTCTCGAGCTATACGAGCAGTTAGATAAGAGTTGACCAGTGGCGGTTGGGGCGAGGGGTGGCTGTGGGTTGAGCTACTTACCTGGGGTCTGGAGCAGCTTCGAAGGGGGCAGCGCGAACTGGATCGTCTTGGGCGGACTCATCCCGCCATAGAGGCCGTCGTCATCCTCGTCGTCGCTCTCCCACGTGATCTCGTCCTTCTGCCGGCCCCTCTTGCCCTCGTCCACATAGACGTCCTTGGTCTTCTTCGCGGTTGCAGGCGTCTGGACACTGACGCCGGGGGTCCGCGGGGCACCAGACGCACCACTAGGACGCCTGACACGCGCGCCGCCCCCGCCGCCGTACTTCACCGGGGACATGAACGCAGCGCTTCGGAGCGTCGGGATGGCCATCTCGGGGGAGGACTGTGGGGAGTTGTCCTGCCATGCTGGCTGCTTGCCCTTGTCCCCACCCTGAAGCTGGAGCTTCTCGGTGACCTTCCACTTGATGGGCGAGACGCCCGTGGGCTTGTGTGGGGTTGCTTGGATGCGGTAGTTCTTGTCCATGACCCGGTGGAGCAGAGGGTCCTTGTTCTTGTGCGCAGTGGAGAAGATGTCGTCCTGTGTACCCTCGTCCGCACCAAGTGATGACCGTGGGGTCATGGACATGTCAGGCAGTCTGGTGGTGTGTTGGTGAGGTAAGATGTCGGTATCGGAGTCATCACCCGAGGCATGGTTATCTTCACCCCTCATCTCACGCTTCAGCTCCTCGTAAGGTGAGCCAAGCTTGGCGAACTGTGGCCGTGACTTGCTTGCCGGTGCTCGAGGCGTGCTCCCGGTAAGATCCCCGTCCCCGCCATCGAGCAGTGAGTCGTCCTGTGCTTGGTATGAGGCATCCTGATGGGGATCTCCGCCTTCCGGGCGCGGCGTGTAATCCGCTGTCGTCTCACCATGCTCTGTCGTCTCATCGTGGGCCGTCGTGTCCTCGTCGGCAGCTAGCTCCTCATACCCCGACAACGACACGTTTGCGGATGCCTCGAAGAACTGCTTCCAGAACTTCGACGCCTCCCACACGGCCTTTGAGTGCTCTCCATACTGCTCCACCAGGGGCAGGATGCTCGTGGTGACTATGCGATGCGCCCTGCTGAAGTTCGAGTCGATCTCTGTGCTGTGTTAGTGCACTCCAAAATGACCTGTTCGCATCCAGGATTTACCTACCTTGCAGAGTGAGTGTGATGGATTGCTCTAGCCTTTCCAGCTCCTCGGTGAGGGTCAGATTCCTAGCTGCTGAAGATCCTGCCCGAGACATCTTGGTTTGGCTATGGGCTTGACGGGCCTCAAGATTGGGTTTAAGTCGCGTCTGTCGTTGAACTTGACGCGTTGCGGGGCAGAACGTTGATGCTTGGTGGGGGTGTTGCTTTGCAGGGATCCGTAAATGAGCAGGCACAGAGCGAACGCATGTACCGCCAAAGTACCCACGCAATGATTACCCAGCTGCAGGTGGCTTTAAAATAGCCGGCGGGCAACGGTCTCGCGGCTTCGCTTTTCTCATATTCATTCATTATTCATAGTAATACAGGGTATATCCAACATGCAAGCACTTTTTGTCCCCGTTCCAGCTACTCCTAATCCATAATGGGCCAGAATATGTGCCGAAGTCTCTATCCTGACTGCCCAAGCGAGTGCCTCTTCGCCTTCCTCCGGTCACTATGAGAGGAGAAGCTCCACCACCAAGAGTCTGCTGGTCTTCTGCTCTTTAACCGCCCCGTCGACCGCGACCTCCCCTCCCACGACCTCGACCTCGCTTCCTTCCCCTCCCTGGCCCTCCTCTTGTGGGCCTCGCCGCTGGAGCTTCCTCTTCTTGCTGCTCCTCTGCCTCCTGCTCCTCCTCGTGTTCTTCTTCTTGCTCTTCCTCGCTTTCCTCGTCGGAGGAGGACTCCCCCTGCTCATGGGACTCTCCATCTCCATCTCCGCCCTCTTCATCATCGCCGCCTTCTTCTTCCTCGTGTTCCGCAGCCTTGGCCTTGGCCTTCGAGGCTGCCCGTTTGGAGCTGCGCGTGCTGCGTGCGCTCCGTGCCGACTTCACTGCTGGACTAGACTGGGCCTCTTCAACGTCTCCATCGTCCTCGGCCTCCGAGTCTTCGACCGTGCTGGAGCGACCCTTGGGCCCTTCCCCGGCGCCACCGCGCTTTCGCTTTCGCGTCGAGGCAGGCGATTTTTCTGCTGTTGATGGCGACGATGGCGCCTCGCTGGGATCTGCCAGTGCTCGCTGCATTATCAGGTCGCCGTAGTCCTCCCACGGAAGATCGAAGTCCTTAAATCGATCGTCGAAATTGGGGTCCTCCAACAAGTCCATGTTATTCTCCCGCTCGTCTATCAAGGGCATGTTGTAGAACTCGTCAAGCTTCTTCCAGATCCCCGGTATGCGGATGTGGGTGTAGACAGCGGGGTCGTAGCCATTCGTTCGCAGGTGTTCGGATATGGCGAGCATTCGAAAGTGTTTGTGCATTCCTGATTGTGACGAGGTTAGCAGCTGTCCGACGCTTCGACCGTTTTGGGTGAGGTTATCGCGCGCGCACCCGCTGGCTTCCAACGCACCACTGCCTTGAACAGCATGGAGACCTGATCATCAGTCCACGGTGAGGCTAGATCGACCGTATGTGCTAAATTGGCGGTAGCTGCAGTTGGAGTGTCCGCCGCCTGTGGGGTGTCGACGTCCATCGCGTCATCATTGCTCACGGGCGTGGCCGTTGTCGACGCGCGAGCCTTCTTTTTCGGAGGCATGGTGCTTGCTCAGGTGTCTGAAGAGCTGTCGCAACGAGAATGTCGGCCTTTGGGATTGAAGCAGTCGATCTGAAACCACCTAGGTAGTAAAGGCACAGTCCAGACTGCAATTGACCACTCGGCAAGGGCGAAAACCCAAGGGACCGGTTGATTTGATGTGATGAATGAGTGAATGCAGCAAGCTAAGTAAATACAAATCTACTTGGGAGCTCTCTGGACGCCCGCACCTGGACTAGGGTAGGTACATTGCTGGTACACCCGGGTGAAGGGTTAGGGCAACAACAGTCTACGCGCTTCAGCAGCGATGTTCAACGTCTTTAGCATACTCACTCATCTCAGAGCAGTGGGCAACTCATGTAAAACTATCTATTACTTTAGAGAGCTGCATCAAGCAGTCATGCCTGATTTTTGACAAGCCTCCCCTCTCATAACTCATTCGACAGGGAAGCTGCCCAAATCATGGCGTCCTTCGCAACGGAGGATGAGAGTGTCGCCGACCTCTTCGTCCAGCCAAACTTCTGGAAGTCGTCTATGCTGCTAGACTCACCTACGCCCATCGCGAAGGATTTCTTTGATCTTTCCGACACAAGTGAGTGGCTAAGATTGCTTGCATTTGAAACAGATCCTAACTCGTCACTAGCCAGAGTTAATCCCATTGTGAGCGATGTACTGGGCCTTCCGGATGATGGATATTTCAAGCTTCCCCCAGATCTCAACACTGCGTCCACGCCTGAAGATACAGCGGACGAAGAGGCAGGAAACACCAACAATGAGCCTTTGAAAAGCCCAGGCCCGGACTCCGATGTGGACCCGTGGATGTTCCCTCAAGATGCTACCCAAAAGGCTGCGGATCTCAAGACGTGGGATGGCTTCGATATCCCTGAGGCGCATCTCAAGCCGACAGCTTTCATCACAGAAGCTGGTACGGATCCGTACGATTCCTTCCTGGCGGAGGAAAGCAATCCATGTGGTGTCCCGTCTCATGGATCTTATGAGACGCTGGACCCAAACGCTTATTCTGCCTGTCTCCTGCCGATGTCACTTGGCCGTGACTCGGTTTTATTCTCATGGAATTCAGAAAAGAAGACCTTTCAGCCTTCCCTACCTTTGACCAAAGTCCCCGGCTACTCCGGAGAATCTCTCTCTGCCATACTGCCGCTTTGCACTTCCTGTGGCCAAGCTCATCGCCGTCTACGCTCGTTCATAAACAAAACTTACTCGTCGAGTGCAAGCCCGCCCCGAGTTGCACTTGCCAACGCCCTAGACAGCTTGCTCCTCGTCATCCAGGATGAGCTTGGACGCCGTTGCTTGAGGACTGCCTCAATTCTCCAATTGCAATCACTTGTTCGCCCAGTGTTTCGCCTGCTATCATATTACTACAGGCTCATCATCAAGATCAAGAGGACGACGAGTGACGCAGATCTACTGTCTCTAATTTACAATGAGGCCCAGTCTGCAGAGATAAGTGAGCCAGTCCTGAGAGACACTATGGGTCAGATCCTTCGAATCGTCTCGACGCCATGGACTGAATTTGTTGAAGAATGGATTGGGCTGAAGCCGGAAGAGGGCACGCGGATCAACAAATCTGGCCCGGGAAAAGCCTTCGTCAAAGTTGAAAACAACATGTGGATAGACGACCAAGGATTCGAGCTGGAAGAACCCGATTATTTCTTGGACTCGGACAACATGCCTAGTTTCATCCCTGATGATGTTGCTCAGGTGATTTTCGAGACTGGGCGGAACCTTCGCTTTCTACAGGAGAGCCACCCTCAGCATCCGATGGCGTCAATCGATGGCGTCAGCTCAGCCACTGTGCCGAGACTTGAATGGCAGTATGACTGGGAGTCCATCACGAGGGTCGAAGAAAAGGCGCTTGAATATCAACGTGCCGTGCTAGAGCTGCTCCAGCAGACGCGAGATAGCAGTGGAAGCACTGCACAACAGCCACACAACAGTGTTATGGTCCATGATGACAAGCTGCTCCAAGTCTTTGGCAAAGATGAGCAGGATCTTCAACAAACTGTGCTGGCCTCGATTGCGAGCTTAGATCGACCGATCGAGAGGAAGGAGACATGGAACCAATTATCCGAAATTCTCAGAGGGAATCTGTTTGACAGCCAAGGGCAGCAAGCATCCACCACAGTTGCTGAGTTCAGCCCTCACTGGTCGCTACTGCCGTTACTATCCTTCGGACCGATGGTGTACGCTCAAGCTCGTCTAATCAATCGCGAATGCCTGCGGTTGTTGTTTAGTGAACATGGCTTGCGGAAGCATCTCGCACTCCAGAGGGCGTTCCAACTCTTTGGCAACGGCATGTTCTCAAGCCGTTTGACGAACGCGCTGTTCAATTCTGATATGGAGACGACTGAGAGACGGTCGGGCATTTCCAGATCTGGCGTCACCATGGGCCTACGCCTGTCGAGTCGTGAGAATTGGCCACCGGCAAGCTCAGAGCTGCGGCTTGCGCTCATGGGCGTGCTCACAGAAAGTTACCAGCAAGAGACCGGCACCGATAACAACGGGCTACCCGGGGACCTCAGCTTCGCCATCCGGGAGCTGTCGACTGAGGAGATGGAGAGATGCATGGATCAGGGGTCCCTCGAGGCCCTCGACTTCCTGCGGATGTCTTACAAGCCTCCGCAGGCGCTGGCCCCAGTCATTACGCCGGCGTCACTTGTAAAGTATGATCGGATCTTCAAGCTCATGCTTCGCGTCTTGCGCATGCTGTTTGTGGTGGACCAGCTCTTCCGCGACATTGCCCTAAAGACATCACACTGGGCAAACCTCGACGATGTGTGTGTGCGCTTCCGCGTGGAAGCCCACCACTTTGTCACAAATCTTGCCCGCTACTTCTTCGACACAGGCATCGACCAGCCATGGCGCCGTTTTCAGACGTGGCTGGACAAGATTGAGAAGGGGCTCCAGGACAGCGGTCTTGACAAGAACTCCGCAATCGTGAGCCCAAAGAGGCTTGGAGAGGAGCACGAGCGGACCCTCGACGATATAGCCCAAGCGCTCCTCCTGAGGAAGCGGCAGCAACCAGTCCTCAAACTACTGGAGGAGATTTTTACGCAAATCCTGCGATTTGCCAGACAATCACGGCTACGTGCACCCAGCGACGATGACTCGGTCGAAATCAAGAAGCTGTACAAGGCCTTCCGCGAGAAGGTTGAGATCTTCATTACTGTATGTAGAGGCATGGGCGAGAAGGCTGGGTCGAGGAATGACAGGGAGTCCAGTGGGCGCTCGCAGGAGAGCGCACTTGCGATGCTCGTGCTCATGCTCGACATGTCGAACTATTACACGAAGCGCTAGGTTGAGCAATCGAAATGGGGATATCTACTGTCAGGACGAAATAGATTCGACGACGACAGCAAATATAGAATAATGCATGTCTTTTGGCAAATATGGCGTCGCCTTCTGAGCCCGACAGCAACCACCAGACTCGCCAAACCCCTGAGACACAACAGCGCATCATGAAACACTGAGAATTGTGGCCTTGCGCTGCACCACAACGAAACACGAGTACATATTTGATGCCAAGAACTTCACGTATCTGTTCCTTTTTATGGCAGCAGATCGTTCGCCTCGTCGAATGAATTAAGGACGGGAGGTTACAGCTCAGGTTCGAGGCTTGCAGCTCGCTGATACCCCAGACCTTGCAGTGCAAACCCCTAGGCCATGCATGCAAAGACACTCTGCGGTAAATGCTCCCGTTGCAGGAGGAACTCCCATAGGCCTTCTTCCTTCGACTCCTTGCCTATAAGAGTCCTGGGCTCCCGTGCTAGTGTAGAGAACCCCTGTGGGCGTACAGACTCGCAATACATATAACGGAATATCTATATTGATGCCGTATTTCCGGCCCTGGCATCACGGTCTACTGGGAATGGCACGAGCGCATCTGTCTCTGGATGGGCGAGCAAATCGGCAGCTCTGCGGCCATCCAAGGCGAGGCGAGAGGGTCACGACCCTGAACCAACCCGGCGCAAACCGCCCGCCCTCACTTTGCAGGCGATTCTCCTTGGCCAAAGACATACACGTTCGATATAAGCTACGGTGGCCTGGCCACGACACAGCCAGGCCCCCGGTATGAGCAGACGTGGCCATTGTTTGTGTCGGTCAGTGGCGAGGGGCCGGAGACAGGCTGTCGGGTACGACGCACACATAGATACCACACCGTCTACCCGACGCCCCCTGACAGGCCTGCCATGTATGCGAGTCTCCTGACGATCGTCAGATGCGAGCTCAGCCCGGCTGGCTTTCCATTACGAAGCGTTTTCAGCGCTTAGCGGGCTGTATTTTCTCATTGGCAGATAGGACCGCTGCACAAGCAGCCCGGCAGCACAGGCGGCCACGCAGCCATGCAACCATGCAGAGAGCCCTCGACGAGGCCGGGTGGACCTTCTTGAAAGGCATGTTGGCTCAACCAACCTGCCAACCTCGAGACTGTTCGAGGCCCTGCAGATCCGCTCTCGTGTCGTGCACTCCGCGTTTTGATAGCGAACCACACCTGCCTCTGGGCAGCAAGAGAGGTGTCCTGAACGCACGCGGTACCGAGGCGAATAATCTCTCAGGCTCCCAGGGATCTGAAACGCGCGCAAAGACAATACCAGACACACCGACAGACACAGAAGATCAGGTAAGAGCACAACAATAACAACAAGCACAGTCCAAAACGCGTGACGCGTTCTGGCCCTCCCACACGGTACGCGGCAGACTGCAGCTCCGTTTCTTCCAATCCTTCCACGGGGCCCACCTTTGCTTCTACAACACCAACCTAGCCCGTTGTCGCGAGATCCGTAGCGGAACTTGTGCACGGGACGTCGCAGCCTCTTCCGCTGCCGTCGCGATGGGAGCGTTTCCGGCGGCGCACCGAGGCGCAAAAGCTCCCATGTGCTGGACTTGCATGAACCTCGCTGTCTCGCCCCACTGGGTTACAAGGCATGTTCGTGCGTGCTCCCCCTGGCGAAAGGGCCTCGTTCGCTCTGTGCACACTGCGCAGGAAAGACACAGTACCTGACGACCAAGTAACTCCTGCGAGATCGGTGGGGCCTGCCTGGGTACATTACCGGGGACAGGACCACACCGCCCGTTGAGCTTCAATGATGCCTGCGCGTGTCAGGGGGAGAGGTCAAGGGTAGCTTGGAAAGGGTCCTGCGAGCCTGCAGACGGGAATCTCCATTGTTTCGACGTGGTCACCAGTTTTTAACCTCATGGAACCAACGGTGGGCGCATGTACAGTACTGCGCAGAAGGGGTCCAGCCACAGAATGGGGATGGTTCGGTCCCCTTTTTGTGTGCCTTCTCAGATTCGAAAGATGCGGCGGAGTTGCTGCGTATGATCTCGTCCCACGACTGCCGGGCCCAGAATTTATTGCTTGTCTTCACGTCAGACCTGAGATCTGGCGGGACTCACAAAGCTGGCGGCAGCCGCAGTGGAATCCAGAGCTTTCCCATGGAGTCGTTTCCGACGCGCCCCAGTGGTTGGGCACCTCGAGCAGCAGAATGCTGCAGCGCAGCCCGACCTCAAGCAAACCAAACAGATGCAAGTAGAGTCGAGATGACAGGATCTTGGCCTAGCGTCATGCTATTGTCCTGCGTTGGCTGAGAATGGCCTTCCTCGGCCAAATTCCAGCCGACTCTTGTCATGCAGCTGCTGCCATCCGCCGTGGTTGACTCGCTTGTCCGGCTCGGACATACTGTGGTGGTGTAGAAGGATGTCCAGCTCGCTCCTGAGATAATCACGGGCGGCGAGGGATGGATGGCATCTCGCGCTTTCCGTTCATACCCGCGACCTATCGTACGCCCGCCCTGCGATGTTCGGTCCTTTTTCTGAGCTCTGGACGGTGAAGTGACGTAACGCACGAGATTGCCCGGGACATACGATGCAGACGCGAGGCACAGCGGCCTCATCATTTCGTCCATTATTCATACATCTGTAACCGGGCCGTAGCACTGACTTGTGGTGGGCCCGGATACCGTCCGAGGGATGGGAGTGCAGCGACTCGAACACCACACTGTCAAGTCTACCGCAGTAGTCTGTTGACAAGTCGAGGTCGCCTCGCTGCTGACCTGTTGCTCCGGAACCGTGTTCCTCACTTCCGCCGACCTTCAGGAGGCCGGTGACAGCGTGCAAGTGATGCCCTGGGAACTGGGAAACCAATGACTCGTGGTATCGTGAGAATCGCCAGGCTGCGGATGTCGCTCGACGATCTGCCTGATTACGGCTGTCAAATGCCAAGACATTTCTATTTCGATTGCTGAGCTCGACGCAAGCCTGGAACGAGTTGTACCCCGAGTCGTTCTGGTCAAATGTGCTCATGATGCCTCGTCACTCGCCATCTCGCCCAGAACCCCTTGAATCTCGGGATGGTCGCCTGTTCTCTTTCGTAATTATGTCGTGTGCAAATCGATGCGGACTGCAGAAGTGTTGACTCGAGGGGCAGCCTTGCCCATGTATCTGGTACATCGGTCGCCCTGCTGGCCCGGGCGAGGAGTGGTAAGATGCGCATGGCATCACAACGTGATATCTCAACGCCGTGGAGGGCTGGCTATGTCACGAGGCTTCACTCCCTGTCCATCTTCGTTGCATTTAGAGTCGGATTACTGAAAGGAGCCCGTTGCAAAGTCATAGGCTTTCGACCAGGCAGTCTGGTCTACGGGGCGGTGGTGCGAGGTGACTTGGATGGAGAGACCATCAACAATCCCCAACAACAAAGGCGTGAAGATTGCGAAGTAGATCAACCTGCCTCGACCAATCTAGGATCAATCTTCACCTCCCATCTCTCGATCTATCGCGGTGCCCTTTCCAGACGTCATCCTTAAGCTTCTGCTTGAACAAGACGGCTCCTGGACGGGGGAGGAAGGCACGGTAAACGCCGAGTCTTGAGTCGACCGCGATGAGGCTGTCCGGTTACCTAAGACGACATCGACGTCCTTGAAATGTTCGATGGCCAGGATCCGAACGGACTGCCGCTTTAGGAAACGCCGCTTGTGATTTTGGAGGCCGGCAAGCCACACTCGCAGGGTCCTGGGCGGTAAGAGTTGCCTGCCTGCAGGCGAGAACCCCCTGCAGACATCCGACGGTATCAATGGGTCGGACGGGTAGCTCCTTCGTTGTCCACGCCGTCGTCGCGATCGCTAACTTGCATCCGACGAACACACGTGCTTTTCACGGGCGTCGCAACAAGCCTCGGATTCACTTTCCGCATTCATCCATTCCTAAATGCTCCGGTCCAAGGCCAACGACAGCGCTAAGTACATATGTAGGTAGCAACTACTGCATCGCGTTTCGCGAGTGAGCTGAGGTTGGGTTTCAAACTTCCGCCGCTCAACTCTCAATTTCCAAATCGAGGTCTGGTCCGACGGGTGGTATCCTTGTTGAGCAGTGTGCCGCACCGCGAACTGCAGCCAGGCATGACTGGCGAGAAACTCGACATTCGCAAACCGCGCGGGGCGCTGTGCGGACTTGATCAGATAATTCCTATCGGCTCTTGTCGGAGACGATGCAGATGATGCTCAACAGCAATTCCAAAGTCTGGTTCATGGCAGGCTGCTCGGAAGAATTTGCTCGCATTCGCATCAAGGCCAGATAATTTCGGTCAAGTACCCCGACGCTCGTTGTTGCCGAGTTTCGACAAGTCCACGGCAAAACCCCGGCCAAGAAAGGCGGTCAGCTTTTGAAGAGCCGCGCATGATGTAAAAATCGTGCAGCCGAGTAGCCAGGTCAGGACAGGGACGTTGATGCCGGCTAGGGTGCCGCTTGATGTGATGGCAAATTCCGAAGTGCCTTGACTCGTCTGTCCCGCGGAATAATTCAGAACCTCGATGGACGCAGCCCCGTACCTGGCCTGCCTGTGTGGTTCCTGTGAGGCTAGACACTACTGCGCAGCATTGTACTTCTCGTTTGTATGGATTCCGTAGATCAGAAGAGGGTCGTGATAGTGCCAGATCTCTTAAATGGGTGTTCTCCAGGTTCCAGTCTCTTTGTGATCCGTTCTGGGCCACAAAACAAAGCTGGTGGTGTTCCACGACGGCTACCCACCGGTTCGTCGCCATACGTGCAGTGCACATGGCGGGAGTGGTGCGCATCGAGCCATCCCGACGTGGTTAGACCGTCCTGGCTGAGGATTTTGAAAGGCTGAAAAGGGAAGTCAAAGTCGTGGCCGAACCAACTGACGGGCTCTAACACCTTGACAACACATGGTGCAAAATCGCCTGGCGCACAGCCAGCCCAGCAGCAGTACTGAGCGATGGGCGCTGTTACCCTCGACAGCTCCACCGGCTGTCCCATGCCTCTGGCACGCTGTCTCCCTCTGGCACCGTGCTCCACTACTGACGGCAGACAAGCAGGTGGCCAGGGTGGGTGCAACCGCACGATCTTGTCTGCTCGCTAGTCGGCACGCCGCCACAAACCGGGGTGTGCGTAGCCAGCAACCAATCACCATGCTAAAATCAAATGCGCTCTCATTTTACAAATCGGAAACGCCGGGTGATCTCCGAGGAGACAGCCACTGCGAGGGGTGCAGAGTGCGCAAGCAAAGCCTCAGTATTCCTCAAGGCCACCGCTCGTGGCCAAAATGTTGATGGATTTGTTTCTGGAATGGACAAGCCGTACTGTGCCGGTAGCAGTACGGATGTACACAAGTGGCAAGGTTTCGAATACTCCGCTCCACCTTCAATGTGCGCTGTCTTGGACCTGTGGGTGGATTCGAGAAGCTATGGACAGCACGTCCCTGGCCGGTGGAGCACGTTGGCGGCAGGGGACGGCAGGAGACAGCAGCGGGTGAGGGCCCACTTGGAGCTCTGTCAATGTCAATCAACACAAGGTCAGGGGCGACTGTCGGCCAACTTCCATGGTTCCAAGCTCGCTGCAGTGCTCTTCGGAAGAGGGTTGACATCCTCATTCGAGGAGCTGAAATGTCTCCCCCTCCAAAGTTCTCGAAAGACCCGTCGCTCCAGGCCAAACCGTCTGACCTCGAATCCAACCTCTTATATGCGAAATGCTTAGTCACCAACTCTGCTGTCATCAAAGGATCAGCTGTGATGTAGACTGCAGATTTGGTGTCGTACAAGATCCTAATGTGCGTGCTAACGAAAGTGGATTCGCGATGCCGCCGAAAGAACGTTCGGATGGGGCTGGATAGCTTCTAGACGCGGTACATGGCGCAGATGTACAGAGCCTATGGGGCCCTTTCCGAAGATCGTCCACGCTCTCGGGCTGATGGAGCCACAGGGTCCTCCACTAAAACTCTCCCCGTGAACCCTTGGGGAAGAAATGCCTGGCAGCCAGCCAGCCCAGGCGTGCCATGGCTGCTTGTCACTACATTCGGGCACCCGAGTCCACTCTTTCGACCCCAAACTTCAGACCTGCGAGGAAACCCCCAAGCTTCTCCAAGATTTGGGAAGATCTTTGATGGACTATGGACTCCAAATTGTCAAAATGCCCGAAACCGTCGAGCTACTCTGTCTCCATCTCAGTAGAGGCGTGCCGTACCGCAGTCCCATTCTAGCTCCACGACTACTCCATGAAGCATGGTAGGTGCGAGGATCGCCGGGGAAATGTGGTGGAGAGGGCCAGGCTTCTCCGCTGCGCATTATCAGTTTCCCTCAGCTGTTCGAGCTGCGAGTTGAGAACACTTGCGCCCATCCTTCGTGGCCGCTCATACGATCAACGCGGGCCTGTTACTGGCAACGCAGCAAAGAAAACTCCTTTCCCCCGACCCGACTTCGGATGTTTGTGATTGGGCTAGGCTTTACGTCATTAGACTGTCAGAAGAGGGCAGTTGGGGGGTTGCTCGTCAACGCTTCTGCTTAATCTCGGCGTCGATGCTGAACCGGCATGTGCCCCGAGTCAGGCAGTACCAAGGGAGGCAGGCAGACCGGGAGGCACGCGAGAGCCAAGGCGGTGTTTTGGGCCTGTTTCGCCTTCTCTTGACTCGCAGCGAGGCCTGGAAATACTGTGTACCGCAGTGTAGGGAGGGACTCGCAAGCTGTCCCGTGCCTTCTATCCCAAGCGTCTGGTAGACCACAGGTGGTTTGTTTTCTGACCTCCGTAATTCTCACGCTACCACCCCCATTCCATTATTGTTACGCCAAGGAACCGACCGACCTCCTCTCGTTCTACAGCCGAGGACCGGGAGCGTCTTGTCTGGCCTGGGACTGATCTGAAATTGAGACAGGGACTTGAAGCAACCTCCGTTGGAGTTGACAGCGCTCCCCGAAGCCATCGTGGGCTCATGTCGTGCAGAGAAGCTCATGCAGTGATTGCTATTCTTGTCAATTCGTTCCCGTGTTCATGGACCATAGATTGCATCATGCCCTCATGGTGACGGTACTTGCAGGGAGACTTGAGTTTGAACTGTGCCTGGAAGTCAGGATGAAGGGCCCAGTGATTCGATCAGTCGTTTCTGGAAGCATACGAGCTCTGGGACCAACCTTGCTGCTCCCCCAACGCCTAGACGAACGACTAGCGTCTTCACCACGGCTGCGGGACCACTGCATTGTTCGTCAATCTGCAGCACCCCGTGAGGGGACACACTTGCTCCAACGCCGGCATGTTCGGGTTGCCTGTCCATGCTTGTACATAGACAGCTACTGTTCACTCCTACAATCTTCAGACTTCAATCGGCCTTGTGTCCTCGCGTTCAGCGAGATCAAATCTCGGTGTTCATGGTGTACATCAGCGCAGGTGGGAATACGGGCACCTCGAGTTGTGAGATCGATAGTCGACGACCTGGATTGCGAGTGCGATCACCCCTTCACCTCCAAGTATAGGGTGCAATGCACGTCGCCCGTCAAGCGGTACGCCAAACATGCTGGGCGGTGTCGGCGGCAAGAAAGGTCAGGTGTCCGTAATCGTCGAGTCGCGTGGATCTGACACATCATGACACTCGTTTCCTGGATATTGCAACCCCAAGCAATGGTAGATGACTCGAGTAGTCAAGCAGACATAGCATGACAACGATCTCGTTGGAGCTTGACGGATTTCGTGCAGCTAGTTCGCAGCTTCGCTATGCGCACTCAAGCAGTCGGAAGAACCAGAATGATAACGTGTTTCGACTGATTAGATTAGAGAGACAGGATGGCAGATTGGGTGGGCTCTGCTTCCAGGGAGGGTGCCGGTACTTTTCCAAGAGGTACTGCCGACGGTTGTGCCGAGCTCGTCGCAGTGTGTACCTTCGGGTGCACAGCGACTGGGAGAGTGACTAAGAGCCAACGCGCGTCCCACACAACGGTGCCCTGGCCACCCAGCAAGGGTCGGGGATGTAAGATTCGGCCGGCATTGACGTTACACTGGTGCTGGCGCGAGTTCAGGACTGCCATGACTGCGTCCTGATGCAACACTCGCCAGGTGTGCCAAGTGACGACGATTCGTGTGGACAGGAGCGTTCCATCCGCCTAGCTGTCTCGCGCGCACTCTTATTGTCCATCAGGACTGTCCGATGCCATCGACGACGCAAGAATCGTGCATAGCCCGACGTAGATGGGCACCAGGTGAAATAGAAAAGCTCCATATCAAGCAGTATAGTCAAGCTGTGGCAGTAGATTCCCCTCTCTGCCTCGTCCCCACCATCTGAAGGACCAGGGGGTGGTTGATGCAGGAGTTGCTACATGAGGTTAGCTTGCGGTGGCTACGTTGATCGCTGCTTTGTCATTGCTTGGGAGAGCCGGTAGAATGTTTCGATTGAGTACATGCAGTCTATGCCCAGCCTGGCAGCCCAGTAGGTGTGACGGGCGAAACAGGGCAACGACAGCTCTGTATCCGGCCTATCGAGCAAAGACGAGCGAGCTTGCTGGCTGCTGCGATGCCTCGACCGGGCCGGGCTGGGCTGAGCTCGACCCGTCGTGTGGTGAGCATTGATGCTGAGTCTCATACGCGCGGATGGGACGGATCGTCGGCTGCCCAGTGCGAATTTGCTCGACCTCGTCACAAGGCCGATGGCGGTGCTTGTTTCGTCGAGGGAGAACGGTGAGTCGGGGCGGTCAGCCACTGCGTTGTTCATACTGTGTGCGGCGCCTACTGTGGCATCGTATTCTACGGAGATCAGGATGAAGGGCTTACTCGTGGGAAAGATGAGGCGAGCGGCGAGGGCCTAAAGATACAGCAGGGAAAGAAGTAAAGACAAGATGAAAGAGGAAAAAAGATAGAAAAAAGAAAGGAGAAAAGCAAAAGCCAAAGGAAAGGCAAAAGTGATAGTGAACTCGTGAATGGGGTCTGTCGGGCAGAAAGTGAAATATCAGCCCTCGTCCGTGCTGTTCTGTTCCTCCACGCTCCATCTGTAACGGGTCAAGGGAAGCAGGCAAGCGATGAGGTGTGCTTGAAATTGACCAGTCGGCGGCGACCACCCGGCCAAAACAAAAATTGGAAGAAGAAAGTGCTGCCGCCGGTGTCTAATCACTTAGGAAAGTGCCTTGTCCTTTCCAATCTTGTACTACGCATAGCACCATCGCACACCAAGTCGAACGGAGAAGGGGCGTTGCCCAGAACTGTGTTCATCTGCTTGGCTGTCCCCTTCCTGCCGTCTTGGAGGCATCGCTGCACAAAGCTGCAATTCACCTTCTGTCGTTGTTCTCTCTGCATCGTTCGCACGCACGGCTGCCCCCAGACATCGCCAACTTCGGAAGTCCTCCACCAAGCAACGATCCTGCACTCTGCACGCTGCGGTCAGCGGAGTCTACCCCAAACTCTAATAACGACGTCTTTCTTTCGCATCCCCCCACCCTCCCTGCCATAGTGTATTGCGACACCCTTAGAGCAGCTCCTAAGCCTCCCGCCCATCCAGCCGCTTGGTTCGTATCCACCGGCACCCGTTTCGGAGCGAAGCGTCGCACGTTCTCTGTACGTACGCCGAGGTATGTCAGATCCAACTGCTCCTCCACCAGCAGCTACGGTATTGCCAGCAGTGCACGCCCAGTAGTCCAGCGCACAGCCTAGAAAGGCTGAGAGAGGCCAGCGTGCCAGCGCGCATGCGTGCGACCTCGTCACTGCGGAACAGACGGCAGAAGCATGTGCATGCTGTGCCAGCTCTCTTGATCCACGGCTTAGCTCGGGTCTCCGTGTGGCTGCTTCGCACAGGCGTGGGAAGAAACTTCCTCCCTCCATCACAGCGCAGCGCAGCGCAGCGCAGCGCTGCACAGCTTGGTGCAAAGTATCTGATATAGACGTCTTTCTAGAAACTTAAAACGTCGAGTGGACGCCGCCAGACGCACCAGACGCACCTCGGGCGAGCTCGACTTCGGAGTCTGGCAGCCAGCGACAGCAAGCACCGCACACAGTACCCAGGGTACCTAACGCGGCCCCCCGGTCCGTCCACAACCAGCTTCCCTGCCCACTCAGTCCACTTTCGATCATCCACTTCCCGACCTGGTCCCTTCAAGACGAGGGTACCCCCCAAAACCCACCAGCTTGCACCCAAGCTAGCGCCCCTCGCCCTGGTCCGTACCGGTACCTGACGCTTTTGTATCTCAACGGCTGCGAAGAGTGGGTAACGTCGAGGGAGAACCCACTTGAAAACTTGCCCACTTGGCTCGGTACCTGGCAGAGTTTTTTTTTTGTACTGGCGCGACGCTTCCGACAGAAAAAAAAAAGAAAGGAGAGATATTTGAGGTACATCAACCCACATCATCCCACCTCCCTCCCTCGTCCATCCATTTGACAGAGTTTAGTCTCCACTTCGACATCTACTGCCGGGACCCAAAAAGGAGGAACGCCTTTTGTCCACTCCACCAACACCTCCCAAACGGTCTTCAGCCTCATCTATCCACTTCTTACCACAACCCGCTACCACCGCCAAACCGCATCTCCACCGTGGGGGATCCTCAGACGCGCCTCTGCACACAGCACCGCGTCGACCCTCGAAACACCAACGCAAACATCACGCAAAACTTTGCTGCCTTCACATAGCCAGCAATTCAAGCGTGTGTTTGTCTGTCTCGATCCTCCGGCACCACTCGAACAATTAATTTACCTTGTGGTTTGCGCGTCGATTTCCTGTCGCCCGGGTGCAGTTGTGAGATTGCCCTTGCCGCCTCGGCCAAAGAACTCGAACACATCCGCCTGCGCAACCCTGTCCTTTCGTCCCCCTACCCTCACCTCGAGACCACGTTCGAGTCCCTAGCGCAATTGATTCTTCGGATGCTGCCTTCGCGGTTCTTGCATCAGGGTAGACATAGAGCTGGATTATGGAACACAACCACTACTCGTCTAACGTGATCAACACTACGACGGCTTCTTATCCATCCCATTCGGCGATTTCCCCCCACCACCTGCAGAACGGCCAAAACCAGACTTTACCACCGCTCCAGCCTCACAACCCAGCCATGTCTATGTACGCGAGCCACCCGCACACTCCTCGGACGCCTGCAACCCCGAACACGCCCGCCTCCATGGGCGGCTACGCTCCTCCCCCGCCACAGCCCTCCGGCAGAGGCTCGTATCCCATGATGCACAATCCCTACCAACACCAGCAGTCTTACGCGACCTCCTCTGCCATGATGCCCCAGGCCTCCGTTTCTGCGTCTCACCCTCAACCGATTGCGCCGGCGCCTTCTCCAGGCGGCCGTGTCCCACCTGTTCTGCGACCCATGCCGGCTGGCGGTGTCATGCCACAGAGCGGCTTGGCCTCTCCCTACGCGCAAAGCCCTATGATGTCGCAGCCATCGATTCTTCACCAGGAGAACGACCAACCTACTCATGTAGTCGGCTCCCAGGGTCGCAGAGGTATTCTACCGAGCGCCCCAGGTAGGCCCGCGGCCCCGCCCCCCGGCACTGCCGCAGCCAAGGCTCAGATTCCTCAGAAGGATGCCGACGGGAAGTTTGTACGTACAATTTGACCCCCCCTGGTGTCCCGACTCATTTTCGGGAGTCCAAGACGACGGGTCAAGTGGATATCTTTGTGATGAGTAGCTAACATTTTTAAGCCGTGCCCCCACTGCACGAAGACCTACCTTCACGCGAAGCACTTGAAGCGTCATATGCTCAGACGTAAGCGGTCACCGTGTCCTGAGAGCTGAGCAAGAACTGACTTCAATGGACAATATAGACACTGGAGACCGTCCCTACATGTGTGTGCTCTGCCGGGACACTTTCTCTCGAAGTGACATCCTGAAGCGTCACTTCCAAAAATGCTCGATCCGTCGAGGCAACCCTACAGGAGCCAGCCATCTATCTCATCCCCACGCGCACGTTAAGAAGGCGCAGCAGGCTGCCGCTAAGGCCGCGCAGCTTGGGCACGATGGAGACATGATGAACGGCATGAACAATGTAACGGGAAACCCCCACATGGTTCCCTTTGGGCTGATTCCAGCAGCGGACCAAATTAACCACATGAATGACCAGAACCAGCTCTCTCGACAGTCGAGCATGAACCGCCTCGAGGACACCAATGGTGAAGAGCGGAGGAACGTGCCTGCACCAGTCATGGGTGCTTCGTCGCAGCAGCAACAATACAATGGCAACGTCCCGACGTCCATGTCCACGAACATCAACCCCCAGCTGGCGAACTACAACATGTCGCAGAACCAGAACGGTGTGCCCATGTTCAATGGTGGATCAAACCACAACCAGCAGTCGGGCTTGGACTGGCAGACCATGTTCACACAACAAGGCGGTGCGCAACATACTTATCCAGTCCCTACGTCAACCTTTCCTAACCGACAGCAGACCGCAATCAAAACCGAGCCTAATCTCGACCACTCGAGACACGATGGCCAGCCCCCCTCAAACCCGGCCAATGGTCACTTTGGGTTCTCTACCGGCGGCCGCCCCGTTGACGATGCGACTTATCGGCACCTGTCAAACCAAATCATCAATTTCTTCTACTCGCCTGGCATCATCTCAAGCCACAACAACGACATGAACTTGTACTTCTCAGCAGAAAATGTTCAGCACTTCCTCAGCCAGTACGCACACTTCCACCGGCATTTTGCAATTCTACATATGCCAACTTTTGAGGCTGGCAAGTCTTTCACGGGACTCCTTACTTGTATGTGCTGTATCGGGGCTTGCTACTCAGATCGCTTGTCACCTTCACACGTGCGCCTCATCACCGACTTCTTGAAGTCTGCTCTGGACAGAGACCCGCAAATTCTCTCCCTCCTCAACGAGAACCCTCAGACTGGGGTCGCGAGGCGTGAAGGCAATTTGGAGGCGCTTCAGGCGCTTGTACTTCTTCAACTTCTTCTCATCTGGAACGGCACCCCTCAACAACGACAGTCCGCTCGTCAGGTGTACTCGAGGATCGTGCTGCTTGCGCGGAAGTCTGATCTGCTACGTGTCTCTCAAGGACAGCCACTGTACAGCGCGCTTCATCAACCCGGCTTTAATCCCTCAACTTATCATCCATCAGAATTTGACTGGCATTCGTGGATCGAACAAGAGAAGCGAAATCGTCTCATGTTCCTTATCTTTGCGACGGACACTGCCTTGGGCCTCTACTTTAACATTGCGCCTCAATTTGATGTCATGTCACTCCAAATCCCCTTGCCTTGCGACGATGCAGCATGGGATGGAGCTACAGATGCGAGATCTTGCGCTGAAGCCTTGGGTTTATATGGACCAGAGGCGGCCCAGGTTCGTAATGTGGATGGCACGCGCAGAGCAAAGCAGCCCGAGATGCACCTCGCCCTGAACGCCCTGTTGCACAGCTCTTACCGGATTCAGACAGGCACGACAAACCTGACGGGCAAATTTCTGTTGGTTCATGGCATTCTGGCCCTCATACGTCGAGCTCAAATCGAAGGAAGCTCGGCTCTCAATTACGGCCAAGCATCATCGTTTGCCAACAGTGATTGGGTCGTCAATACTGGACGGGATGATGGCAGCGCGCCTGGTAGTGCGAACAACAGTGGCCGCAACACTCCCGCTGACGGAAGCATGTCCGCTCAAGCTTTCAAGGCTATTCGCACAGCACTGGACAAGTTCAAGCAGAATTGGGACTTTGATATTGTCAATCAGTATCCGCCCTCGTCGCGGAACCCTCGCCGGCAAGGCTTCTCGAAGGACGCAATCCCTTTCTACTGGCTCGCCAATTATCTCCTCAAGAACACGCGTTCAGGGGACCTCGATATGGAGTCTGAGCAGCGATTCTCACAAGTCATCCATCTTCTCAAATTTGTCAATAATTATGTGCGCTCGGATGGGGCATACAGAGGCGAGGAGTTGGGGTCGGTTGATGCGATTGACAAGGATTACGGCGCGACCGATTGGACGCTGGACATGGCGAAGTTGTTCAGACCATTTGTTGATATGGCAGATTCGCCAAGCGTCACGTCGGTCAACATGAAGACGGAGGCGGCTTAGCGGTGGCCACCATGACCGCCTGAGGACCCAGGACCCCCTACCCTACTTTTTTTCTTCTTTTCCTTCGTGTCAAAATTTCCGATATTCTCTTTTTCCGAAAAACCAGAGGCTCCGTCAGCATTGGTGGCGTTTTGGAAGTGACCTTCCGGCCCTCAGTCCGAAAAGTTCGATTCCCCCTGCATATCAGACTGGCGGCTTGCTGGTGGCATTTTGCTTTGCATTTTCAGGTGGTCGGCTATGATAGACATTCCCAGATCCAAGGGGCTTCGCATTAGACATACTTTAGACAAGAGTGCATCAGAAATAGGCTGATGACATTCGACTGAATGGAAAATCAGGTTGTCATAGCGTTGATCATGGACAGTCCTTTCCCATCCCATCCCGAGAGACAGATTACAATTGGCTGGTGTAACGCGGGCCACTGACTGTCTTGCCTCGTGATATGCCTAGAGCGTCCTTCAGTCACTATTTCTTGAGCTATCCCCCAATCTTCGTTACTATAAGAATACGGAGATTCGTACCTACAAAAACAGAGCGCACGCCGGTAACCAACTCACGCCATAACTACAGCTGATCAGAGCACATCACCCAGGCCTAATTTACACACCTACACCCAACACCCATACACCTAATACCCATATATTCAATACCTACACACCTAACACCTACACACCTAACACCTACACACCTAATACCTATATACCTCCTAATTTAAATGAATTGGGTGTGTGTAAATTGAGTGTGGGTGTTGGGGTGGGTGTTGGATGTGTGATTTCTTACGTGGTTTAGTGCTGGTGATGTACCGGTGTACCCTCCGTTTCTGCAGGTGCGAATCTCCACGTTGTACTATAAGGCTTGCTCTATTTTCAAGCCGTCTGAGAGCAAGCGACTTGTCGTTTCGGTCTTCTTTCAGATGCCAACGCGGCCGTGTCTGATGGTTCCTGACTAGGACCTTGGAGTATGGCACGCAGTTCCTGCGCATCTCAAAACGCCGGCGTGTGGCTTGACCAACACAACCTTCCAGTAGGACAATTTCACACATATCGTAGAATCGTCAATACCTGTGTCACGTACAGCGGTCTGTCTTGGTACCTCCTCGTGTGCCCCAAGTACCTGGCGAACCTCGGGGATTACTGCGGGCTAAAGCCACCCCTTCCCCCTCCCCCCTCCCCCCTCCCCCCGGTGTTGGCCTGAGGTAGTGTTCTCGAGGGGATGTCGGCCTTCCTTCTCATGGCTTCTCGTCACGGTCTACTACGTGGATCTTGGGTTTCATCATCTCCAACGCGGCCTTATCCTGTTCGGATGGGGTGTAGCCAAACCTCTCTTCTGCACGGTCAGACATGTACAGGCCAATGAGCCCCCATCCGAGTAGCCCGACACCTACACCAAGCCTTGCCTTTGAAGAGAGGCCTTGGTATGCTCTTGGGTAGTTCTGTTAGCATGAACAGTCCAGTGGAATAATGTTTGTCGTCTGGCCGAGTCTTACCTCCAGAGTGACATGATTCTATGCCTCGTTTCTCCTAATTCGTTGTTTCCCCTTCCGTTCCTCTGCGGAATTGAAGTCCCCGTTCGAGCTGTCACTATAAGCTCATGACCGCTTTTGCAGCTGCGACGTGTAAGAAGATTGGTCGCACGGCAACTTACTATTGACCTACCAACTTGGACGAAGACAATTAGGCTGTGTGTTTCTCTTGAAGTTCGATGCAGGTCAAGTGGCCTAGTAGGTACCTAAAGGTATGCGAATTGGAGATCGATGTCGTTGAGAAAGTGGCTTGCATTGCATGGAGGCTCTGCGGCAGGCAGTCTGGCTATGCGACCCCTGTGCCCCCAAAGAGCATCCTTCCCCACGCGGCTAGGCGGCTGGCTTCGCCGCTGCCAAAATTTTGGGATCGCACTTGCCGGCGCAGCGACCCAAAAACGGGCCTCGCAGACCTCACTTAACGTCAAGCCTCCACCGCGTCACTTAGTTCATCAGGACGCCGAGCCAGACGAAGACAAGACCGGCGCAATCCTCACCATGGCGAGCCTCAATTCTGCGCGGCCGTGCCTTCAGCGCGCTCTGCAGTCTTGCCGGCGAAGCGGCCTCACAGCCTCACAGCGACCTCTCGCACCGACGCCCGTCGCAACAGTGTCCTCGTCCCTCTCGAGCCTCCAGCAGACCTGTCTCTTCTCCACGACCGCCCCGCTCAGCAAGCGCCGCAGGAACCGCGACCACAACCGCAACCGCGGCCTCTCCGCGGTCCGGGGCACGGGCCCGCGCGAGGTGCTCTCCGTGGACAATGAGCCCCTGCCGAGGCCCGTCGACCGCGACGATTTCCCGGTGGTCGGGACGGACGCGGACCACGGGTTGTGGGACTTCTTCTACAGCAAGGACAAGCCCCTGAACACGCCACAGGAGGACGCCGCTCACGGGCGGTCGTGGAAGGTGGAGGAGCTGCGGCGCAAGAGCTGGGAGGACCTGCACAGCCTGTGGTGGGTGTGCGTGAAGGAGAGGAACAGGATCGCCACGGGCAACTGGGAGAGGTCCAAGGGGAAGTATGGCTACGGTGATAACGAGAGCAAGGCGAGGGAGATGGAGGTATGCGTCCCTTCCTAGGGCTCGTCGTGACATTGGATGTGCACGGCGACCATTTCCCAGTTTCGCGACAGCTTTACTGATTTCTACTTCGCTATTCAGGTACGGAAGACTCAGGCGGCGATCAAGCACGCCCTTACGGAGAGGTTCTACGCGTGGGAGGACGCGAGGAAGCTGGCCGAACAAGACCCTGAGGTCGATCTCTCTGGAATAGGACCGGCTTACACGCCCGAGGGCTCACATCTGGAATCTGAGGAGGCGGCTTGGGAGGAAGAGTCCAAGGAACAGAGTACGGCCGATGGGAGATCAGAGGCGGCCAAGGAGACCAAGTCTTCTGAAGAGGCGATTGACCCGTCAACGATACCCAACCCAGCAAAGGCTCATGCGAATGCCCCTAGGGTATGAGCCTTGAATAAGACTCTGACGGAGGTGCCGTGGCTTCCAGAGCAGGCGGCAGTAAGGATGCAGACGATGCCTACCCCTTTTCATCAGTTCAAGGACTCGCCTCGAAGGGTTGGACCGAGAAGGTCGGTATGAGTCCATGTACCAAAATTCACTGTGCAGAATGACATTATGCTCAGCCGCGAGTTGTGCCAGGTGACGCTTCTCCGTAGGGTCCCAGGATGCATGCAGCCATGGCTAGAGCCGGCCGAGTTGAGATGAGTTGAGATGAACGTGGTGTTGAGATTGTTGTGGCTGATCTTTGGGACCATATGCTTTCCAACCCCACTAGAGGATGACCACTGCAGCAACCACGGGCAGGCTTCTAGCCACGTAATGCGAACCTCCATCGCAACACTATCGACCTGCCACTTAGATGAGCTCCCAGGAAGCGAGGCAAGGTCGTTACGGGGAGGCCGATTGTATTTCGCCTATGGCAGCTTGGACGCTCGGGTGGTCCCAGCTGGTGGCCAGCTCCAACTTGCAGCACTGCAAAGGGCAGGCCAATCAGGGGAAGCGGGTACTGCTTAGCTCGGCAATGGAGCTCCAGTCCCTCTGGATGCAGGTGGGTTGGAGTCTCGGACAGCTCAGCCAAAACACACCGACTCTCCTATTATTGACTTGACCTGCCTCGACTTTCCCTTTGGCACCGAGCACTGCACGACCGCATCTCTTCACCCTCGAAACTCGCCTCGATCCTAGACAGTGCTGCATCCTCACAGCCATATCCCATATTCCAGAACCAGAAGCAACCGCAAACATGGATGAGATTGCAAAGGAGTACGATGTCATTGTGCTGGGCACAGGTATGTCCATGTCATTCGCGTTTCCAACCCCGCAATGTGGGGTTCGCTCCCGTTGCCTCTCCTGAAGCCATCGCTGCGGCGAGCCGCCCTGTGCCGGAGCTGCTGGGCGATGTGTCTCGAAACTGACAGTGGTGTTACTCGGCGATAGGTCTGACCGAATGCATTCTCTCTGGGTAAATAACTCCCATGGTTGTCCTGGGCCGTTCGGTCGCTCTCGGGAGCCGCAAGCTGACGATACGCCTCGCAATCCAGTGTGCTCAGTGTCAAGGGCAAGAAGGTCCTGCATATCGACCGCAATGACCACTACGGCGGGTGAGCCACCTCCTTCCAGTCCGAAATACACCGGATGTGTCTACTTCGAATATGCGCTGACCATCATCGGCACAGTGAGGCTGCCTCTGTCAACCTCGAGACTGTATGTCCCTCCGATGCGCCTCCCTCTCCTACCCCACGGTTCTAACACCCCTCCTAGCTCTTCAAGAAGTATGGCAACTACAGCCAAGGAGACGAGCCATGGAAGAAATACGGACGCCCCAACGACTGGAACATCGACCTCATCCCCAAGCTGCTCATGTCCTCGGGCGAGTTGACCAACATCCTCGTGTCCACCGATGTCACCAGATACCTCGAGTTCAAGCAGGTCGCAGGGAGCTACGTGCAACAGGGCTCTGGGCCCAAGGCCACCGTCGCCAAGGTCCCATCCGATGCCGGCGAGGCCCTCAAGTCGCCCCTTATGGGCATCTTCGAGAAGCGCCGCATGAAGAGCTTCATTGAATGGGTTGGCACCTTCGATGTCAAAGACCCCTCCACACACAAGGGTTAGCACAAGCCCCCGCGGGACTCTTCTTCCCGCCGCCAGACAAGTTTGGAGACCAGTCTGAACTAACACGTTTCAGGTCTTGACTTGAGCACATGCACAATGAAGGATGTGTACGACAAGTTCGGCCTCGAGGACGGCACCAAAGACTTCATTGGCCATGCTATGGCCCTGTATCTCGACGACACATATGCCACCAAGAAGGGCACCGCCCCCGAGGCCATTGAGCGTATCCGCCTGTACGGCAACTCGGTGGCCCGGTACGGAAAGTCCCCCTACATCTACCCTCTGTACGGACTCGGCGAGCTGCCCCAGGGCTTTGCTCGTCTGTCTGCCATCTACGGCGGCACCTACATGCTGAACACCAGCGTTGACGAGGTGCTGTACGAGGGTGAAGCGGCCGTCGGTATCAAGGCCACCATGTCTGGCATCGAGCCTGAGATGAAGTTCGAGACCAAGGCCAAGATGATTCTTGGCGACCCATCCTACTTTCCCAACAAGGTCAAGGTCACGGGCCATGTGCTGCGTGCTATCTGCGTGCTCAAGCACCCCTTGACGGGCACCAACGACGCCGACTCGGCACAGCTGATCATCCCTCAGTCTCAGGTCGGCCGGAAGAACGGTGAGTCCCCCTTCAGAAGCCCCCAAACTTGCAGCCTTTACTGACTTGGACAAGACATTTACATTGCCTGCGTTTCTTCCGCGCACAACGTCTGCCCCAAGGGCTACTGGATTGCCATCGTCTCCACCATCGCTGAGACATCCGCAAACCACCACCTGGAGCTCCAGCCCGGTCTGGAGCGCCTCGGCAAGATCGAGGAGCAGTTCCTGGGAGCCCCCATCCCCTTGTACGAGCCCCTGGACAACGGCACCAAGGACAAGATCTACATCTCCAAGAGCTACGACGCCACGAGCCACTTCGAGACCACAACCGATGACGTCAAGGACATTTACCGCCGGTGCGCGGGTGAGGAGCTCAAGGTGGAGGGTCTGCGGGAGGGTATCCAGGTTGCTGAGGAGTAAAGGTAGCGACATGAACTGGGAGGGAGTTGAGGGAAAGATTCGATTGTGGGCTCGAACTGTTTGACACGGCCAGGTATAGGCCGAGTTCAATTCTAGTAGTGAAAGGGCATATAGCAGACACGAGGATTCCGTGCAAGAAGCAACCAACAAATGAAAGGTTTTTTGAAAATCGTGAGTTTTTTAGGAGCCTTTCAGTGTAGTTCTCATGTGAGATGTAGACTTGTTGGTGTTTTTGAGTCAACTGTGTCCTGATTAGCAGCCTCAGGAGCCCCGGAGAATGTCAATCGACTACTTTGACGGTATTTGCCGCCGATCTATTGTGGAGCAAAGTCAATAGGGGGAGGAGGCGCGCAGTAGGCATAGAAAATCACATGCAGCATAAGCCTGGCTCAGATTGAATTCGTTTCAAGTGAGCCGCATGAGGCTGTCTCATCGAATTATCATCTACCCCAGCGCATGAAGAACATGGCAGTCGAGCAAAAGAAACCCTGGCATATCGTCGCCAAACGCCGTTGTCCATGTGAAAACCCCGTGTGTATTTCTTACATGTCTTTTTCTCCCCTACTGCCTCCAATCTCACAATCCTGTCTTCCGCTCTCCCGCGCCTCTCAACGGCGCTGGTTCTTGCCCATACCACGCTTACCAGCAAACTTTTCAAATAGTTAGCCTCGAGTCCTGACATTCTGCAAGATTTAGAGCTGAGACTTGTGGGATATTGACTTACCAAATGCTTCGGCATAGACGCAGGAGTGTGCCTATCAGCCTCACCCTGTCTCGCCATCCTGTTCATCTTCCTCTGCGCGACCTTGGCCGTCCTCTCGGCCTTTGTGCGCACCGTTTCGTCGGTGATACCGTCGTGTAACCTGTCCGTCGCAGGAGCCTGGCTGCGCGCCCTGCTCTTGGACCTCAGGCGTTCCCGTGGGGTCTTGTCAACATCCATGGCATCCGAGACCTCCGTGCCGGCACGGCTCCTCGTAAGAGACCGGCCGCGCGAGTCGGGCGCCATCGCCCTGCCCCGGGCCTCGACCTCCGTCGCATCGATACCCAGCTGGTCCAGGTGGTCTGCGAGCTGCGACAGCGGCTTCTTGGTCTTGCTTCGGGGTATTATGGCGCGGTTCTTGAGGGACTTGCGCATCCTGGCCTCATTGCGGATGAGGGCCTGCTTCTCGCGGATGAGCTGGGCCTTCTCCAAGATCTCCTCCTCCTCGTCATCGTCCATCTCCTCCTCCGAGTCGTAGTAACCCTCATTCTGCAGGCGCTCTTCCTCCTCCTCGAGGGCAGCCAGCTTGGCCTCAATGTCTGGGTCAATGAAGTCGAACACATTCTTTCCATCGACGACCTCGGGCATCTTGTCGTATTTCCACTCTGGGTTCTTGAGGAGGTAGTCTTTCCGCAGATCCACCGAGAAGACACCAGCGCCGCCATTCTCCTCTTCGATGTCTCGTGCGAGTTGCCGCCTCTCGGGGTCATTCTTGTCGTACTTCTTCAAGCCCTTGATGCCCTCAGGAATGAATGTCTCCAGAGGCTTGGAACCCTCCATGGGCTGGGCCACGTGGATTCTGGTCATGATCTCTGTCAACCGGCTGCCGGCAGCACCACTGCTTGTCTGGCCAGCCTTCAGTTTCGACGCCACTCGCTCCGCGATCAGCTTCTCACAAGCCGCGTTCTTCACAGCCTGGACACCTTCTTGTGTGTTGCAGCTCGCCTGCACCATCTCGACCTCTCCAGACTTCAGCAGAGACTGCAGTTCAGCCTGGGTCTCGGCATCCAGGTCTTCTGGTCGGGTCACGTCGATCTTGTTGACCACGATGAAGCAGATCTTGTTGGCGAAGAGGGGTTTGATACTCTTGAAAAGCGCACACTGTGCCTTGACAGTGTAGCCGCACTGCTCTGAGAGGTCCATGAAGTACAGTATCGCAGCCCGCAAGTGAGCGATTGCAGTGATGGATTGCATTTCAATTGTAGTCATCTCCTCAAGGGGGTGATCCAGGACTCCGGGGGTATCAACGGCTTGGAAACGAAGGTACTTGTAGTCAAAATGACCGGCAAACAGGGACTTTGTTGTGAAGGCGTACGGCTGGACGTCGACATCGGCGCGAGAAATCGAGCGCAGGAAACTACTCTTGCCGACATTGGGATAGCCGCAAATGACGAGGGTTCGAGTGTTCGGGTCTATCGAGGGCAGACGGCCAAGATGTTGTCGGACCTCGTCCAAGTACTTGAGGGGGTTGTTGAGACGCTTGATAATGGTGGCCATGCGACCAAGAGCGGCCCTCTTGAGCTGCTTGCACTGGAACAGTGACTGTGCGTACTTGAGGAGGCGCACATAGTCACGGCTGATGGACTCGATCAGGTGCTTCGCGGTCGACAGCTGGCCGAGGGCGATCCGGAAGTGGTCGGCATCGTAGAGAGTATGCAAGAGATCCTTGTGGAACGGATGAACCTCATTAATGCGTGGGAACGCCTCGAGCACGGCGCCGATCTTTTCAGAAAACGTCTCCTGGGTGAATTTGACCTTTCTCGCTGGTGTGCGTTAGTCAACTCCTGACAGAGGCGAGAAGGAGGGGGGAAAGTACTGTAGAACCCCCGAATTCGCGAAATCTTGAAGCCCGCGCGAATCTGAGTGGGCAGTCGGCGTTGAGTTCTCGAGAGGACGATGTCGAGGAATTGTGATGATGACGGCACGGGGGGAATGTCCTTCCACTGAGTCTGGGTCTTATTGGGCGGCATCGTGACGAAGAGTTGTTGCTTGAGTGGCCACTGGGTGGTGTTGAAGGAAAGAGCGATGGGGCGGCTTCCTAGACGAAGAAAGAAGCGTCAAGGCAGAAAAAAAATTGACCACTGCGGGAAAGATACCGATAACGCCAAACCGCCTTGTGGGCTTACCGCCTGCAGACTGTGGTGCTAGTGCGTAACATGAAGTGGGCCCTGACACCAGATAGCCGAGGGAGGGATACCTACAACCTGCTATGGGATAACCTCTTGTGATGAATTGACTCTCTCCTTTGGGATACCCTTCCATGGGATGATCTTTCATGGGATGATCTGCCATGGGATAATCTGCCATGGGACACCTTCCTATGGGACAACCTCCTATGGGATACCACCAGCAGGACCACTTCCAACAACATATCATGGGATAATCCGCTGTGGGATACCATATGCGGAAATACCTCCCACCCCCATTGTGATACTCTCCTGCTGTGAATTACCTGTAATGGATCAAAATAGCAGGCTATTTGCATTTGGGTGACCTCCAGTGATGAGAATTTCTCTAGTGCAGTTCTGGTCTGCCTGTTCTGAACCTGACATTCACGGCTGGTGTACTTGACTAACACTTGGACCCTTGAGAGCCTGCATGCTTCGCTATCGATATCGATAAGCGCCTCCCCAAGATATTTTCTGAGAGAAGATGTAGTTGACTGCGGGGTCACAATACAATTTTTCTACCTTCGAGTAGCTAATCAATTCACATCATCCAAACACACAAGTTTCAGGGTTCAAGGCACAAGCAACATCACCTTTGCGCGTCCTCTTCATTGCACCCCGAAACTCTGTCAAAATGGCTGGACTTGCCCCTTACAAAGCCGACTTCCTCCAAGCAGCTCTGGAGGGCGGGGTCCTCAAGTTCGGCAGCTTCGAGCTCAAGTCGAAGCGCGTCTCGCCCTACTTCTTCAACGCCGGTGACTTCTACACGGCCAAGCTCCAAAGCGCCATCGGGACGGCGTTCGCCAAGGCCATCATCGAGGCGCGGCAGCAGACCCCGGGCTTTGACTTCGACGTCGTCTTCGGGCCCGCCTATAAGGGCATCCCACTCGCGACCCTGACGAACCTGAAGCTGGGCGAGCTCGACCCGGCCAGCCACGCCGACACCCTGTGCTCCTTCGACCGCAAGGAGGCCAAGGACCACGGCGAGGGCGGCAACATCGTCGGGGCCCCGCTCAAGGGGAATAGGGTCCTGATCATTGACGATGTCATCACCGCCGGGACGGCTAAGAGGGAGGCCATCCAGAAGATCCGCCAGGAGGGAGGGACCGTCGCCGGCATCGTGGTCGCTCTGGACCGGATGGAGAAGCTGACTTCCCCCGACGGCGATGACACCAAGGCCATGCCCAGCGCGATGGGTGAGCTGCGCAAAGAGCTCGGGGTCCCGGTGTTCGCCATCATCACCCTGAACGACATCATTGACGGGGTCAAGAGCAAGAGCTTGGCATCAGCAGATACCATTAAGAGCATAGAGGAGTACCGGAGCAAGTACAAGGCCAGTGACTAGGCTGGCCGCTGCTCCGTATCTAGCTTCATTGCTAGGTGAGTCTCTTTTCTAGTTTCCGGTGCCTTGGCCTTCTATCATCCCTTAACACGAAGAAGCAAAGGTTCGCAATCCGACCGTGATGCCAACATCCTGAACGCCTCGCCAGCAGCCCTGTGCAGATCGTAAATGGTCCATCATCCGTGACTCCAGCTTGCCTGGTCGCGCGACGGTCAGCAGACCGACGGCAATGCGTGCGCGGGCCAAGTTGTACCCACAAGAATTTTCCCGCCATAGAGACGGCGTCAAGGCAGAGAATCACTTGGGTGGCTGAGCGGGTCCCGACGTAGCTGCTGTGGCCGCCAAATCGAAGACCATATCGTGCCAACCGCCTCCACCAAACTCAGCCTTGCTCTTGCCTGCGTGCTTGAAACCGAACCGCTCATAGTAGCTCACAAGGTACTGTGCAGAACGTCAGTATGTCTTGACGAACGGTGGGGTCCCAGTTTCTGTAGAGACCAAAAGGTAAACGTACATCCTGGCAGATAAGAGCAACGCGCTCGGCTCCGAGGTTCTTCATCTGCTGGAGGAAAGACTTCATGATGAGCTTTCCGAGGCCGCATCCTTGCAGCTTGGGCGACACGGCCAGCGAGTGTACGCAGATGGTCCGTCCGCCCTCCCGGTGGCCCTTGTCGACATGCTGGACTTGCGACGTGCGCCAGCCCGCGGGTATCTCCATGTCGCTGTCCTGGACGATGCTGGAGCTCGAGGCAGTCGCGATGATGTGCGCCAGCAGGACGCTCTTGGCCTGGTCCGCACGGTCGGTCTCGACCGGGTGCGCAGTCGCGAGTGTCTCAATATCGAAGTCCTTGGCAAGATCAGGGACGACGGTGCAGAAGACACCCAGGCTAAGCTCGGGGCATTTGGTGAGACGGTACTCAAGCTAGACACGCGTGGCTGGTCAGATAAACCGCGTCTACATTTCAGACATGTCAGTGACGGGGGTCAGGGGAGAGCGAACCTTCTCGGGCGACGCTCTGTGCTGGGGGTCAGAAAACGCGGCGTTCTCGAGCGCGACAGTAGACCAGAGATCAGAGATGCCCAGGGGACGGATGTTTGGCGAGAAGGGGAATGGGAGGATCTCCTGGATACGGTTCTCCTTGCCCTTCTCCTTGTCGTCGCGCCGCTTCGAGCTCATGGTGCGCTGGAGCTCTGCGAACTCCTCGTCAGCGTCCTCGTCGTCGATGGCGGCGCCGTCGTCAAAACGGTCGTCTGGCTGCTTGGCTGAGGCCATGTCCACAGCTGCTGCAGTCCCACAGCACGGCGTTTTCCCAGATGAAGTTCAAGGGGCCTGCGGCACGCAGACCAGGCGAGGTAGTCCTGTCTGAGGTTGGTTGGACTCGTGACCAGCCAGACCGAGGCCGTGGAACACGAGCTTCGGCAACAAACAAGAGTGCGGTGGCACCGCGAACAAGTGGGTAGAAGTGATGCGGATGAAGATCCAACGGGAGAGAAAGAAGGGATCGACGCAGTCGTCAAGGTGAGACAGCTAGTTAAAGTATCTCGACGTCGTTTGACCTAGTTGCGAGGAGGGTGCGTGAGGTGTCGAGGCAAAGAAGTTGTGGAACCCTGAAAGCGGGTACCTATGTAGCTTCCAAGGTGTGGTGGGGAAGGGGAACGATGGAGGTGGGACGACTTGACAGACCGGGCTCGCCTTGAAATGCCTTTTTTCTTGCTTCTGTGAAAATATTCACTACCCGGATGGGATGACAGGGCTGGCTGTGGTTGGATCCCTGGGCACCCTACAGGTTGAGATGTGGACTGGATGAAAGGAACCAGGGCTTTGATGAGGTGGGTGTCACTCTCAGACGATGGCACCGGTGAAGGGGGACTATCCCCCAGTGTCAGTAACCCGGTATGTGGCAGCTTGAGACCACAGAAACCACAGACAACGTACCTGGCCAGGCGGAAGATAGAGTGAGTGAGTGACTGACTGACTGACTGACCACCTAGTCCAGGGAGAGCTTGCGGGCAGAGGAACGATCTGGACAGTCGAGTGTGGTCAGGCACTACTCCCTAGCAGAAGATCCACAAGGCCAGTGGACGGATGGGAATGTGTAAAATGACTGGACATGTCTACCTTGTGGATGGTGGGGTCCAGAATGATCACGCGCAGCCGGGACCCCTGAAGGTTAATACTGCATGCTGGGAGGAGGGAGTTGCAGTGCACTGTAGGAAGAGCCCCCAGACTACCAACCCGGCCGGGGCTGCATGGGTGAGGAGAGGAGGTGGTTGTTCTGTGTGGTTACTGTGCAGCTGCTATACCACGGCATGCCATGGAAAGGCACGCGGCATGCGTGGGTGTGGAGGAGGACCAGACTAGACTATCACGTTGCTTTTCCTGTGGGGAAGCGGTGCGAATGCGAATAGGCCAGCTACCAAGTAGACATTCTAGACTAGGTACCGTACAGTACCCCCTGGAATCTTCTCCCGCTCCAACCTAACCTACAGTAGTGGACAAAGGGGGGAAGATGAGGTCACCAGGGCCACGCGCAGAGAAGCAAGGACCTGTGAGACAGCATGGTGTACTCCGACTGTGCTGTAATTTATCACCCCTGGCCCGGGCGGGGTTGGATACCTTGGTGTTTTGCTCTTGATGTCTCAAGGCTGCCCAGCCAGAATCCGATTATTTCATCAACAACTGCAGTCTGCCAGTTGCGGAAACGGCTTGCGCTTGAATTGGTAACTGCAGTCCACGGCCAACTCCCGTGAGTAGCTGATGTATGCAGGCGAACGGCAAGCAATCCCGGTAATAAATGCCCGTCTTGTTGTGTTCTGCATGATCGGTACCGTCCAGGCCAAAGCGCGGGAGGCTCGGTATAGGTGCGGTTGAAAATATCAGATATTCACTTCTCCCATGCAGCTAGATAGATGGGTAGATAGATAGTCTAGATAGAGGGCTGCAGGACGGCACGCCGCATGAAGCCGCAGCACCTCTCCTTGGTGGTGGTACACACAAATACACACACACACACACAAACAGAGAGACGCAAAGCTTACCGTGTCCGTGACTACTGAGCAGTGCCGGGCCGGCCCAGCCTTGGAAGCTCCTTCCAGGCCCTACGGACCTGCACGATGTTGTATGAAGTCACATAGGTGGTTACAACATGTCGACAACCTGCCCAATTACTGTACTGTACTTAGCGAAGTCCGTGTTGATTCGGTGAGCAGACGACCCAGGCCGCCCGTGGCAGGTCTTGACATCGCAGTTGCCTCGATGAATCTGATAGTGCCGCGAAAGGTGCAATGCAGTAAGCAGGTCGTCTACTGTGCCGGCAGGCTCTTCTTGGTCGTTGCACAACAGCCCACCGAGTCCCCAGCAACCTGTGGGTCCCACCCGTTCCGGTATGTGGTCGACTGTTCTGTGTAAGAGCCCGTATAGTGAATGTGGACAGTCTACATCCAGATACCTGCGTGATGATGTGATCATCTGGCAACCGTGGGTGGCTCAGCCCAACTCTGCTCGAGGTCGACCGCTTGGAGCCACTTGGAACCCGGAAGCTTGTCCACCATGACCTACAGCTTCCAGTACCCATAACCACCGTTGCGCTACCGCCCTGTGGGTGTTACTCCGCTGCCTGCCCGATGCAATAGAAACTCCGCTGCCTCGTAGGGCGACCTGGAAGCTGTTTCGGCTAGGCTAGCTTGAAAGGCGAGGTACGCTGCTACCCTGGGATGCGTGTCCATGTTACCAAGGAGACAGACCGGTCCTGGTAGCACCGAGTGCCCACTGGGCTGCTGGGCTGATACCTAGTAGTTTGGTCTAGTTGGGCGCCAGGGAGTTTTCTGCCTGCCTGCCCGCCCACACCACCACCTCCCACCTTCTTCGTCATAGTGTACGTGCCTCCCACGTCCGGGTGACTGCATGATTCCCGGCACACCTTTTTTCTTTTGTCCGCTAGATCACATCTTTCTGATCAGTCAGTCACCTTGGCTCCGTCTTCCTGCGACTCCATAATCCGAAAGGCTGTCTCTGCAGGAAGCCACTTTAACTCCCGCCCAGCCCCCACCGCTGCCCACAAGTCTGTCAGTCTGTCAGTCAGCAGAGGGTCCAGACCCGCTCAGCCCGGGCTGCCCCTCCAGCCGTCTCCCCGTTGACGTATTCCGAGCTTCTACCTGGGCCAGTCCCGCTTAAGGTTTCCCAACCACGAGCTGGAGCGAACACGAATGTTGACCTTAACGATCTCCCTCTTCACCCGCGACAGATCCGGATACCTTCTTTTCCTGGACACCTCCTCCCAACACCCATCCGCCCTGTGGCTGTCTACGTCATCGCACTCACAATGTAAGCTCTCTCTGCACCACGCGGCACCATCGCATCCTTGAAGCTGATCTGGTCTCTGTCCAGGAGGATCACCCTGAGCATCAACAACCCGGAGGCCGAGGACCAGGACCTGCTGTCCTTGGACATCTTCCCCGACATGACCCTCGAGACTCTGCGAAGCTCCATCCACGCCGAGACCCGCATCGAGCCCAACGCCCAGCACCTCTACCACAATGGACAGCTCATAAGCGACAACTCCAAAACTATGGAGCAGCTCCAGATCGCTGACGGCGAGATGCTGGCGCTCCACGTCCGGGACATGCGAGGAAGTACGGGCGTGCCTGCGACCAGGGAGCAGCAGCCGCGCAGAGCGCCAACCGAGCAGGACCCCGAGCTCATCCGACTTCAGCTGCTGGGTAGCCCCCCTGAGTATCGCGAGGAGCTTCGTAGGACGCAGCCCCAGCTTGCTCAGGCCCTGGACGACCCAGCGCGGTTTGCGTCGGCCTTCAGAGATGTGTACGACCGGGAGCGGCGGGAGCGCGCGGACCGGCAGCGCCAGATCGCGGCGCTGAACGCGGATCCTTTCGACATCGAGGCCCAGGAGAAGATTGCTGAGATCATCAGGCAGGAGCAGGTCATGGAGAATCTACAGAATGCAATGGAACACAACCCAGAAGGTAAGGTGGACCGACCACCGCGGCACCCTCACACCATCCCCGCGGCAGGCGAGTACGAGTGAGGCTAGTGCGCTGACAAACCCTGCAGTTTTTGGCCGGGTGCATATGCTCTATGTCGACATCGAGGTCAACGGACATAAGGTCAAGGCCCTGGTAGACTCGGGCGCGCAGGCAACCATCATGTCACCACAATGCGCCGAGGCCTGCAACATCATGCGGTTGGTGGACAAGCGGTTTGCCGGCATTGCTAAGGGTGTGGGTACTGCCACGATTGTTGGAAGGGTGCACTCGGCCCAGATCAAGATTGGGTCTCTGTTCCTGCCCTGCAGCTTCACCGTCATGGAGGGGAAGAACGTCGAGCTTCTACTGGGCCTCGACATGCTCAAACGGCACCAGGCAAGCATCGACCTTGCCAAGGACAAACTCATCATCCAGGGTGTCGAGATACCCTTCCTGGGCGAGGCTGAGATCCCCAAAGACTTCGAGGAAGCTTTGGAGGAGGAGCCAACAGTAAAGGGGCCCGGTGGCACGACAATTGGAGGGCGATCTGGCGCCATCTCCCAGCCTGGGCCGTCTTCCGGCGGCCCTGGGCCATCTTCGTCAGCTCCGGCGGCGGCGGCCACCACTTCAGCAGCACCAGCTCCTGCTCCCGCTGCGTCAGGGCAGTCGCGATTCTCAGATGAGTCGATCGAGCGGTTGGTGCAGTTGGGTTTCCCACGTGACGCTGCGATACGTGCTCTAGAGGCGACTGGTGGCAATCTCGACTTCGCCGCAAGCCTTCTCTTCCAACAGTAATGTGACCAACCATCTGTTCATCACAGGTCGAAGGCGTCGATAAGTCGGGATTCAGCAAGGGCGAAACGGAATGCATTTGGGATATTATCTTTTTAGACTTCAGGGGGGCAACAGGAACGGTCGATCGGTACTGCATGTTGCATAGCAGAGGGTTGCATGCGAGCAAGGATGGGGGGCCCAGGCACCACAGCTGACAGTGGCACAGTAGATGGGCACGGATTACAAGGGATGAAGGGCATCTCACCTTGTTGCCATAGAGAGCAGAAGGCCAACTCACTCCCCTTAATAGATGATGACCGCACGGCATACAGGTTTGAGCAAAGGATGTGCATTTATGTTCATGCCTATACGTACGGGCTGCCCATAACTTTTGCACCCTCGCCCCTGGCCTGGCCTCCCGACTGAGCTCATCGTATCTTGTAGACGCAGGGCTTCAGCACGGCGGCCTCGTTGACGTCCTTGGAATCATCGTCGATGAACTTAGGCTTCTTCAGGAACGCAGGCTTGCCGCTGAGCCTATCCCGGTCCTCCTCCTTCTGCGCGCACTTGCCCTTGACGGCGGGAGCCGACTTGACGAATCGCATCGTGACGAACATCTTGTTGCTCAGATCGACGGCGTCAGACCCGCGGCCCTGGTCCTGCCCCTGCAGCATGAAGCCGCGCTTGTTCAGCACCTCGACGAAGGCCGTCACGTCGGTCTGCTGCCTCGTGTCGTCCTCGCCGTCGACCTCGACCAGCAGGGCGGCCTCGTTGGCGGCCTCGGCCTCCTTCTTGGCCGCGCCCTTCTTCGGCGCCGGACCTGCTGGCTTCCGCCTGTTCCCGACGCTGTGCTCCACCACGCCGCCGCCCTTCTTCATCCCGCCGCCGAGCCGGCTCTTGATCTCGGCGACCCAGAGCTCGCCCTTCCACCGCAGCACGCGGTACGCCTCCTCGACGAAGTCGACCCAGTTGGTGCCCATCAGCGCCAGGCAGAAGATGGCGACGTCGACGGAGCCGTTCGCCAGCGGCAGATTCGCGATGTCCGCCTTGGTCACGAGCGGGTGCGGGCTGTGCAGGTCGAAGCTGAGCACCTCGAGCTTGAGCTTGCCCTTCTCCCGCTGCAGCTCCGACGCCAGGCGCGCGTCGCCGCAGCCCAGGTCCGCGATGGTGCACACGTTGGTCGCGCGGTTGCGGGGGAGCGGCTGCACGTCGGCGGACCCAGCGTCGCCCTTGCCGCCGCCGCCGCCGCGGTGCTGCTGCTGGTTCTTGGGCGGGTGCCGCTGGCGCGCCCGCCGCCTGATCTCGGCGAGGAAGCCCTCGACCGGGTTCTGGGGCCACACCTCGACCTGCCGCCGGAAGCCCTCGTGGTACTCGGTGAACATCTCGGGTGACTCCTTGAAGAGGTTGAAGGCCTCGGCTGACGGCCTGGTGTACAGCGTCTCGTTCAGGTGGCGGAAGCGCGCCGAGATCAGCTTTTCTCGCATCGAGGCCTGCAGTGGGGTGAGTTTTTGCGGCGCTGGTACGGCCGCGATGGCCTTGGTGGCGGCGTCCTTGCTCGCCGGGGTATCGTCTGTCTCCTTTGGCGCTTGCTTATCCTTCTTTCCCTTCTTCTTGTCCTTCTTATCCTTCTTGGATGGCTTGGCGTCCGTGTCTGCTGCCTCCTGTTCCTGCTTTCCATCTTTCTTGGTAGATGGCTGCTTTGCAAGAGACTCCTTCTCCGGTTTGGAGTCATCTGAGTCCCGCTTTTGCCGCTTCTTCCCCGTCTCAGACTGCTTCTCCGTCTCCTTGGGCTGGGACTTTTCTGGCTTTGCAGCCTTTTGTGGTTGCTCATCTTTGTGGTCGATGACCTTCTCCCACATGTCGGCGACATTGGAGGAGGTGACATTTTCGGGTTGGGATGCCCTCTTCCTCTTTCTGGACTTCTTGGCCGGTGTGTCTGCAGGGGCAACTCCGGCCTCAGGCTTGAGGCTGTCTGCTGTGACAGACCATCCTTTGACGGCAAACATGATGACCAGTATCACCCGGCTCCCCGCCTAGGGGTGTAGTGCTGATCACGTGTGGGTGGCAGTGGTGGCAGCGATTGCTGCAAGGTGTGCTGCCTGTATGTGAGGTTGAAGGTTGTGAGATGAGATGAACCGGCTGACTGATTTTGAGTTTGTACGACCTTTTTTTCCTCGAGTCCAATAATCAGTAACGTTGAAAATTTTAGGTTCCACTTTTTAACCTACCGGGGCCCGCGCGGATCCCAGCGGGGTCGCGGCTTTGCCCTTAGACCGGAAAGTACAGTACTGTACATGGCCCAGGTACCACTTACGCAGGTACTGCACGAAGCTGCATGCGCGGACAAGCCACACACGCAGCAGGCAGCGCTTCATGTCGGCATATCAGGAGGATTTGCAGGAATTTGAGAGACACGGAGTGGTGGCAAGTCCCGGTTGTCTCGGCGCGGAGTGTGCCCCTCAATGTCTCTGGTGGGGGGAATACCTTTGGTGGTTGTACATGCGAGCACAAGCTCACCTGCTGATGATCCTGGCCCCTGTCAGCACCACTCAGCCGGCCTTCAAGGTTCGGCTTCCTTCCCAGCCAGACTCCCTACTGGGAACCAAACCTACCTCGTCCCAAGAACCCGTCTCTCAGCCTGCCTGGGCGGTAATAATAGCGCCGGCAGAGCTGCACCCAAGCAAACAGCGAAACCATACATCTACTCCAATCTCTCCGGAAGCATGTTACACATCGGATGACTAGATCTTGGCTAGAGATAGAGTTCTGACTGACTGGATTGTTGTCAACATGTGCGCAGCCACTGGCGTGCCGTTGATAACTAGACTACCAGCCACTCCGAAGCTTACCCAACCACCTCACCAAAACGGATCTCGACTCATTTCTCTCCATTATGCATCCACCGCTCACCGCATTTACACCTGCGCCTGCGCACCTGCAGCCGCGCCTCTCCGCACCAGCGTGCAGCTCGACGGGCTTCCCCTCAGGCCGCGGGGCGGCTGCTGACCTGTCTCGTCGCGCGAGGTGACACCCAATCCTCCTCTTCTCCGCACCCGATGCGCCCTTTCCCCAGATATGCATTCGCCTCGTCTCCTGCAGAGACTAGACGCCGACCTGGATCTGCCCGTAGGACCAAGTGGGACTACGCAGTCTGCCAGCATGGCTCCAAGGTGCTGCTCCTTGCTGCTCCTCGCGCTCCTCGTCATCACCCATGCATGACATAGTCCACGCGACTCGGTAGTTGGCCACTCGCCGGTGCTGGCATGGAACATCCTCGACCTCACGCATCCCACTAGTCAAGTTGTGAGAGCACGAACCCCCAATCACCGCTCCTTGACCACCCGAGATTGCGAGAGCATGTCTGATGTGGGGACCTGGCTCGCTATGATCATGCCCCGTCGTATTCACCGGGATTTACTGCAGGCCATGAGAGATATATAGGCTTTCTGTCCGTAGGATATACGAGGCCGCCATCTAGAATGCTTCTCGGAACCTTGCTTATACCGCCCAAGTGGATGGGGTCTCTTGGGTGTCTTCACAAGCTTTTCCTCAACACCAGTGATCTTTGTTCTCTCACCTCCACATTCGCATAGTGAGGCCCCCAGTCCGGGCTCATTGGTCTCAAGATGTCTTTGAGTAACCTGGCCTGCGCATTGCTCCTTGGGGCTGCTCATGCAATCCCCTATAGCGAGTATATCTTGGCACCGTCTTCTAGGACAGTCTATCCAGCGTCTGTTTACCAGGTCGGCGGCACGGTCGATAATGCTGAAGGCCTCATCGGCGGGGCAAACACGACGGTCACCATCTCAGGGACAAACAACGGCGGACAGAACTCGTCTGTGACTGTTGATTTTGGACGCAACATTGCTGGCCAAGTCTCACTGTCTGCACTAGACTCTGCGGACGCGAATGCTGCCATTTGGCTGACCTTCTCTGAGTCCAGTCTGTGGGTCAGCAGCTATGGCAGCGACGCGGTGTCGGATAGTGGGCTGGATGCACCCATTCCGCTGTCCGTGGGCGGAGGTTCCGGGACTTATACAGTTGAAAGACAGTACGCCCGTGGTGGCTTCCGATATCTCACCCTGGTCAACAATGGGACAGCCGATATTCAACTATCAGGCCTCTCTGTGCTCTTTACAGCGGCACCTACGCAGGATCTGCAGGCTTACACGGGTTATTTCCACAGCAACGACGAGCTTCTCAACAGGATATGGTACGCTGGAGCATATACAAATCAGTTATGCGATATCGATCCTCAACATGGCAACGCTCTAGTCAATGTCTTTCAGTCGAACCCGCTTCCTCTACAGCCATGGTACTACAATTATACCATCACGAATGGAACCAGCTGTCTTGTCGACGGTGCGAAGCGGGACACTCTCGTCTGGCCTGGTGATCTCTTCATTTCTGGCCCGTCCGTTGCCTATAGCACGTATGCCTTGGACGCTATCAAAAACTCCGTCGACTCCCTGTTCCTCCTCCAGACGCCCGAGGGCATCCTGCCTTATGTCGGTGTGCCTTTCCGCGACGTGATCAACCAGACGAGCTTCACTTATCACCTGCACAACCTAATCGGCGTCTACAACTACTACTGGTTTACCGGAGACCAGGCATGGCTACAGTCCCTTTGGGACCAATTCAAGCGCGGCTTGGCGTGGTCGCTCAGCAACGTCGACTCAAGTGGGTTGATGAACGTCACTGCCTCGGCAGACTGGCTCAGAGCCGGCATGGGAGGGCACAACATCGAGGCCAATGCGATCCTGTACTATACCCTCAATCTCGGGGTCCAACTCGCAGGTGTGCTAGGGGACGATGCTGCCATGTCAGATTTCCAGAGTGCTGCGGCCGGAATCAAGGAGGCTGCCAATTCACTTCTCTGGTATGTATGAGTTTGTCCAAGCCTGCATTGCGCACTGAATTGTCAATTTTGAAACGGCGGATCGCTAACAATGCCAAAAGGAACGAGGGACTGGGGTTCTACACAGATAATGAAGACACGACTCTAACCCCTCAGGATGGAAACAGCTTTGCCGGTACGAAATTCCACAGAGTTTTGAAGAGATGGAATTAAGGCATTCACTGATCCTTTATTAGTCCTCGGAAACCTCACAGAAAGTGACGCGCAGAAGGCTTCTATAATCAGCAACCTCCAGGGCCGTTGGGGTACCTACGGAGCGCCTGCTCCCGAAGTGAACTCCACACCGGCGACCATCTCGCCCTTTGCCACGGGGTTCGAGCTCGAGGCACACCTCGTCGGGGGCAATGCGGCGGGCGCGCTGGACCTCCTGCGCCTGCAGTGGGGGTTCATGCTCGATGACCCAAGGATGACGAACTCCACGTTCATAGAGGGCTACGCCGCAGACGGAGGCCTCGTGTATGCTCCCTACAGGAACGACCCCAGGGTCAGCCACGCGCATGGCTGGAGCTCCGCGCCGACGAGCCTGCTGAGCCGCTACGTCGCCGGGATCCACCTGACAGCGGCATTAGGCCAGACGTGGAGGATCGCGCCCCTGCCTGGAGGCCTCAGCACCGTGAGCTCGGGGATGAGCACGACGCTGGGCAGCTTCGCAGTCGACGTCGCGGCCGACAGCGGAGGGGCCATCACGAGCTTCAGCTTCGAGGCGCCCGCTGGGACGACGGGGGACGTCGTCCTGCCGCCGGGAACGGAGGGGTCTCTGACGAGCGACACTGGCGAGTCGGTGGCGCTGTCTGGTGGGATTGCCACGGGCGTTAGTGGTGGCAGGTGGACTTATTCCACGTGAAAACGACGAAGGTAGCTCCGAGTCGGAATAGATCTCGATGAACTGAGTGAATATGCCTCACATTGGTCTATTTACGGCCACGTATATGTGACCTGTCCGTGGGGGCCTGAAACTACAAGCCCTGAGCCAGAATACGGACTCCTTATGTCCGGTCTTGGGAGATCATGGCGACATGCCCTTCGGCCGGCGCCGTAGCACCCGCGGGCGACACCCACCCAGAGGTCTGTGATGTGTTTGTTTAACCCCGGCTTTCGGTATGATTTTCCGTCCTCCCTATTCCTTCGGCCAGACTCAAGGCAGATCAGCAAGAATAGGGCCGGACAGGCGAGGAGGAAACTTAATAGAAAGGGGTCTGAGAGCACGGAATTTCCTCCGGGGCTAGCCCTGTAGCTCATGGATACACGAACAACGGCGGCTCAACGGCGCAGTAGCCAGGCTGTTTGGTAGCTGTCAAAGTTGGTGGGTCCTGGAGTAGGGGTTTGAAGGGGGCGGACTAGGAAGGAGGCTACTGCTAGTTGCGGACGTAAAGTCACATTGTGGCTTGGAGTTTGCATTGTCCCCGGGTTACGCTATCTCCCAACTGCCGTCCAGTGACCCCTGGTGGGAAGGAAAAGCAGCTGAGCACGTTGGGTGATGCGGCACTTTGATGAGGTGGCCAGCGTGGGACAGGATCGGCCGTAATGTCCAACGGGCCTCGTCACAATGAGGAGATTGGGTTGAACTGGGTGGTATTCGTCCGTCTAATGCAGAATAGCCCATTGAAGCCGTCTAGCTGCCGCGGGTCCACCACAGACAGGGTCGACTTACAAATCGAGGCTGCTCCAGGAGCGAAGCCGAATGGCCAGTTTCTGAAGCCCCGTGCCCAAGCTTGTGAGAGCTACGCCTACCTGCCACGAGGGAATGTCCGGGAGCTGATGGGCCCATTCTGGCCAGACTGCCAGAGGACGCGTCCACGCCTGCACCAAGGAGTACGAGAGAAGCCAAGCTGTCCCGTGTGGGCGTGAGGACTGTTCGAGCTGCGCGACCATCCTGGCCATCCAGGCTGCAAAAAGCTGTCGTCTAGGATCCCCGGGGGTTTGCCTTGGGGACGCACGGGAGATCCTGTTGGCATGCGTCAAGTGTCATCGGCCCGCCCAATGCCACACGAGCCAGACGAGCCGTCTTGACCTAGTGGATCGACCGTTGGGAAGGGGGCGGCAGGTCTGAACCTCTCCAGGACTGTCTGTGTGCTCTGTGGCGGGCTTCGGAACCCGCCGAGGGTCGAGGTCCCAGTGATGTCCGACGAAGCAGTGCCAGTCTTACTTTCCGCATGGATTGCGGAGTTCGACTGACAAGTTGCTGATTAGGGGACTTACCGCAGGAACAAGAGAGGGACGGAGGGAGGAGCTGAGAAATCTTGTCGCGCTGGTGTAGTGCTAAGCGCGACACGGTCCTTCGAAGGCTGCGTCCAAGGCGACCGGCAGTGGGAGCATGCGCCTCTGAACCCACTTTCCAAAGCCTCGACAGCCGCGATAACCGACTGACTGAGTAGACTGGGCATCTGTAAACGAAGCCTGGCTGTTCGTCTCCCAAGGAGCCCAGCAGGTACCAACGTAGTCTATCTGCGGTGACGGGAGGAGCTAATAATGGCAGAGTGTGCAAGTGTGTAAGTGTGGAGGGCCTGTCATGTCCGCACCGAAACGGCCGGTTCCGTTGTTCCCGCTAGCTCCTGTCAAGTCAATTTTGCCCAGGCCGGCCCTAGCAAGCGCCGTCGACGGCAGTTTTTCATGTTGGTAGTAAGGACGACGCCACAATATGCAAACAATCCTCTCTTGCCTTACATGTGAGTCTGTGTGGCATCTGCAAGGGATGGATGTCAAGACAACATCCCGACCTTGAAGGCTGATGAGTGAAGGAGTACGTCCGTAGTGAGAGTTGAATCGGCGTTCAGGGTTTGCCAAATGCCTTAGGGTTTGACGGGAGGACGGGGGTGGACCCCCCCCCCCCATGCTCGCTCCTCCCCACGCCAACCAACCAACCTCCTGCAACGCGGCGCAACGACGACGAGACAGATCCCAAGATCTCTTGCTGCCATTTTCGGCGGTTTGCGTCACACAGCAGTCCCCGGTCGTGGAACATCGATTCATCACGATGCCACCAGCCATTGGCCACCGCACCTAGCTTCCCACTCGCCCGTGGAGGCCGGCCAGAGAGGCCAGCCCTGAGATGGCTGCTACCCGCCCTGCTCATCCTTTGCCCGACTGGGCCTGCTTCTAGATGCCTTCGTCCGACAAGGTTTGTGCCAGTCTCCCAATCTAGCCTGCGGCACGGGGGAATCCTCTGACACGTCCTAGCCGGCCAGGATGGTCAAGCCCCCATGGCACACGTAGGTATCCGGCGCGCCATGTACTGCCCGCGCAGGGAGCTGCGGCGTACACCGACATGCTGCCCTGGCGCTGCTGCTGGCCGTCGTGGGCGCACAAGTCCATTGTCCTAGGACATCATCTGCTCTGACTAGCCACTCCCGCCCAGACACTCGACGGGGACAATGCGGTGTGCGTTCCCTCTCGCCGTCTGCCTCAGCCCCGACAATGGCCTTGGACCAGATGTGCGCATCCGCCGTCTGAGCAAAGCTCCTCCCGAGGCTGGCGCCCCCTCGAGAGATACGTCCTCCCTCCTTCCCACCCGCCTTGTCGTTCTCGGCTCCATCCATGGTCCCTGTCTTCTGTCTCGTGTCTCCTTTGCCCATGCATCATCTTGGTTAATTCCTCCGGCTCCCTGGTCCTAGCACAGCGCCGTTCCCTCCCTCGGACGTCTCCTCTTCATTGGATGTCGATCTGTATCGAGACTGAGATACATTTGACGAGTTCTATACCTGCGTAGTGAGAAGACTGGTTATGCCCTGTGGGCATGGGCTCATGTCATAGATCTGGAAGCCAAACGAGCCCAGCGCCTGCACCGCGGTGCCATGGGAGTATTTAGATGCCAGCCATGCTCGTCTGGGTCTTGCCTTTGCACTCTGCCTTCAGCCTTCAGCGTACTACTACGTGCAATATCTCTCAAACCATCAGTTCTTGACCACGGCTTCAGGGTGTGTATGTGTACCACGGGATATTCCTGTACTCGAGCTCGACTCGACCCATTGCATGAACACTACACCTCTTGATGAACCACAGGCACGAGGCCTTACGCGTTTCCCTCCTCTCTGAGAGCCATTCATTCGACAGGCACTCGACGCTCGACTGATCCTCATCCCACGTTAGCACGGCTTCTGTGGCTGCGGTGTGGGGAGACGCTGTTGTGTCTTGTGTTTCTGTCCCACGCGACGCTGCCATCACCTTCGCGTTTTCCCTCCTGGCTCCTACTCCACAGGAGAAGGCGAGGCAGTCTCTGGCAAAACAAAGCGAGTACGGCCAACAAAACGCTTACCTGGCTGTACTTTCCTCCCGGGACCTATAGTCTACACGAAGCACCAGAGTACGACGAGAGCGGCGACCGACCGAACTCTTACTCCACCGGCACCTGCGAGTAACACTCGAGTTACACTGGCTTGTTTCAGTTGGCTCTGTTGAGCAGCTTTATATACTGTTCTGGTCTGCCCGTCCCCTTTGTGCTTCGCACTCCTTACCCTCCTAGCCCCCTCCTCGTAACTGCGCACAACGGCGGAACAAAGTCGGACTGTCTTGCTCCTTTGCTTCTCTCATCAGCGTATCGCTGTTCTGTCCAGCTCAACTGTCATCATACACCCAAGAATTGCCCACTGGTTATTCTTCCAAGACTTAATTTCGTCATTTCCGGCTCCTTCTCCGTGGCGAATCCGCGCTGCCCGGGAACACAATCTGCTTGGAGTGCCGGCGGTCGGACGACGATGTGAGGAGGCCTTGGGGTCTCAATCCAAAAGCACTGTTTCCTTATCAAGAAAGAGAAGAAGTACTTGCTGTCGCGAATCTCTGGGACATACTGTCAACGAGGATGGATTCAGTTGCGGTAGTGCCCGAGGGCACCGCAGCGGACGACTTTAGACCTCGAGAATTATCACCAACGGGGACGAACAAGGATCCATCGCCCCCAAAGAAGACGAACATTAGGAAGCGTACAAAGACCGGGTGTCTAAGTAAGTTTCTTTGCTACTTCCGCATCACAACAAAACTCCCTCAAAACCATCCCGAGGCTGATCCTGACCAGCGTGCCGGAAACGCCGCATTAAATGCGACGAAGGAAAGCCCATCTGTCAGAACTGTATCAAGTCCAAGCGACAGTGCGAGGGCTATAACACGCGTGTGGTCTTCAAAAACCCCATGGGCGCGCTTCCTGGAGGGCCCTTCGGACCAATTCCCCATTACCATCCGGACCCGACCGAGGCTCTCGTCAACGCCCAGCTGTCTTCGGCACACGCCAAAGCATCCTCGTCATCGCAAGGGCCTCTTCCATTCATTGCGCCAAAGCCTCCTAGCCTAGACTTTGGCAGTGCTGAGCATTACCAATACTTTGGGGCATATCCCGGTGCATTCCCGAGAGCCAGTCCCACGAACGCGCTTGGTTTAGGCGTCCACCACCCACAGTATTTCATGGGCCAGATGTCTCCTGATCCATTCCTCGCTCAGCAATCCAACACATTGATGGAATCGCCAGTCCAGATCAACCAGCCAGACTTACTCGACTTCTATGGCCAGTCACATTCACCAATCCACCCTCTTTCCTCGGGCTCCGTACCGCCAGCTCCTATCCATACGAATTTCCCAAGCATGGACAGGTCTGACGACTCACCAATTTTGCCAATCTCGCCACCTTTCTCCCAACCCACGTCCGCCAAGCTTGAAGCCAGGGACGTCAAAGCGGAAAGTTGGTTCATTGATGAGGAAGAAGCTTCGCTTGGCGTGGTGGAGGAAGGGCAGTCGCCCGGCAGCACCATTGACATCCCCGGGCTCCCAATGTCGGATCGTTTACAAGCACCCCTTGATCTGTATCCAACACAAATGAGTTCATGCTATGGGCTTCCCGGCGAGAACGTACTTGTCAACTACTCGCCATCACCCACGGACACACCCCTGAACGATCCACAGACAGCTCAGGTGTTCTGGTATTTTGTCACTATGACGGCTCCGTCGCTGTCCATGTACGAACGCAACACAGCCGAGCCGTCACGAACACTTTCGGGCGAGGCTGTTCCAACGTCTCATCGCCATATATGGACGTGTGAGTAGGCATTTCCTGGGGTCACTTGTCAAGATCGCACGGCTGATCCTTGCAGATATCCTGCCTCTCGCATCTCTGCAACATCCGGCTCTTCTTCAAGCGATACTAGCCATAGGAAGCCTACAAATGGCTGTCTTGAACAATGACGTTCCGACGGCATCGTGGCTGCACTACGGTCTGTGCACCCGTCGCAGCTCCAAGAATTACCGAAGTGCGAAAAGAAGAGCAGAGCCTGCTACCCTGGCTGCGACACTACTATTAGGCTTCTATGAAGTGTGGAGCAGCAACCACGAGAAGTGGTGTACACACCTTCTTGGGGCGCGACAGCTTATCAAGGAGACCCCATTTCGAGAAATGAGCAGACAGATATTGGGCATTCATCAGCAAAGACGACAGAACTTTGCGGAAAATCGTGCACGGAACCAATGCGGTGCCTCCTTGCCACATGTGAGCAGCTCAAACCATGAAATCGCAGACATCGACTTGGACTTGGTCAATCGCCTGTCGGGAAAGCCTGTGAACTTTGTGGACGACTCAGGTGAATTCACTGCCAATCCAAAAACGAGGCACTGTACTGCTCGCGATATTGAAAGCTTCGAGCATATGATGGACCTATACTGGTGGTTCTGCAAGATGGATGTCTACCAGAGTACGCTTGGGGCTTCAAAGCTGTTGTAAGTACAGAGCCGCAGCGATTTGTGTCGACCTGGTGGACGAGCTGACATATAACCAGTATGGAACTTGACCTGTGGACGCAGTGTCCCCCTCGCGCACCGATAAACAGGATCAATCAAGTGTAAGAGCATTTGGTCCTAGCATGTACCTAACCCAGCTAACACTTATTTGTAGATATGGGACATTCGATCATCTCCTTCTCGTTCTAGGCCGACTATGCAACTTTGTCGCCAATGATCTGCCACGCAAACGGAAGGCTAGGGAGCAAGAGACCGGCGCAAGCCCAAGAAGCCAAACTCCCCGCCACTTTTTGCTGGTATGTTCCCGGGGAGAGGTAGTATAAGATTGCCCAGAGGCCTCAGCCCCCCGCAGGAGCCATTCCTCTCGCCTGAGCAGATCCACGATGCCGTCGACCTGGAGACCAGCACACAGAAGGCCCTCGAGGAGTGGAACGACATAATGCAAGCGTTCCAGCTGTTCAAGAGCAGCCTCGGGCCCGACTTCGACCCCCTGAGCGACGACGCCCACCCGCCCGCGGACTCGCCCTTTGGCCCCGGTTTGGACGTACCGTGCGTACACCATCGCCGGCATCTGGATGAACTTCTACATGGGCCTGGTCATACTGCACCGCGCGCACCCGAGCATGCCGCCGTTCGCGATGGTGGCGGCGCACATGATTGCCAAGGAGACAGACCCCTATGCCAACGAGATCGGGCGGATCGCGGCGGGCGTGGCGGGGAACCTTACCATGGAGAGCGTGATCAGCGCACCGCAGTCATCGGCTCTGATTGAGTGTTGCTTCCCCATCTTCGTTGGCGCCGTTCAGGTAAGAACATCCTCGGGCACACATCCTGTGCTCTCCTGTACCCTCCATCCAGCGCGGCTTGGCGATAGTACTGACTCTCGATCCAAAAATAGTACCGAGGGAAGCTCCAAAGGCAATGGGCCATCAGGCTGCTCCACCAGATAACGCGGCATACCGGGTGGCAGACGGGAGACCAGATCGCCAGCGGCTGCGAGGGGGCCTGGCGCAAGGCCGCGGCCATGGGCGTCGCGCCCGTGTACGAGCCTGAGTCTGAGTCCGACGCCCTGCGGCAGGGCTGGACGACTCGCAGGCTTGACGAACGGATCCAGGAGGTGGACGAAGGGCATAACAGGCCGGTCCTCCAGAGGTCGGACCGGGCGCACGTTGCGTTTGGGCTGCTCAGTGTTGAGGACGATATGGAGAGGCTGACGTTAGAGGACTGAGATAGATGGTTCGGACTTGTATGCATCATATTGGTTTCAGCCTGTGATATGGTCATTATCCTTTTGCACGGGGCTTTACACAAGAGCATCGAGGATGGGGAACGCTGGTGGTCTCGTAATCAGGGGGGATGTTTGTGATGGCCCTCCCTGTCTGATACCACTGTGGGTTTTTGTCTAGTCGTTTAAATCGTCAATAGACTAATGATACAATTCGCAATGAGCGGAGGTCTCTGTCCTTTATTTGTTCGTTCAGCAGTGACCTCGTCATCTCATTTGTCTAGATCATGACGCCCCGCAAAATCGCCCAGGAACCCACTGGCGTTGAGCCGCGCGTGCACACGAGGCGGCATGGCGGTCACTCGCTCGGGCTTACTAGACAGATGCGATAAGCTCCTCCAGCCTCCGGAGGTACCTCTTCCTCACCTCTATCTCTCGTTCCAGCCGGTCCCTTTCCTCGTTTAGTCTCTTTATCCCCTTGAGCAGCTCCTAGCACCGCTAATTTGCTGGAAGACGCTCGACGACAGCGGCCATCTCTTCGTCGGTGTATATCCGGAAGCCCTTCTCCTTGGTCACGCTCGCCAATTGCACGTTCTTGGAATCCAGCTTCTCCTCCATCACCTGCTTAAGGGTCTTGAGCACCAGGGTCTCTGCGTCTATCAGGGTGAGAGACTAAGGGGGATGAACGTCAGCCCAACATCCACTATAATGTAGTCCCGCCAAATGCTGCCCGCCCGCCGTCGCTCACCTTGTGGTACTCGTTCTGCAGCTCCGCCTGGGCGCCCTCGCTCCCGCTGCCAATGGCCTTCGCATCATACCGGTAGAACGTCCCGCTGGGCTCGGCGTGGTACAGGCTTGGGCCGTCCTCGTCGTAGCCGGCGATGAGCAGGGCGACGCCGAACGGCCTGCTCATGATGCTCTCCTCGCCGTCGGCGCTCTCGCCGAAGCGCAGCGCCAGGTCGCAGATGGCCTGCGTGCACGACTCGACGCGCAGGCTCTCGTTGTAGTTGAAGGCGTGGCTCTGGCACTCGACGCGGGCGTGCTCGACCATGGACCGGGCGTCGGCCTGTAGGCCGGACATGGCGCAGCCGATGTGGCGGTCGATCTCGACGATCTTCTCGACGGAGGAGGTCTCGAGCAGGGTGGAGGTGACGCGCTTCTCGACGCCCAGCACGACGCCCTCGTTGGTGGCGACGCCGATCGCCGTGCTGCCGAGCTTGATGGCCTCGAGGGAGTACTCCACCTGGAACAGACGACCCTCGGGGCTGAAGGTAGAGATGCCCCGGTCTGGGTCCCGTTGGGTTAGGTTAGCTGGACCTAATGGAGAGTGCGAGGGGCTGGTGGGAGGTGCTGACCGTATTCTGAACGTGCCATAAACATCTTGGCGGTATTTTGGAGGTGAGGCCGTAAGAACGAGAAGAGTGCCGAGTGCTGTCGTTAAGAAGCTGGTGTGCGGGTTCGAGAGGTTGGGTCGTAGAGTAAGAGGATGGAGAGGTGTTTGACAATGTGAGTTGAGCTCAAGACGACCAGGCAGAGCAACTGTCGTAACCAAGCTCAGCCTGCCCCGGCGACAGCGCAGCTTTGGAGCTAGCTTGCAGGGATCTCAATGGGCTGCCAAGTACCCAGGTACATATTGAGAGCACTTAGAAGCGAACAAAACAACCACATTGAGATACTACTTATGCATTATCCTAAAAGGAATGGCAGGTCACTCTGCAAGACTGCATTCCACAGGAAATGTGCAGTTTGTGCCTAACACCTAGGAGGTAGATAGCTTACACCTCAATGTTCGAGGCTATGACAAGCTGCTTAAGTACCTCCAAATAGCCTGGGGTCCCCACCAAGTTCAGAGTACCTGGTCACCCAAGATACAGTGGGTTTGAACACGGGTGACGCGCCGCCGCCTGGGGTTTTGGAGCAGCATCAATCTATGGATCGCGACCACAAAGTCAACAGAAGAAAACCAACCCCCCCCCCCGAAAAGCCCCTCGCCGCCCCAGTACCCTTTGCAGCCCATGCCACCAGACCAAAACACCCAGCTGCGCGTTCAGACGTGACGGGCTACCATGTCTGCGCCCAGTCGACACGCTGCCTACGCCGCGGGGGACAAGACGTCGTCGCGAATGCCCCGGATAAACACCCGCGACAGCACCACGAGGACTTCGTTTGAGTCCAGGTCGCAAAAGGCAGGCACAGATTCTCCAGGGTCCGGACCGGAGCGACCGCCGCACAAGAGGACGCTGTCGGGAAATCCACGGGTGAACAGCATGCGGTCCAACGAGGAGAGAGAGCGGCGCACCGAGAAGCACACCGTGACGACGCGCGAAACCTTGACGTCCAGGACAAGGAGCCCTGACCGGAGGCATGGGCCGTCTATGTCGACTGGTAAAGCCAGGGCAGACCCGAGGAGGGCTGCGGACACGACATCGAAGGACTTGAGGCAAGAGGCGCCTCCGCAAGGCACGATGGAACCCCTGAGCATGCGCGGATGAGTATGGTGCTGACCTGCAAGTGATACAGCCCCATGGGAACCGGAAGCGACTCTTGTACCGCTCACTTCTGCACCCTTGGCCTCTCGAATATCAATACCACCGCTAGCGCTGCACGCGCCTGCTTCAGTACAACCGAAATCGCTGCCGGAACTCTCGTTAGAGGCACAAGAGGCTGCCATACTGGAGGATCTGTTGTTCGTGTTCATGGGCTACGAGGGGCAATACATTCGTTTCGCGAAAGGCTACGACCCCCACGAGGAGAGGGACCGGCTCGCTGGCCCGACGCACCGCATTCTGGCCGGCCTGGACCCGAGCTTGCAGGACCTTACAATGTCCATGTTGAAGATGGCGACGTACTATACTGCTCTGGAGACATTCATCGACGTACAGAGCCGGGAAGAGTTCGGATCTGTGAATCATGCGCTGTGTGCCTCGATCCGGAAATTCTTGCAGGACTACCTCGTCCTCATTGCGCAGTTGGAGACGCAGTTCCTCACAAGCGACGCCTTCACATTGCACGTTCTTAATATCCACATCCTGCCGACCAGCCATATGATGTTCCAACTCTACTCCCTGGCGCATGAGCTCCTGAAGAGGAATGCGCTGTTGGACGAGGAAACGGACGAGTCTAGTGATAGTGCGGACGATTTCGACCAGATCCTGGAGCAGCTAAGGGATGGCGGAGACCTCATGCCAGGGAACATGACGGGCAAGAAAATATGCAAAGGAGGCGTGGTGCTTGGCCTCATCACCAAGAGATTAGAAACCATGTCTGGAGACCCAGCCGCCAGGGCACTCCTTACAAATCTGCTCAGAGATTCAAGCAAGCCGTACATGGTCATGCTGAATGAGTGGCTCCATCATGGCAGTATCAACGACCCGCATGGCGAATTCCTGATCAAGGAGCAGAAAAGCCTGCGCCGGGAGAGGCTAGAACAAGACTACACGGACGAGTACTGGGAGAGACGTTACACAATCAGAGAAAAGGAGATCCCACCGCAGCTGGAGGCCGTCAAGGAGAAGGTGCTCCTCGCTGGCAAGTATCTCAACGTTGTCCGGGAATGTGGAGGTGTGGACGTCAGCAGCGACGTAAAGGACAAGCCAAAATCCTTTGACGACAACCGATTTCTGGAGAACGTCAACAATGCATATTCGCACGCGAACGAGTCTTTGATGCAACTGTTGCTGACGACCCACGCCCTGCCGGATCGTCTGCGGTCCCTGAAGCACTACTTCTTCCTCGACCCATCGGACTACTTCACTTACTTCTTGGAACTTAGCGTCTCGGAACTTCGAAAACCGACACAGGTTGTCAACATCGCCAAGCTGCAGTCACTATTGGATTTGGTCCTGCGGCAACCAGGGAGCATCGTGGCATTAGATCCCTTCAAAGAGGACGTCAAAGTGCAAATGAACGAGATTACCCTCATCAAGTCCCTCCAACGGGTCGTTAACATCACTGGCATTGAGGAGGGCGGGGCACTGCAACCCCTGAAGGACCAGCCACTTGAGAGTGACAAGAAGGCTAACGGCTTCACGTCTCTGCAATTGGATTATGCAGTACCATTCCCAGTGTCTCTGGTCATCAGCCGGAAGACAATATGGCGGTACCAGGCTTTATTCCGTTATCTCCTGTCACTGCGGCACCTAGAATCGCAATTATCTACGGCTTGGCAAGTGCAGACTCGTGGCTTTATATGGTGCCGTAGAAGCTCAAGCAAGGAAGTCGAACTTTGGAAGAAACATGTCTCGACACTCCGGGCTCGGATGCTGGTCTTTGTCCAGCAACTACTATACTTTTGCACCGCGGAAGTGATCGAGCCAAATTGGCAGTCTCTCATATCTCGGCTCAAGGCCAAAGACGACGATGCATCCAAAGGTTTTACCCGGACTGTTGATGAGCTGATGCAGGACCATGTGGATTTCTTGGATACCTGCTTGAAGGAGTGCATGTTGACGAATAGCAAGCTCCTCAGGGTGAGTTGAAGCCCACTGTCGCCCGCGAACGTCGTCTCCATTACCGCTGCTAACTAGTGTTCAGGTTCACTCCAAGCTCATGAACAACTGCACCATGTTCACCGGTAGTATCGATTGGATGACGAGAAACCTGGAGAGGGCCGACCCAGACCTGCAAGGGCCGACAAAGCCAAGGAATATGACCGACGACCAGTGGAAGCATGTGCTGGCGAACAGGGAAAAGTGGCAGTCGGCGCACGGCGACTCGGCTAAGAGCCCCGAGGCCCTGCTGGCCGTGATGATGGAGACGATTAAGGCGTGGGAATTCAACTTCGGCAGGCATCTCAAGATCCTCCTCGACGCGCTGAACCACTATGCAGCGACGGAGACGGTGGTGCTACTCAGTCTCTGTGCGAGGCTGAGCGCTGCAAACCAAGGCACGGAACACGTCGGGTTCAGGAACGAGGATGAGTCTACTCTTTGAGCTTTGTCAACAAGATACCAAATGCGGTCATGATTGCAAGTTGGATGGCGTTAGCTGGAGTCCCGACGACACGTTGCATGCCAGGCCCGAAAGGCCAACGAGCGTCAATGGAAATGGAAAAGGGGAAAGGGGGCAGGACGGCGTCTACTTGGGCTCGATTCTGTAAATATTTCCGAAGATACCTTGTACGGATGCGTTGTGAAGTCATTCACTTCAGGTGGGCGTGTCTAGTTTGCCACCAAGTCCAGTGAGAGGTCTAGATGACAGGGGGCCCCAGCTCCCCTAGAGCTCCCCCAAGGCTCATGGATTGGGGGGTCGGCACCGTCGGTTGAGCGCCAATCGGCAGCTCGTTGCCGGCCGGATGGACCCTCCCCCAGTCCCTAACTGGAGGGCTAGGTGGTGATGACAGCACCCCCAAAGCGCCGAAGGTCATCAACACCACCGCCACGTAGACTGAGGAGACTATGTTACGATTCCAACACTGTCGCGTCACGACTTGCATATAGCCAAGTCGCGGTTCCGTCACGCTCTTTTGCTTTACTTGCTCTTTACGTCGATAATTCTGGATTGTATTCTTAAAGTGTCTTTACGGAGGGTCCCTGCCAGAAACGGACCGGATTTCCAAAACAACAAAAAAACAACAGCCTCGTCTTTGGAAGACGGGCGCTGTGCTGCCTTCGATTCGACCACTCACGACCCTCATTCTTGGACGTCAATAGAACACCTGAATTACTCAATTGTAACCGAATCCACGACCGAGCCAGACCTTTGACGCATACCTCCCCCGCCACACACATACTCGTGCTTGTGCTTCCCCATTTCGCCCGCCGACATGCCTCGAAACCGCCCAGCCACGACGGGCTACGAGCGCCTAGAACAGGCCGACCACTCGAGCGATGAGTCCGAAGACGACTTCATGCTGCAGAGCTCTGCGTCCCTGCAGGACCCCCGAGCTCCCCGCTATAACCATACGTCACAGCCGCGGCCCCACTCCGGCATGGCCTCGCCGAGAGCACATGCAAGCAGCAGCACCACCACTCGCCCGGGAGGACCGAAACACAGCCGCGGCCGGAGACTTAGGAGCAACTCGGGCGTGGACGTGAAAGCGATAAACGCGCGGCTGGAGCGATGGGCAGAAGAGATAGCCTCCAAGTTCAAGCGGGGGAAGAAGGGCAGGCACGGCGACGACGACGAGGGGCGGCTCGAGATCCATCACAGCGTCTTCCAGGCACCTGAGGGCGTGAGGCCCGCCACGGCGCAGAGCCTGGCAGTGCCTCAGGAGGGCGTCATGACGAGGGACGAGTTCGAGTACATCGTTGACACCGTGCGGCTGGCTATCGAGCAGGGCGTGCACCCGAGGATGATCACGCAGGGCAGCTCCGGGTCCTACTTCGCGCGGAACCCGGACGGCAAGGTCGTGGGCGTGTTCAAGCCCAAGGACGAGGAGCCATACGCAGCAGGAAACCCAAAGTGGAACAAGTGGATTCACAGAAACTTGTTCCCTTGCTGCTTCGGCAGGGCATGGTACGTTGAGAGAGCTCTGAAACTGTGCCGCACGTTTACTAACCCCCGACAGTCTCATTCCCAACCTTTCCTATGTGAGCGAGGCGGCAGCCTACACTCTTGATTGCCAGCTCCGGACTCATATGGTGCCTTATACCGATGTTGTGTGGCTCGCATCGAAGTCATTCCACTATCCCTTCTGGGATCGCTACAACTACTCTAGGAACAGGAAGACATTACCTTCAAAACCAGGGAGTTTCCAGGTCTTCCTGAAGGGGTTTAAGGACGCGAACGTTTTCCTTCGAGAACACCCCTGGCCGGACCAGTACCTGTCGGGTGTACGAACCAACGACACGCATCGCAACAGGCGCAGAAGATGGGTAGATAATTGTCGGCCCATTGCAGGCCGCTTAGAAGATGACGATGGTGGAGACGACGGGACAGAGACCCCAGACCGGGTGCCTGGTCCGGACAACTTCATGTGGACAGAAAGCTTGAAGCAGGCTTTCAGAGAAGAGCTTGAGAAGCTGGTGATACTGGACTACATCATGCGCAATACAGACCGGGGCCTCGACAACTGGATGATCAAAGTCGACTGGGAGACTGGGGAAGTCTCGATAGCTTCGGAGCCCGTGCATATGAACATGGACACCGAGGAGCAACCGAACGGGCCGAGGCCGGTGGATCTGAGCCAGAGGCCAGCGCAGAACCGCTCATCATACCCATACAAAGCTCAGAGACCCATGGAAGCGTCAAGTCCAACAGATGGGCCACGGGATCCAAAAATCAGTATAGGGGCCATCGACAACTCTTTATCATGGCCTTGGAAACATCCTGATGCTTGGCGAAGGTGAGTACAAAGGCGCAATCCTCTGGTGGACGAGTAATTGCTGATGGAAATGACAGCTTCCCCTTCGGCTGGCTGTTCTTACCCGTGGACCTTATTGGCAGGCCCTTTTCGCAGAAGACGAGGGATCATTTCTTGCCACTTCTGACCTCGACAGCATGGTGGAGTCAAACGCAACTTGCGCTCAGGAAGATCTTCCAGATAGACCCGGACTTTCAAGAGAAGATGTTCTCTCGGCAAATAGCCGTCATGAAAGGGCAGGCATGGAACGTGGTAGAGACGCTGAAGACGCCGGATCACGGCCCCTTGGAACTCACCCGGCGGGCGAAGGTGTGTGTGTGGGATGACCTGGTGGAAGTCCCCGTGGCCGTTCCTATGAGGGCGACATCATCCGAGATGCGCAGGCGAACCGAAGAGGATTTCCAAAAAGCCATCGAGGAGGAGATGGACATCGGCGCGGCAAACAGCTCGGCCCCAGCCGCGGACCTGCTCGGCCTCGCAACGCCACCGGCCGACCTGCCACACCCCGGCAGGTTCGAACTGTCTGGCAACGTCACGGACACAGCCGTGGACGAGACCCAGTCACTGGAGGACTCGGCTCTGTTCAACAACGAGGGCACGGCGGCGTCCTCGCCGACGCGGACCAAGCACGACCGGCCCAAGATGCCGGGGGCGCGATTCGGGACTAGCTACCCCGGCCCGCAGCGGTCGCACTCGACGCTCAACGTCTACGCGAACAACAGGCGCGAGCGGAGGTACTCGTTCGCCACGGCCATGGGCCGGCGGAACAGCAGCTCCATCGCCCAGAACATGTACGGCTACGACGACGACGTCGAGGGCGACCTGGGGTACGCTGCCGCCGAGGGCATGGAGGGCAACCAGCGCAAGGTCATCGTGGAGAGGCTGGAGCCGGTCAAGGCTCGGAACCCTGTGTTTACCTGGTGTTAAAAGGGGGCAAAAGAAAAACGGGTTAAAAAAAAACAGCATCTGGCCGTTCTGGGTAGACTGTAAGATACGTGCGTGGGGGTGGGCGGCATCATTCAGAGGCGTCCTACATGACTTTCACGTTTTTGTCATATCTCGATGGGATTGATTTAGATTGGCTGGGATTGCTCCGGGCTTGCTCTCCGCTAGATGGATTCTGCATAGTGATAAAAGGACGCTCGGCAGGGGAGGCACATTTCCATGCTTGACGGCTGGTGCGTTTGAGGGTGTTTGTTATCGTCCTCCAATACAGTAAAAGCGAATCTGCCAGATTTGTGGTGTTCCGTCTGATCACTGGTCTTGGTGCCTCTCTACCTGTCTCGTCCGCAACCTGTCGTCTCCTTCAAGATCAACTTGAAGGATATCGGATTAGTATCAGGCTTGCGGGCCTTCGAGAAGGTTTGTGGGAAAAGTGGGAAGGTTAGAATCGTGAACATGATTCGCTCGGCGTCCGTTGTAGGATGCAAGAGTCATCGAGTAGAGGTGGTGGGCCTCCACGTCTCTAGCCATGTCCATTCCCCGATGCCCATTCCCTTGCCTCACCTATACCCACATCGTCTGCAGATCTTGTCGCTCTCCAGTCCCTACTGTGTATTTACCTCAAACCTCGCAATCTCCTTCCACCGCCGCTTTGACGCCTCAACGTGGAGCTTCATGTGGCTCATGCCGACGCGGCGCGATCTGTGGATGACTTCTCGGCCGTCGTGATCGTGAGTAACTGCTTCTGCGGAGATTGCCATAGGTGAAAACAGCGCAAGCTATGCTCCCATCCTGCGTCTTCAAGATTGTCGTACGTTGTCCCCATCCCACAGCAGTACTCATCCCCCACAACGACCCGTTCTCCTGGGACTTTTATGCCGCCCCACCGCGTGGAAATGCATAGAAGACCTCGGAGGCAGGAAGGCGGGGGGGGGGTTGTCACTTCATCATACACTGCGACGTTGCAACCGCAGTCCTGGGCTACCGCACCTGCCTCTTATCTTGTGTTTCTGGGTACATGAGGACTGGGCCGGGAATTGCAGCTTCTCGCGGCTTGGTAAACAGGAAACCGACCCAAGCACTTGGGAACCCCTGACCGGGAGGATCCAAGCCCCGGTGGCCCAATCCGAGGTGTGCCATCCTGCTGGATTTGCAAAGTTTACCCCCACCTCCCTCCTTTTAACGACACCTGTTTCTTGTTGGTGTGTGTCATCTCAGCGGTCAAATATCACATACTTATGTCTCCTTCCGGGGCCTGTGTTTGTCGCTTGGCCGCATATGTATCTGCATCTCGTGCGCTACAAAAGGACGCGGGCCTGCAGTGTTTGTCCCCGGCTGCTGTTTCTACTGCCGCTGCTGCTTGGAACTTTTATTAAAAGGGACAGGCTTGCAGAGGTCGCGGCCGCCGCCGACCCAGACCCAGGGCCCAGTGATGAAATTCATGCGTAATGTATGCGCGCATGGCGGGACGGTGAAGGTCGTGTGAAACACCCAGTCGCAGATGTGGGTAAAAAGCTTGAGCGGGAGAATATCACGCACGTCGAAACATTGCAAATCCCGACTCGGTAGTTCGCTTCTTGATGAGCCCCTCCCCTCGCGGCAGTTTTGATAGACAATGGACGAGACCTGGGAGGCGACGTGACTGTGAATTGTGGCGTGCGCCTAGTAATCCGACGGAATGGAAACTCGGCTCTTAGTGTCCCAGTACTTCGGGTCAAGGGCAGCCAGGGGTGGCCCTGTTAGGGAGGGTGACGCCACGCCCCGGGCCCCCAACGTCGGGTACCCACTCACGGCTGACCTCAACGTCCGGCCTAACGTCCGCACAAAAACGAGGGAACCGTTTTCAACGCCACGGCCCCAGGCTTGCTGCTTCCCCCTCCCTCTTCGTCCCATCACGGTTCCGCCAGACGCAACGGCCCGAAATAGCACTGCTGTTCATTTCCTCGTACGGGGCTGGGATCGACCCCCAGCGCCCTCGTCGCAAAGGCCTCGTTTCGTGAATGGGCTTCCGTTCGTCTCAGTACGCCCGTACGCCCGCCGTTCTCAGCGCTGCGGAGGGCTTGCTTGAGATCATCCAGGGAATGATTGACACGGCGCGGAGTCGAGGGGCACGGGTCAGATGTGGGTATCCTTGCCGTGGTTTTGTATACCGCTTCGGTCCTTGTCCCATCCACCACCGTTTCAGTAACTGGGACTCCAGTATTCGACAGGGGAACCAGGCGGATTGCAGAGTTGCATAGGTCAGACTCTTGTCCTTGGCCGGAGGACCCAGTGGCCTTCCTTAGCCATCCCGTCGACTCGTGTTGTATAGGTCATGGGCAGGTTTCGCTCCTCGACCACTTAGGCTTGAGGTCTGGACAACGCAATAGTGGGACGACAGGGAGCTGGGGGGCGCCGCTCGTAAATTGTAGCCGTAGACTGCTACTTTTGAGTGCAGAACGCTGCATGTGGAAGGCAGATCGACAGGCCAAATTCTGGTCCACGTCAGGATAGCCCGGCCTAACCATGGGCCCATGAGGTCCCATCCGAATGGCGCGCTATGGAGTCTGGGAGGGAGCTTTGTCGTCTAAAGCGGCCGTTTACCCGGCTCCGAGGATTGAGAAGTCGATTACAGTGGCCGCTGTTAAGACCTTTGAGCTGGTGACTTCTCCTGACCACAAGCAGTGGTCACGGCCAGGGCAGGTGAACGGTCGGCTCGTCCAGATTGTCACTCTGCACAGTGGAAGGTTTGCCGTATTGAAGCTTGATTATATGATTCGTGGTGGAAAAGAGCCTAGTGCCGAGGCCTCGTGTGTGTCTTCAAGCCCTCGTCGGCACCTGTAACCCACTTGCTGGATCTCGTAGCCAACATCTGACTGCGTCGGAGTGCGGACAGGCTCGTACCTCTTCGTCGGCGACCATCCATTTCTGCTACTCTCGTCACGATGCTTTTGAAACCGCGAGAAGCTTACTGCTCGAGTCTGCTTCCGGCGATTCCGGGGGCAAGGTCTTCAGGGATTCCAGTATTTGGCCCGTGCCGTGACAACTCTGGGCCGGGGCCTTTGCATTCAGTCGGCCTACCGTGGGACGAACCTGGGTCCAATAGTACAACCACCCCAGCGGCGCACAATCTCCCTAGGCCCCGTGTGTTGACTTGCAGGTATCGTGGGTCGCTCCTCAGTCGCGCTTTTAGTCTCCTGTCCACGTACCACGGTACCTGCGCTGAAGTTTGGTCCCTGGGTATTGTCTGGTCGAGCTTGCCGGGATGCTGCTTTTTGGTCACCGACCGCCAGGACAGCCAGACGGTCGACCCACAAGGGTTCTTAAGAGTGGAAGCGGCTAGGATGAAGTTGCATCAGACTAAAATTGACCCAGCCACCTGGTCTGTGGCCCCTCTGCTCTCCATGGGCGAGAAAGTCCTTGCCATTACCATATCTGGCTGGATAGAGATAGCCAGAAGCAAGTCAACCCGGCATCGCTGCCAAAGGGTCGTGCCGGGTTTGAGCTCTAGTCGGGTCTAGCAAGTTGGCGCAGGGAGCAGCATATGTGTGCCTGTCCCCATACTGGCGCGAGACCGAGACTGACCTGTTTGCTGGCCTGCCCAATGCAACGTGGCATTGATCTGATCAGAATGATGCGAGCTGGGGCCCGATTTTCAAGGATCTCTTCTGCGATCTCTTGTGTGAAATTGGAGGCCACTGGGTAGGGGCTGAATGAGAATCTGTGCCGTGGTCAGTGACTCCCCATTTGATCCACCCAGCTTCACCCCATAGCACCTACCGGGCCTACATTAGCAGAGGGAAGAAGTACCCACACTTGCAGGACATTGGTTTCTTGTATTTAATGGCGGACGCAGAATAATCAAGGTCTCCCATTCCTAGGCAACGTTCTTAACAGCAGACTCCTGGGCGCCGTTGGAGCCTTTAATCTCATTGAGTTGGCACCAGGGCGACGCAACAAGCTTCTTGAGCATTCGGAGTTTCTGCAAATCTGCGTTAACGTTGCATTCTCAATGGAACCAGAGTACGTCTTTCATTGCCCAGTCGTCATACCGTGCAGAAGATGCTTAAGCGTACGACGCCAACAGTCATTCCCAGGACATTCCTGTGCCGGATACCTACCTGGAGACGGTCGAGCTCCATGGAAGGCTGTTCCAAAAGCATGCCTTACAGCAAAAGATATATTTCGCTCCAGTCGATGAGGTACCTGCCTTTCGTTCCCCTGAGTGGCTCAGGGATGCTTACAATGAGGACAGGAAGAAGCGCAGCGCCTCCAGCTTTTCCACCATGTATTCCACATCCTCTTCGACAGGCGGCTGCTATTTCCGCCTATACCAAACCCGCGTCGCATCCTCGACTGTGGGTTTGGCTCAGCATCCTGGGCGATCGATGTTGCGGACTCCTACCCACGGTGTGAGGTTATCGGCGTGGATATTGCATCCCAAATGAGCCCTCCCCACCTGCCCCCGAACCTATACCTCGAGGTTGACGACCTGAACCAAAGGTGACACCCAAGCCCGAGTGGAACAGAGAAGCTTTGATCTGACGAACAGGCCAGGCTCAACTTTAGTTCCTCTCACTTCGACATGGTCCACAGCCGGTGCGTAGCAGGAGGAATCAACGCAGACAGATGGAATGAATACACAAAAGAGTTGAGCCGTGTCCTGGTCGCAGGAGGATGGTGTCAGATGGTTGAAGTTTACTTCAACGCGCAGTCCAATAACGGCACGCTGACAGATGGTGAGTGAATCCAAGGGGTTGTGGACCCAGGTCCTGGGATGTTGTTGTTTGCTCTCAATGAGCCGTATCTTTGTCTTTGGAACAGTCTCGCGGGTGAGAACCATCTTCAAATGGCCCCGTCATGCATCTTTCCTGCGACGGGTAAACTGGTCTGTCGCTTCAGTGAGCAATGGGCCGGATTGAATGATGAAAAGCATCTAAATTCGAACTTGTGATGGCCCGGGTACGGAATGCTGACAGTAGACTTAGGTCACGGTCTTCGGCGGTGGTATGTTGGACAATTGCCAAAGCTTGGACCAGTGGTTGACAATCGACAGGTCCCAGCTGTACCTGCAAGGCCTCCAGCCGGAAAAGGACGGTAGAGCAGGCATCAGGCTGGAGGAGCTGATGAGAAACGCAGGTTTCGAGAACGTCGAGTCCCGAATGATGCAACTGCCTCTGTGCGGATGGCCAGACGGTCCGTGACACAAGACTGCTGGAGTGGCGTATATGTACTGACAAGGCTGAGTCTAGACGCGCGGGAAAAAGAGGTTGGGACTGCGAATCGTGAGAACATGTCTCACCTACTCAGCTCCCTGGCCATCTATCCCTTTACTGAGCGGCTGGACATGTCTATCACGGAAGCCCAGGTCCTGTTGGCTCAGGCTCGCAGAGATGCGCAAAACCCGAGCTTCAAGGCATATTTCCCCGTGTGCGTTACGCTCCGCGATGTTCGCCGACTTGATAATGAGACTGACTGATCCTGGGTGGCATTGGCAGATACGTGTGCATTGGTCAGAAGAAGAGATAGCAGCCGAAAAGGTCAAGAGCATCGATTGCCCCAGGTGTCCACTTTGACAGACAGGCAGACAGTTGGCATGGTGCGAACCCACCATGCCTTGTAACCCTTTGACGCAAGTGGCAGGTGGATGGGTAAACATTTGGAACAGGTGGATCTGAAACACAAAGAGACGTCTCCACCCTTACGGAGCGGGAGCCTTGCCTGGGATAAGAGTACTACCTAGGCATGTCGTGGAGGAAGGTGCATCTCAGAGTCTAGTCTAGATGCCGCAGCAGAGGAGTCACCAACATCCTCCTGTCCTCTTGCCCTCTTGTCTGCAACCCAGCAACGCACTTGCCGCACCGAGCCGGCACACAGCCATACGGGCTCCTTCAAATTACCTTAGAAGGTGCGAATTGGTCTTCGTCATTGGGCATTTTCCTGGGGAAGTGGTCGCAAAGTTGACTACCAGGTATGAGAAGACCTCCAGTGCCACGTGGGTGCAAGGGTAGCTTGCGGTGGAGCTCAACGGCGGGAAACCAAGCAGGGGTGGCCAGAGCTCCAAGCTCAGATTCGAATTTTCTCCATAACAAATCAACAATTGACCACTTTGTCACTTCCCATACAACAACTCGTGGTAGAACATCACGTTGACTTGGTATATCCATTGCAACACCACTGAATAGCAACCAATTTGACGGTGAAAGCTCTACAAAACAACCCTTTGCGCCCCTTCCTATAACAAACACCCAGGAGCCATGGCCAGCAACTTTTCGAGCCGAGCCATCCATAGGCTTGCATCATCACAATTTAGACAACCAACTCTCAGACTCGGCGCTAGGCCCAGATGCCTACAGACATGTCGGCAGTACTCTGCGGAGGCCTCTCCGACACCACCACTCCTGGCGAAATTCAAGACCGACCTCAAGACCGCAATGAGGGCAAAAGACGCGGCCCGGCTCTCGGTTTTGAGGACCATCCTGTCCGCAACAAACAATGCCGCCAAGACGTCCTCCCCGATCAAGACCGACGTCCAGCTCGTGCAGCTGCTGAGGAAGACAGCCCGTGGCAATCACGAAGCCGCCGAGGAGGCTCGGGCTGCCGGAAGGGAGGACCTTATCGCAAAAGAAGAGGCTCAAGTCAAGATCATTGACGAGTATATCGCGGACAGCGGGGTGCAGACCCTGGGCAAGGACGAGATAAGGGCCATCGTGGAGAAGGTCATCTCCCAAATCAAGAACGAGGGCGTGGACGAGAAGAGAATCTCCGGCGAGCTCTTCAAGCGACTGATGGTCAAGGATGGCCCCCTTGAAGGCAAAGAAGTCGACCGAACCGAGATTGCGCAAATCGCCAAGGAGTTGACCAAGTAAAACTCACAGTGGACACGACAATGGCCGGCAAAGGTATCAGAGCCGATGCTTCTTTGGAACCGGTGGTCAGAGTTAATCTACAACCCCGGTATGTACGATCTTCTGTATGAGACCATCCAAGCATAGAATGGATGCGAAAATCGCAGCATCAGGAAATTCTCCCCATTCCAACCACACAGACCATTTGCCTTGAGGCGCGATTTGGCCCAGACCGGCTGCACAGCGCATCTTGGATCCGGGGAAATGGGGTCGAGTTGACAGCGGCATGGTCCGACCTCCAAAGACACGGATTCGGGGAACCGAAAACGACTGCCACCAAACGTGCATTGTCTCCCGACGTCATGACACTGCAGGCACGTGTATGCTGTGCGAGAAGTTTGTCCGAGTCAGTAAATCTTGATCAAGACGCAGCTACAAGCTCGCCCTTGATGGGAATGATAGGCTGCCCCTTGGGGCCAGTAATCAAGTGTCCATGCTGCGCTCGTGGACTGGCGCCTCCCACCCTCGCCTTACAAATTTTCTCCTCATTCGGTTGGCTCGGATCGTCGACGCCTCCCGTATTTGAGGGCACAGTCAGTCAGATCAAAGTCCAGAGAGCTCTCGCCTGGTGGCCAGTCATGCGCTTGCTTCGAAACTTGACGTGCGCCAAAGCGATCTGCAGGCCAAGCTCAACTATGATCGGCTACACGTACCTTGATCGTTGTTTCGTTTCTGGCCAAGTGACCAAAGGACAAGGTTTACATGGAGCACCACAGAATGGTGGTTCGGTTGTCGTCCTCTCCTGGAGCGTCTGCCAGCGCTAAGGTGACTACAGGGGCAGCATTTAATGAGGAGCGCGGAGCCCCTCACTCCCATTCTCTTCCCCATGGGCTGACATCGTCCCACTTCTTCACACTTAGTACGGGAAGTCGCCGTTGCTTGTGCGACCCGACTTGCCAGTGCTCCGAATCTGTAGTCCTGACCCCACTGGTACTGCCCTTTGCAACCCCTGAATATAAAACCGCTCCGAAGCCACATTCCTCCGGTGCTTGATGCTGGAGAGACTACTACCAACATATCCACAAGGCACGAGACGAAGTTCTCTCTGTTCTTCTTGCCACTCTCCATCCCACCTGTCTTGTCAACAATCTACGAACAAGTCATGGTCATGGAACGGCAGGTGTTTCCAACAAGCATCGAGTTCCTCAGCCCGAAGCAGCATGCCTCAGGTGGTGTGGCTCCTCAAGAACCAGAGGCTCGAGGGAGGAAGCGACGTAGGGATCCCATTCATGTTACATTTAGCAGGCCTCAGCACAACCCGTCTGCCGGGTCGACACTCCGAGGTCGTTGCCGCCACCGGTCCCCATCGAGGCTAGCTATCGCGTCCCGTGCAAATTCCCGTGCTACAAGGGATGCCTCGCTATCTGCGTCTAAGCGGCGGCTTGTTGCGGTGATCAAACTCCGGCCTGAGAATCACCGACGGAGCCAAAGCCCTTCCCGATCTCGCCCGGCGGGAGACGCGAACGTGGTGTCCGCCAAGCGAAGGCGACAGAGGACCCAGAGTCGGAGTAGGCCGCACGTTGAGGAAGATACGTTCTCTACGATCACGCAGTCATCCGGGACAGCCATTGAATATGACTTCCCGTCTGTTCAAGAACACAAGACGGATATTGTTTCCGGTGTGTCATGACAATGACGTGAAGCTGGCAGAACCCGACACAACAGCCACAGCCGACAAAGGAATCTGGCACAGGTCCTAATACTGCCCTGGTTGACGCTGAAGCTCCGCGTCCGTTCAGGCACCACACAACGCTTGTCTTGCGTGCGGAAAGTGCGCAGAGGCACGAACACTTGGGGGCATGGTTCCTACGATGCAAGGCGCATGTCAGTGGAAGCGGGAAAGAGATGGAACAAAACCGAAGAAGAAAATTAAGGCAAAGGTGCATCTGTGCGAGCACGTGAACATAGATACAAGGTTTGCTCGTTCAGCAGTGCGGCCAATTCTGGTGAACTGTCAGAATAACGAGAATCTCTCAGCAGACCAACACGGTGCGACCTCAACAAGCACGGCACGTCACACAGCTCAAGCCAGTAAGTGCTTGGCAGGCAGCATACAAAGGCTGACACAGAGGGTGCCGTTGTTGAGGATGGTTCATATCTAATGTCTTGAGGAATCGACAGAAGCGGGCTTTGTCATTGGCCCGTCCGAGGCGGTCACAAGGACAGAAGAGATCAATCCAAAGACGGGGTGTACGATAAAATCAGTCAAAAAGTTGTGTATAGTATAACTCGACACCACGCAACCAACTTCATTGTGTTTATTGTAGATCAGGCTTCTCTGCCACTTTCTCAATGAAAAGAGAGTGCCGTTATCAGAGTGCCTAGATAAGTCGATGTACGTGTTGACCAAGAAGTCCCTGCAGCAGCGGTAGACGCTCGAAGGTAACGATTTGCTATTGGTCACATGAGGTGGTCAGGCGGCCAGGGAGTTGATATGGTCAACCCGAATCTGCAAAAAAAGCAGATGGTCAGCTGACGAGGAAGTTCGTTGACTGTTGGGAAACTGGGAAGTAAAAGCTACGGCGCTGATGGACACTGCAAGGAGCAGACTAGATGTTGTGTATCCGTGGGCACGACAGTCTCTTGTGGTCTCGCCCCATGTCCTTGCCACAACGTCACGTCACGTCGTCGGTGGTCAAAAGGCGACTTACTTTGGGTAGGTATTCTCTTTCTACACTACAAGAAGTACAGCCAGACAGTAGACAAGGCACAGGGTGGAGACTGCTCCCACTCACCAGTTTCTGAGTGGCACGTGCGCCATGGGTGGTTCCTTTGGGTCTAGGCTGCTGCACGGCTGTGGGAATGGTGGGGTCCTCAAGGAAGGCTTTCCGCTCTCCGCGCGAGTCTTTGACTGCATCATGTGCCAGGCTGGGGGCATTCTAGCGCGTGTCGCGATTTCCTCTTGTCTCTGGCTGATGCCGACGACCGTTGTAGATAGAGCTCTCGACTCACCCGCCGCCCCCTTTTCCTCCCCTTTGCATCCTGTTGGCTTCGCAATGTCTGCTCGGTCTTGGGCTCGCTGACACACCTATCCGTGCCTCTCTCCTGGACGTATTCTTCTCGCTGGCGACGGCTGCCACTCGCTTTCAGGGTCCGTCCGTCTCGCGCCGCATTGCTGCCGCAGTACAGTCCTAAGCAGCCAACCTGGGGGACTTCTATTCTAGACTGGGAGGCTCGTTTCGTTTTGAAAGGCCTCGCTTGGCCTTCTCAACCTCCACCAGCATTTCCTCTTCTTTCCCTTTTTCCCCGCGTGCGGGCCTTTATTTAATGGGGGAACTTCCCATCGAGGTCGCTTCCCTAGATCACGAAGAGACAGGACGCGGGCCTGTCGCCTTGCTTGACAAATCTTCGGTGACCCCCACGTCGAGAACCAACAAATACCTAAAGCGTCGACGACCACTCCGCCCTTCCTTGTGATGCCGAATCCATCCTTCGACTTCTTAATTTGATCTTCAACTTTGCACCCAGCCTAGCAAGGTGTCACCGTCATCCCGCGCGGTCGAATCCAAGGCTAGGTCGAGTGTCGATATGGCCTCGAGAAACCTCCCAAATGGTACTTCAAGCCTTCCCTCATCCCTTCCCAACCTTCCTTTTTAAGACGCAAGGATCAACTCTTGTGCCGAAAAGTCTGCTTGAGCATGCGTACCCTTGCGATACTGTCCAGAAATTTCGTTTGCACCCGATCTGACTCTGCGGTTCGATCAAGGTCAACCCACGAGGCCACAGCTGCAGACTTGGGACGCTGCGGCCTTGCTGAATCCAAAGGCGGCCGTCTCGGTCCAGCAGGCCGGGCCTTCCTCCTTGCCCTCCAGGCCACCCTCGAATGGACCTCAGTTTACAAATAATCATGCGCCTCAGGTCGCCTTTCAGTTCTCGACTCCTGACGCTACCGAAAACCTCCATTCACACCCTGCCCGGCCGTCTCTGACACCGGATGGCGTATCAACCCCGCGGCACTCGGCCCCGAACGGTATGAGCTCCATGATAGAGCGTATGAACAATGTGCAAGACCGCAGTAGCGTGCCGGTGGCGAAACGACGAAGGATCGGGGAGGACTCGCAGGACCAGGGGTCCAGGAATGGCTTCCATGGCAATGGTAGCAGTGGCATGCTATCTGGCTACGTGAAGCAGAAACAACAAGAGGGCCAGGCTGCCCCTTCCATGACGCAGCAGTGTCAAAGTACTGTTGATTTAACTGGGGGTATATGGACATCCTGCCCACGTTGGAATTTGTGGTCTTGGACTTATTGCTGACGGCGAGCAGGGGACGACGAAGACGACCTCGTCGAGGTCACAGATCCGAGAGAACAAGAAGTGTGTTACGGTATGATTGGGGGCGCCTCGGTTAACTGCCACATCGTTCCCTCGCCAAAACCGGGCTCCCGATTCTTGACGCCTGGTAGCTGGCCTCAAGTCAAGGTCGTACTGAGGAGGATAGCCGAGGACAGGTCCATGACGATCGAGGTATATGACCACACGAGGAAGATCATCGGCAAGCTGGACGCCAGGACTTCTCACGGGCTCGCTCCGCTACTCGATGCGCGCTTGCTAGCCCTTCGAACTGATGCCATGATTGGCATACGACGACGTCTGGCCGATGAGGAGGCTGGTAGGCCCATCTCCAAGTCATACCCTCTCCAGTTGATGGTCTACGGAAAATTCAGATACGCGAAAACAGTTGGTTTCAACCTTGAGAAGGCAGGCTTGAACCTCCTGAGCCCTACCAGGGTCGACAAGGGTGTCCGAGTCTTCAACCCTCTGGCCAAGGAGAACCGGCCTGCCGCAGCCCCTAGAACATACGCAAACCCCGCGCCCCCTCCGGTTGCACGGACCGAAGAAGAGATCCGATCCGATGTGCTGAGCGTCTTTGATTCTCTGAAGGAGACAGAGGATCTCCCTGAGCAGGAGCCAGACGACCGCATAGTGACTCCTCTCCTGAAACACCAGAAGCAAGCCTTGCAGTTCATGACCGGGCGAGAGGACACGTCAAACATGGTGGACGAGCTGTGGCAGAAACGGACCGACGCCCGCGGGCAGCTCACATACTACAATGTCATCACCAATGAGCAATCCCGCCGAGCACCCGTCAAGGCACAAGGAGGCATCCTTGCGGATATGATGGGCCTGGGGAAGACTCTGAGTATCCTGTCGCTGGTCACGTCTACGATTCCCGCATCGCTGCAGTGGATCCAGGCGGAGCCAGTGGTGCACTCTGCGGAGGACAAGCGGCCGCCGAGAGAGCTCCCAGACAGCTTCGCCCCGCCGAAGCCTGAGTCTTTGGGCCTGACCAAGCCGAAAAGAAACTCAAAGGCCACTCTTCTGATCTGCCCCCTGAGTACGGTCACAAACTGGGAGGAGCAGATCAAACAGCACGTGCGGCCGAACTCGCTGTCCTATCACATCTACCACGGCCCTCATCGCATCAAGGATTCCGAGAGGCTGGCAGAGTACGATCTGGTCATCACGACTTATGGGTCTGTCTCGAGTGAGCTTAATGCCCGCTTGGCTAACAAGCGGGGCCCTCACCCACTCGAAGACATCGGATGGTTCAGGATAGTACTTGACGAAGCGCATATGATACGAGAGCAATCGACGCTGCAGTTCAAGGCCATATGCCGGCTTCAGGCCAACCGGCGGTGGGCCGTGACTGGCACGCCGGTGCAGAACAAGCTCGAGGATCTTGCCGCTCTGCTCGCGTTCCTGCGCATCAAGCCGTTTGATGATCGCACCAAGTTCAACCAATACATCGTTGCGCCCTTCAAGCTTTGCGATCCCAACATCGTTCCCAAACTCCGCATCCTGGTTGACACCATCACTTTGCGTCGTCAGAAGGACAAGATCAACTTACCGAAACGGCACGACATGGTCGTCAAGTTACAGTTCTCGAGCGACGAGCGACGCATGTACGTTGCATTCGAAAAGGACGCCCAGGTCCGTGTGAACGTCCTGGCCGGCCAGCGCGAACGCATGGTCGGCGGGAAGACGTACATCCACATTCTGCAGGCAATCTTGCGGCTTCGTCTGTTCTGCTCTGGCGGAAAACACCTCTTGAATGAAGACGATTTAAGACTGCTCGAGGGTCTCAGTCAAGACTCCCCCATCGACCTCGATAGCGACGACGAGGACGAGAAGCCAGCTCTCACCGAAAACCAAGCGTACGACATGTTCAACCTTATGAAAGACACAAATGGCGATAACTGCATAGGGTGCAACCAAAAGTTGGGCGCCAAGGAGGGCGCAGATATCGAGTCAGAGCGCCAAGAGGAGGTCATCGGTCACATGACGCCATGCTTCCACCTGATTTGCACGTCGTGCATCAAGGAAATCCAGGGCGCCTGTGCCTGCGGGCTTTCCCTTAACGGTCTCGTTGCCCTGCGCTTGACAAGGGCGGTCCAGGAGCACGATGCCCGCGCCGAGGGCAGAGGCCGCAATGTCAGCGGTGGCAAGGGGATCAAGGATTATACCGGCCCCAACACCAAGGTCAGGTATCTTATCGAGGAACTCAAGAAATGGCGAGATATGGGTGAGGCCAAACCAGACGAGCCACCCTACAAGTCCGTGGTCTTCTCCCAGTGGACGACGAACCTAGACCTGATCCAAATGGCCCTGGAGGCAGAGGGCATCATCTTTGTCCGCCTCGACGGCAAGATGTCCCGGACCGCCCGCACACGAGCCATGGACAACTTCCGCGAGGACGCCACCGTCCAGGTGATACTCGTCTCCATAACCGCTGGCGGGCTGGGCCTCAACCTTACAGCCGGGAACTCGGTCTACATCATGGAGCCGCTGTTCAACCCGGCGGCCGAGGCGCAGGCCATCGACCGCGTCCACCGGCTGGGCCAGAACCGCGAGGTCCACTGCATCCGGCTACTTATGGAGGAGTCGTTCGAGGAGAAGATGCGCGAGCTGCAGGAGAAGAAGATGAAGCTCGCGTCCCTGAGCATGGACCGCGAAAAGGGCGTTGGCGGCGGCCAGCTTTCCAAGTCGGAGGCGGCTAAGCAGAGACTGATGGACCTGCGAAGCCTCTTCAAGTAGGGGGGACCGCCCTCCGGTGTCCTGCTGCAGGCACGCCCTTCAGCTGGCTGCCCGTGGGTCACCATTTCAAATCACAAGGGCCGCTCTGCTTTTTCACTTTTTGCTTGACGGTCCTCTCCTTGATGCACACAAGACTTTTATGGTGACATAATATCAGTATCCTCCAGATGGCATTGGAGAATTAGCGGAAAGGTGGCTCCAGTCTAATGGCGGTGTTAATGGGCCGACTGGATGGGGACATTCCCGCTCGCATTTTTGCATCCCTAATTTTTTTAGAGTCCACACTTACTGGGAGGGCCGGCGGCGGCATCATGTCGTCCGGTCGTCGCGCATTCGACCCTTGGTGGGTTGAGGTGGTGTTTGGGGGGAGGCGTCTTGATCACTTGTGCGGATACAGTCTGCTAGAGGAGAAGGGTGTGTTCCCTCGGGATATGGGAGACTGCAGTACCACCTGCGGCCGCCGGTTTTCCTTCAATGCATCATAGATCTCTGCGCGGTGCCTTTTTGTTGCAGCTGAGACAGAGCAGTTGAGGTCGGCGTGGACAGATAGGCAGCATAGGCTGGTTGCCTCGGGGCCGGCCACCCCGTGCCGGAGACACGAAGTACATTTACGGAGACATGGCCAGGGGCAGGAGATAGATACCCATGAGATTACCCGTTTGCTATTCACAACTTCTGGTGATGATATATCTTTGGGCACTACCTTTGACTATGTGACTTGGCTAACAAGGCCAAAAAAGAAAAGAGGCCTTCTCTAGCGGAGTACTATACAGCCTCATTACTACACATTGACAATGGCAATATCCCAAATCCGCCTCTCCAGCACATTAGAGCAAGGGACGTAGGTTTTCTTGTCAGGGCATCTTGTTTTACTGTTGTGGCCTTCATGCACAACCCCCCAGCATCATGGTTTGGGTTTCTACTCTTTCTTCCACTAGTACACGGCATTTAGGCAGAGAAATTGGGTCGAAAATGACCTTGTTCACACGAGAATACTATCTGCTATGCTCTTGGGGCATGGACGGCTTGAACAAAGTGATGGGGTGTGTCCCTCAATTTTCCGGACTAAATATTTGCGCTCAAAACTCCGCCTTCCCAATACCCGGTAGACCCTTGAACGCCTCTCGAAAACCCAATCTCTGAGAAAAAGCAGCCGTGGTGGAACAAAAAGAGCCTCGTGCGGCTTAACCCAAACGATCATCACTGTGTCGTGGGGACGCTAGCGGCGGTGGAAGTGCAATCCCCGCATCCGAATCTCTGCCCTCGCTGACTCGAAAGACTTCAAACCTGATCCTTCGCTCACTCATGCAGCGTCAGCGCTCGCAACAGGGATGGGAACCTTTGTCGGCTGATTACCGGCACGAATGATCCGGTTGCCTGACGAATCGTTCACGAACGACACGTCCTTGTTCTCCATTTGTGCGCGCTTCCAGATCTCAACCTCGCAGCCTCCGCGGAGGACACCGACACGCATCGTGCTAAGCAGGTTGTGGGCAGCGTTGGAGTGGAGGTAGACACCACCGTTGAATATGGCGGTGGCATCCTTTCCAATGCCCGAGGAGATAAGAGCCTTGCCACCGGGGTGGTCCTTGATGAAGTCGGTCACGTCGTGGATGACACCCGCGATAGCAACAAGACCCCGGCCATTCTTGGCCTGCTCGACGTAGTCGTCCCAGTCGATGACAGGCAGCTGCTCGAGAGGCACACCCCAGTCAAGCTTGACCCGCTTCTGGTCGAGCTTCTTCTGCTGCTGCTGGAGACGGCCCTTCTCGATCTCGTTCTGGCGGAAGGTCTTCAGGTCGGAGGCGAGACCGAGCTGCTTCCAGAGCCAGATAGACCACTTGGTGGGGTCATACTGCCACCAGCTGATTGCGTTGCGGTAGTCGGAGGGGAACTCGTGGTGGAAGTTGTGGTATCCCTCGCCAAGAGTGACGAGCGCCGTCACGACGTGGTCCCTGGGGCTGTTGCGGTCGTCGAAGGGCTGATCCCCGAGCCAGTGGGCCAGACTGTTCACACAGAAGGTTGCCTGCTGGACGAAGAAGATGCGGAGGATGCCCGCATAAACATAGCCGCCCCACCAGTCACCCCAGCCAAGACCGGCGACCAAGGTCGGGAACACAATGCCCATGAAGATGACGGACTTGATGAAGTTCAGGTGCTGCCAGACGACGACGGGGTCCTCATTGAGGTCGGTGATGTCGGTTCGGCCGATTCGCTTGGGGTTCTGCTTCATGACCATCCAACCGATATGGCTGTACATCAGACCCTTCCTCACCGAGTAGGGGTCCTTGACGGTGTCAGTGTAGCGGTGGTGGGCACGGTGACTAATTATCGAGGTTAGTATATATGAACAGGCAAAAGAAGCAGCGAGAGGTTCAGCTTACTCCCTGGACCACCAGCGAATAGATCCCTCGACGGCACCGGCTCCGACAGCTGCGAGGTAGATTCGAAGAGGCAAGGAAGCCTTGTAGCTGCGGTGTGCCCAAAGACGATGGTAGCCGGCCGTGATACCGAGACCGGTGTTGAAGTAATAGATGACGGACCACACGGCGGTCTTGAACTGGAGAGGCACCCAGTAGGTGGAAATTCTGGTTGCAAGGTCAGCCAGTGTCATTTTGTTGGTTGTCGCCGTCGAGCTTGGCGCAGCTACGGGCAAAAGGGTACTCACAATCCCAGCAGGGGGACGAAGATGATGAAGGTGACGTTGAGCCAGTTGACATGCTTATACCAGTTGTTGACCGTGATGGGCTGCTCGGTGATGTGTGGCTTCTTCAGGTCGTACTGCTTTCCGCGGGCTGGTTTGTAATCGACAGTGCCGTCTGGGAAGGCCTGGGCCTGGGCCGCTGGTGTGGAGGAGGCCATGTTGAGAGAGATTCTGTTGTGAGGACGGTGGACGTCCAGGACAAGCTCTCTCGGGTGGTGTGGGAATACCCAGAACACGGAGGCTCTGAAGGTATTGATGGCTGAAAGGTATGTGAGGTGGGGTGGTGGTGGTTTGGGTCAGAAGAGAAAGTCGACACAAACAAGCAAACGAGTAGAAAAGAAAATGGTACCGGAGGGCCTGGAGATTTATTATTATTCAAGATTCAAGCAGTAACGTCTTGTTGGGAATTCAGGATGCGGCAGGGGCGAATGGAACCGCGGGGGAGTGGAGCTTCCCAAGTCGGACAACGGCCCTGGTCCAGTTCCTGGAAATCTTGTGCTGGTTTTGTCTGCTTCCGTTTTGTTGGTGGGTCCAAGAGAAGCAGATGCTGCACAGCTTTTTTTCCCTGCCGATATCCACCGGGACAATTTCCGTACAAGTACTGTACAGCTTTAATGCTTGCGAAAGCTGTACGAGTGGCAAAGGGACGCCGAGGTCCGGGGACAGACTGACTGAAAGACAGACGGTGGACATGCGTGCTCACTCCCTGGCAGGCGTTGGTGATACATGCATGATATTCACCTCCCTTGTGGCAACAGAGACGCTGCTGCTCTCATTCCTCTTGTCAGCCGCTCACTATGCCTACTATCAGGCTGGCTGGCAGCCTGCATGAGGTGGCAGCTGTTGAGGCTACCTGTGCTACACCAGGCGCAGGAGCTCGCGTGTAAAGGTAGACCAACATGCACAAACCACAGATCAAGTGTAGATGGCGTGGGTTAGACGCGTGGGCGGACGCCCGCGGACGGCTTTCACAAGACGGGGCACGAATGCACATCTGGGGACACAGAGCCGAGGCTGACGATCCGCCTGTGGTCGCCATGTCATCTCGATTCAGTCATGGCCAGTCATTGCGACCAGCAAGATGCCCGAGATTCCGACAATTATCAGGGCCTCTGTGCCGAAAAAGAATAGGACTGCGCGTTGTGCCTGGCCCAAGGTACGGCAATTCCCAACAAGTTGGGTCCTGTTGGGGAAGGCAGGGAAGGCAGGCACCCGGCCAAGACCTGAAGACCCCCACCCTTGCCGCTGACAGGGATCCGAGCTCAGCCCTGCCATTGAAGTTCTGCTGTCCATGGACACCCCTGTCCCTGCGGCCCTGGCAGCTCTCTCCGCAAAAAAAGAAAAGTCGCTTCGGCGGAATGGGAGCGGATCGTGACCAACGACCAGAGACACACGCCTGACACACCCGGTAAGCCGAGCTGCTGTTATTAGTCTGCCGCGGGTGAGGACGAAGAATTAAACCATCTACACTATCCTGATTGTGTGGGCGCCAATTGCAGCTCGGCCATTTGAACCACCACACGAGAGCCGCAGCTCAACGGTTTGCTGACGTGACGCGAAGACCAACACAGGCCAACAGTCCTCTAGAGAAAGGGCCGGCCCACACACAGCTCAAGCCCGTGTGGTACCTTGGTACCTGGCTACGCGGGTACTTCAACACATACCATAGTACAAGACTGCCCGCGGGCCATGAGCATCCTGTTCCAGTCTGAGCCTCATCGAACGTGGGCTCGAACATTCTCGATCAGGACCAAGGAGGCTGCAAGACAACGAGAATACCAGTCCACGTGCAGTCCTACAGAGTCGCTGGTCCAACCCCACCTCGCCTTCAAGCGTTGTGGGCGGGTGGCGACAAATCCCCGAATGAAGGATTGAATGGCTGGGTAGTGTAGATGGATCTGCCCCGAGATCGTGGGTCCAGAGTCATCACGACCAGCATCGGGGTCAAACTTGGGCAGGACTGGCCTCGGCCTGCCCAGCCCACCGTGGTGAGAGGATAAAAGTGGCAGGTCAGGCACCGTCATGATCTAGCATGTGTTCATGTGCAAAAAAGCTTATGCGGGCCACAAATGCAACGCCCGTCCCGACCTTGTCCCGACCTTGTGTCTACCCCTGCCCGGTGTAGGGTGTGAGAGCCCATGACGGGATACTGACGCTATCGCGCTTGTCACGCCACAACCGCGCCGAGCTGCTAGCCACCCTACTTGTCTGCCGGTGTCTGCTTGGTCCACATACCAGTGGACTCGCCTCAAGCCGAGCCAGAACAGCCCGCTTTTTCTCAACAAATTGACTGTCACATGGGTCCCTGTTTCATCTCATCGATTGTCTATCCTCGCGGCACGGGAACGCCAGGCAGAGCTGGCTTCCCGAGACGAGAACCACCGTCCCGCCCGCGCTGTCATTCCGAACAGAGGGAGGGGAGCTTGTGAAAAGACTTCCCGCCAACACTTCCCCCGTGCCCTCGGCAACTGCGCATGGGGGTCGTATGCTCTGACCTCGTGGGTAGGGGTTTTCTACACGTTCCGAGACTAGACGTACACAGTACCTGTTACCTATCATCAATCCACCCACCGACCCGAATTTGCGCTACATGGACTTACACCCGGTCAGTCGCCAAATCGGGGACATCAATTCATCGTGAACAATCCTCTCAGGAAGTCGACATAGTCTTTGTTCCCACATGATTTCATTACAATCGTACAGTCCATAGCCGGCTGTATGCTATCCAACAATGCCTGAAGTTTCCTCCACCTCCTACCTACACGCCACACTCCCCAGCTTGGACCTTTGACTCTCCCCCTTCCCCCAAATGCACATGATGAAGTGAATATGACCGAGCCGAGTTCCCCTCCTCTCCGTCCAACTACAATCAAATACAGACAATATGAAGGGGAAAATGTTATCAGATGGAAAAGAAAATAGATGGAACTGTCATGTCTGGTCGTTTCATCGCTGTCGTCTAACATGATTTTGGAGCTTCACGCTGTCTCAAATGCCCAGGTCCTCGTCGATGTCGCCAGAACCCACCGGCGTCAGCGCCGCGTCCGAGGCGTCGTGGCCTGACCCGATGCCCAGGAACTCCGCCGGAACGTTGGCAGATCCAGTCGAAGCCGACGACCCGTGACGGGCCGCCGGACGGACCCCGAGCTCTGCCAGCTGTGGTGGTTGCGGCATCGTCATCTCGACCGCACTGTCGACTCTTTCTCCCCCCTTAGCTTCCCTCGGAACCATGACTTGGCTCGTGCTCTTCTGTGTCTGTACTTCTGCCTCACCAGGGACCAGAGCGACCTTCCCTGGGGCTTCGGGTTCTGTATTCCCCGACCTCTCAAAAAGAGGATTTTGTTTCTGTGTGTTGTGCGTGTTGGTCTCATCATGAACACCGTTTCTCATGCTTTTTGATGCTGCCTCCTTGCCCGTGTCCCTCGGCCGACTGTTGTCATTTTCCAATTCCAACGGTGCTTCCTTCTCCAAGTGGTCTGCATTTGGCGGGCGTACTGTCGGCGGCTCAACAGCTTCCGCTATATCTGCCAGTGGCTCCTGCTTCTCATTGTGGAGCGGCGCTTCGTGTGTTTGCATTGGTACTAGGAAGTCATCCCCTACGACCAACTCCGGTATGGGCGGCTGCAAATCACCCTTTCTCTCAGGTGCCACGTCCTGCCCAGCGTGTGCTCGGACAACCTCGTCCGGGGCGACGTCACTCTCCGTCGGAGTCCTCGTTCGGTCGGGACTGCTTTCCGCTGGCCGTGACCAGGGTGGATTGTACCTCCGCTCACCATAGCCCAGGTTGCTAGGCATTGGGCTTGGTGGAGACCGCCCCCTGGTTGGATAGAAGTAAGGTTCGCGGGAGATCCCAGTGGGTGAATTGACATATGTGTGTCCCACGCTACTTCCATGAGACCACTCCGGTGGTGGCTGGACTGTCCTGATAACCGGCCGACCATCTGATTGGTATCCATCGACAACGTATTCTTGAACCGAGTGGCCATCGTCAACAGATATCGATGGCTGCACTCGTCGTGGAGCGTCAGTCTCTATCCGCTGAGGAAACATTCGCAACAGGTCGATCGCCTGCATCCGGTGTCTTGGGTCGTCAGCAAGGCAAATGCTAACAACTGTCCTGTACCATTCCGGCACGTCCAGCCCCTCTTGCAGCCTCAGCGGGCGGCCATGGGCCTCTGGCTCGTCTTCTTGTTCGGCCAAAGCCCACAGCACCATCCCCAGCTGATACAGATCGGATTTCACACCGATATACATGGATATACGCTGGTTGCTATCAATCAGCGGGGTCGCCTCTGGTGGCTCCCAGCCCACAGGACATCCTCGCCTGTTGATGTCGATGATCTTGGCGTTGTCCTCATCGTCAATGACAATGTTAGAGAGGGTGAAGTCGCCCTGCACGAAACCCGACTCGTGAATTTCAGAGAGACCCTCCACAATCTGCCGCGCCCACCTCTCTCGTCGAAACCACGGGAGACTGTGGTCATGATCAAAGAGGACATCGATCAGTGCGCCTTGTTCCGCGTAGCTGATGAGAAGGCCCTTAACGTGCTCGCCATAGTCATCCACGATGACGCCGTGGAAAGCAATGACGTTGCGAGAATTGGACAGCCGGCTGAGTGCGTTGATCTCGTAAGAAACTCGTCGACTGTATCGGGCCCAGGGATCTCCTTCTTGATCAGCGTCTGACCTCTGATTCGGACTTTATACACAAAGCCGGACATGTGGGAATCGAAATCGATGCTGCTTTCCCTTATGCGTCGACATCCGAGGTGCTGGATCATTCGGACCGTGGGATAGTGAATTATCTCCTGTCTGGCTGTCAGTATTGTGGTCGGGTCGTGGGGGAGGATGAGTAGCCGACATTAATGTCTTCAACGACATGCACATGCAGCCGTCCGTCTGTTGTCTGCAGTTTGAGATTGGTCACGGTGTCGTAGAATTGGATATCGACCAAGCTCTCTCTGATCGCCTCGTATATCTTGGCGCTCTTGTCACGTTGGAATTTGGTATAGAGTAGGTCCATCTCGAGCGAGTTGTCGGGCGCGTTTCGGTAGTCCAGCGAGATGGTCACCCTCCGCCAGTGCACATTCTTTTCGCGATATGTGACAAAGAATTTCTCCCTCTTAGACTTGTCCCTGAAATGCATGGAAAGATTGAGAATCCAAATCCGCTCCAACTCTTCATGAATCATGGCATCGTATTGCGAGGTGGTCATGGAAGCTGTGTCGTTGATGGACTCAGCTTCATGCGCAGGTGGGTCGTCTTCTCTAACACCCTCATCAAGGCTTATTTCGCCAAGGATGTCAAGCATCTTCTCATCCACAGAACTTCTCGGTATCGACGGCGCAGGCACAGCAAACGTGCGCTCGTCAGTCCTGATGAAGTCAGGCGCGCTTGTTCGAGGGTCAGCGGGGTGACTACCGCTTTGGGAAGCATGCAGTCGCCTGTCGACGGAGACGGCTCTTCTCTCGACCGGTGTTGGTTCGACAGGCTCAAGATTGTTACGGACTTCATCTTGCTGCCTCTTGAAAGTCTGTGTCCTGGGCAAGCCAGGCACTACTTTTCGCGAGACTCTCCGAATCAGACCCGAACGTGGCTCGTCCTCACTCTGTTCTGTTGGGGCTGGATCATGCGCAAGCTTCTCCGAGACGCCCGCTGCGCCGTTGCCTTGTCCGAATAGCCTCCGCCACATGCTGTGCTGCTTGGTCTGAGGATCGGCAGCTGCGGCAGGCTCAAGCTGCGCAGGATTGGCTTGAGCCATGATAGCCGAGTCGTCAGAGGCAGTCCAGGTTGGACAACGAGACAAGCGGGCTGGAAGGTGAACAGATAAATCTGAGAAGCGAGAGGCTATGATATCTTATTCATGAGCCCCGAACCCTCGTGCAAGGCCTGGCGGGGGTGGTGGCCGGCAAGCCGGCCGACGTTAGGTAGACACAGCCGAGGATGGCGTCGAGACTGTCTCAGTGGCGGGACAGCCCTCGGACTGCTGTGTCTTGCGGCCTCCTAAGTGTTTGCCTCGCGGCCGCCGAGTGGAGAGGCTCAAAGGCAGGGCCTCAGCAGGCTGGTGAGGACGAGGGGCTAGGGAGACCAGCTGCATCGAGCGCGCATGCGGGCATTGGTTGTATGTGATCAGCCGGTCCTAGGTGCACAAAAGTGGCCGCAATTTCTGGCCGGCGGCACAGGCAGGAAAGCAGGCAGGAGGTTGAGGACGACAGAGGATAATAGTGGAGAGGTTTGCGTGACAACCAGGTCCAGGAAATCCGTGGCTGAGGCAACGCTTGCGGGTCGAACCTTGCGCGGCCTTCCTATCACACCTTCGATGACCTGACCAACAAGCCTTGGAGCTGCCGTCAGGCGAGAGACACAGTCAAGTGTACTACTGTGTGGGGCACAGACATATAATAACAACGATGGTAGAGAGGGCGGACGGGAGCAAAGGCTGCTGGGCTCCGAGTAAGCGGCAACAAGAAAATAAAGTTTCGTTGCCGAGGGATAAAATAAGAGGGGGAAGAGACGAGAGAATGAGAGAATTAAGAAGCGTATACGAGTGCTGGATGAGAGAGGATGGACGTCTTCCTTTCTGTAATTCCTCGCCGGCCTGAAGAGCGTGGTGCTCTGGAGCTTGGAGCTTGGCGGTCAGGGCAGGGCAGGGCAGGGCAGGGCATTGAGGACGTGCGAGGTCGCAGCGTCTTGAGCAGTTTGTTTTCTGGGACCCTCGACCCCTGCCACGATGGAGGGACGATACGATGCGATGGAGATGGAGGAGGAGGAGGGAGCATGGGGCATGGAGGGGTAGCAAAGAACCAGTCGACCGCGGAGGTTGGGCTGGGGGGGCCAAGTTGGACCGGGGAGGCTGGCAAGCTCGGCCGTGGTGCGGGTTGGGATGCTTGGGACAGGGGAACTTTGGGAAGCAGGACAAGGGTCAGAGTGGTGGGGTCGCACACGTGTTAGAGCAATACTGGGACCGCATCCTCCTCCGTCGCCAGTCAGTGTCTACCTCATGACATCGTCCGGCCGGCGACACACTGCCCAGGTCTATGTAGGCACGCAGGCATGTCACCACTTGTGCCTGACACACCGACCCAAGCCACAATGGGCCATGGCCGCCATCACCAGTTCCCCGGACGCGACCCTGTCACCGTCACTCTAGGCACGACCCTAGACACGACCCGGCCGAACCAAGGCGAGGATGCCAGACAGCATTGACCCTGCTGGGGCAGACTTGGGAGAATATCAGAACCCAAACCTGCGTCCATACGGCCTCACAGGAACACGCTGGACTGGCCCTCCATCGCCACCTGCGATGCTCTCCAGCTGCCGTCCCGCCAGAGCGGGATGAACTGATTGATTGCACATGCAAGATGATGGCTGTATGCTGCCGAAGATCCGGCCGGGCAGTATCCATCCAGAATGCATGCCTATTTACAGTAGCTATCTCGTCTACGTAGTCTGCCGCGTCCCTCTGCCAAGCCGTCCAGTACCTCTAGTATTCGGCTATCAAGACCCACCCCCCTGCCCCCGGTTGGATCTACCTACATGCCAGACCACCCCTGGTTCCGGGTCTTGAGCCTCACAGTCAGTCTCTCACCGCTCCCCTGGGCATACGATTCCATTGTCTCACCGTGTTCGACTCGAATTTCCACGCGGAGAAAAACAGGGCGTCCATCATGACCTAGCCCCCCCCCCCCGTGGCATCATCTTGCTCGACCTCGATCTCGGTGCCTGAACAGATGTGGCCCCCAAGCATGGGCACATAACCCACCCAGGCCTCGCATTTGCTGCTTGGGGCAGGTGATAGGCCAATGGACAGCGCATTGATTGGGATGCAGCCCGACCGCAGCCAATGACGCCGACAGCCAGGGCTCGACTTAGACCCGGCGAGGGGCAGGAGCCCGCAGTCACGGTTTCCTCCTGCCACGCCCGTAGGTGGGGAGACGGGCGCAGATCAGCCATAAGTTTCCGGCAAGCCTCAGACTCACGACAACCAGCCCAGATCCGACGGGGCCGAGACTGGCTGCGGCCGTCGACGGCTGGGAACCCAATGTAAAGTACATTGCGGACTGCACGGAATCAGCACAAACGACTCACCCGATCTGACGTCAGTCAGGCGAGTTCATGCCGGGCCCGCAATCGTTGTGGATGCACGATGCCACTAATGTTCTGACGCGAAGAGGGAAAAAAATGTGGCTCCGTCAACGGGCATGTCCAAGCAGCAGCGCGCGTGTCAGCCCTGTCCCACGGAGCCACAATTATTGGCGCCGGCGCATCTGGCACGCCTGCCTCCTGTCTCTGGGCCGGAACAGCCTCCGTTGCTGCAAGACATTTCGCACGGGGGTGCCAGCCTTTTGGGCATGAGGAAGGTCTAGACCAAATAGCCAAATGCCTCCCAAAAAGACGCAACATCAGCCAGCCCCAAGGCAGCGTGCCTGTCAGGGGGAACAAAGCGGGCTGACTGATCGAGCAACCGCCCCGGCGGTAGCGGTAGTCAGTCCCTTGGGCATCAATGCAAAAGACCGTCATATGGCGCGGTGGGGCTGACGAGCCGAGACTGGCTCGCAGAAAACCGTCGCTCTACATACAGTAAATAGTCCCGCGAAAATTCCAACGGGGACGCCCATCGTGTGCGTCGCCTTTCATCGCTGCCATCACCTCGTGTTATCGCGATTGCCCAGGGCCGGGCAAGGGCCCCTCCCGATTGGGCTCTAGCTGGGCGATGGATGGTTCAAGGGAGAAAGAAAGCATTGAGCGCTCCCGTCAGGTGATTGCTTCTGGCGGACAGGCAGGACAGGCATTGCATGCCAATCTCCCGTTCCCAGACGGCGAGCGCGGCAACGCTAGGGCAGCAGTGCTTAGGGACGACCCGCGCGATCGTCTATCATTCCCGTCCAAGGATGGCCTGTTAATCCACGGGCGGGGGGGAGTCAGTCTTCTTCAACGGCTAATCTTACCCAGCACTCCGTTGTTTTGCTTTGCTTTGTTACGACGTCCCGGACGACTGCTTTTCCTGTGTTATAATTGCAACGGCCGAGGCAAGCAAGAGACTCCGCCTCCACCCCCATTTTATTATACATGATACGCACATACATACAGAGAACCCACACAAGCATGCTGTGGCCCACTAACCCCGTGGGCAGGACCAGCCCACCTGCGGCCACGCATTGTGGGGTGCCGCTGGCCTGGGCCCACCAACCCACACGTCCACTCGTCCCAAGCACCACCAGAAGCAGGTGAACAAGAAGAGCGGCAGTGCCATCTAACGAAATCGATTCGCCGACAGCCCGCGCCGACACGTCCGCCTGGCAAAACCCTCGCCCTGGTTGGGCACCGAAGGGGTAAAGAAAAGGTGCTGGTTGGGCCTTACTGTAGCGCATAGGGTACCTACAGTACACTCCTGCACGCGCTACCTAATAATAAACCACATGTGCAGCAGCGCGGTGCAGGAGAGAAATCATGGGACGAAGGAGGGGACACGGAGCGGCTTTTGCTGCGTCTCGTCGCGACCCCCGAGCCGAGCAGGTTGTCGCCTTGCCTTGCCCTGCCTGCCTGGCCTGGGCCCCACGTAAGCACGAACGAGCTGCTGCTGCTGCTCTAGCTGCACGGCCCAACGTCGTGCGACCACGAGAGCTGCGAACCCAACGGGCCTGGGGGAGGAACGTCCGCCCTCCATTACCACCTGTGTGTGTCTGTCTCTGAACGACGGCGTGCGCAATTGGGTTTCGGGTAAGGCTACAGATCTCAGAGGCCTTGACGTCCAGTCGCTTCAGCTTCATGCAGCTCAGGATGGTTGTGGTTTAGGCCTAGGCAGGAGCCAGGTGGGTGGGGGGGGACAGATGGCGTAGCAAAGGTGCGCCCTTTGGGCCGTCCCAACTCTAGGTAGTGCAAGTGTCTGTGCCTGTGAAACATGGAGGTCACCCGTCTTCATCTTCTCTGTGCTATTGGTACATCGCCAGTAAATGTTGTCCGACAGAATCCTTGACGTCTGCCGGTGTTGTAATATACATCTATTGTCAATGCGTAGAGGGGAGATTTGCATTCGTCACTCGTCCCCCTTTTTTGCATCTAAAGTCTGACAGCCAGGCTGCTGTCCCTTTTTCCCAAAGCAGATGAAGTCATGCCGCACGCCGGTAATGCTCTGCCTGTATGGTCTAGAATTATGTGGTATGCCAAACTGCCTAATCAAGTGTGCCCGGTGATGGTGTCTACCCACGACGGCTGACTCTACTCGCTCTCGCTGCCCTCCTCCTTGCTGCTGCTGCCGTCATTGGAGTCGGGGCCCTTGTACTGGGAGGCCTTGTCGGTGTTGGCCTTTTCGTGATCGAGATTCGGGAAGATGAGATCGAAGATCTCATTGTACCAGCTCGCTGGCCGTCCTTCGATGCCCTCTTTGATGTTCTGGAGCAGTAACGTTAGCATCTGCAGTCAACTCGGAAAGGGTAGGGCAGCTTGTCCGGGTGACAACTTACCTCAGGAAGCTCGAGCCAATCTGACAAGTTGTCGTCTGGGAAGATGATCATCTTACAGCCGGCTCGTCGTGCTGCCACAGTTTTCTCTCGTAGCCCGCCTATCCTCAACACCTTGCCAGTGAGCGTCAGCTCACCCGTCATGGCTACTGTAGGGTCCACTGGTGTCTCAAATGCAAGTGAGAGCAGGGACGTCGCCATTGTCACTCCGGCAGATGGTCCATCCTTTTGCACCGCGCCCTCTGGGACGTGCACATGCACTTTGGCGTGGTCGAAGAAGTGATTTTGAGGGAACTTGTTGGCCATCAACGATTTCGCAAACGAGTAAGCGATCGTTGACGACTCCTTCATGACCGTCTTAAGGTTGCCAGTGATCTGCAGTGCGCCAGTGGTCTTGGGCTTCAGGGAAGACTGCAGGATGGACTCGACGTACATCGCAGCACCTCCCATCTGCGTCCAAGCCAGGCCCATTGTGACACCTGGAGGCGTGACATCGTAGAGCCGGTCAGAGGTGAATACTGGTGGTCCAACATAGTCCTTCAGGTTGTCCTTGTCGATCGTGACCTGAACAGTATCGGGCACCTTCAATGCCACGCGGGGCTGCTCGGTTGTCTCCTTCTCGGAAGCTGTCGCGGCTGACGCAGGATCTGACTCTGCTGTCTTCTTCTCCTTTTCTGACTCTTCCAAGGCTGCCTTGCCCTCGTCGGTCAAAGCCTTCTCTTCTGGCAACACATCCTCGCCGAGGTCCTGGACAATCTTCAGGGCAGATTTCCTATACACCTTCTCGATTTGTTTCTTCAGGTTTCGCACACCGGACTCTCGGCAGTATGATTTGATAAGCTCCTCAATGGCCTCGTCAGACAATTTGACGTTCGCCTCCTTGAGGCCAGCCAGTTCCTTGGCAGCTGGCGAGAGGTATCTCTCCGCAATGGCCATCTTCTCGTCGGATACGTAACCGGAAAGCCTGATCACTTCCATACGATCAAGTAGGGGCCTCGGGATGGTATCAGTCATGTTCGCTGTGCACACGAACAGGACCTTTGATAGGTCAACAGGCACATCCATGTAGTGGTCCAGGAATGAGCTGTTCTGCTCCGGGTCTAACAGCTCGAGCAGTGCTGACGAAGGGTCTCCTTGGTATCCACGACCGATCTTATCTATCTCATCAATCAGGATGAGCGGATTCTCAGTCTGGCACTTCTTGAGAGCTTGAATGACCCGGCCGGGGAGTGCACCAACGTATGTTCTCCGATGGCCCTTGATTTCGGCGACGTCTGTGAGACCACCGACGCTGAATCTGTAGTACTGGCGGTTCAGTGCTCGAGCAATTGATTTACCGATACTGGTCTTGCCCACACCCGGCGGACCCACGAAGCACAGGATCTTGCCTTCAACTGTGCCACGCAGCTTGCCAACGGCGATGAATTCGAGGATGCGGTCCTTGACGTCCTTGAGTCCGTAGTGGTCCTCATCCAGCACTTTCATCGCGTTTTGGATCTCAAAGTTCTCCGCACTCCTCTGGCCCCACGGAATCTGCGTAAGCCAGTCCAAATAATTCCTTGTGACGTTGAATTCAGACGCCGCTGGCTCGAGGTGTGCGAGTTTATTGATTTCGTCATCGAACACCTTGCGCACGGCTTCCGGCATCGCCAGTTTATCAGCCTTCTCCTTGAACCTTTCGACCAGCTTGTCCTTTCCGTCAGATTCAATGCCGAGTTCGCGACGAATGCCCTTCATCTGCTCCATGAGCCAGTACTCCCTTTGTCTCTTGGTGATCTTGCTTTCTACGTCCTTCGTGATTTTCGACTGTAATTGCGCGTTCATGAGCTCTTTCTTCAGAACGACGAGTGCTTTTTGCATCCTCTCCTCAACATTCAAGCTTGAAAGGACCTCCTGAAGTTCCGCCGAGTCTCCAGCGCTGACAGCAGCAGCGAAATCGGCAAGCTTGGCTGGCTCGGCCGTCACATTGCCAGTGGACTGACTCATGGAGAAGGTCGATATCTGGTCGCGGAACAGACTATTCATCTGGGCAACCTCTTTGAAAACATTGACGATCTCGTTCGTCACGGCGCGGATGACCGGGCTCTTGGGGTCGTATGGCTCGTCGGTCAGATTCTCGACATTGACCAGGCTGACTGGGTACTTTCGCAGGAATGATGTCGGCTCATATTTCTCGGCGCTACCGTCTGCCTTCGAGGCAACAGCGCTTTCCTCAAAGCTGGCCACGACATCACCCTTCTTATCAGGTGAAGCATCTTCCTCGGTAGGCTTTGGTGTTGGTATTACTTCTGGCTCTGGTTCCGGAGTCGCATTCGTGGTTGGAGAAGGGGTATCGGTGGGTTCGGATTTCTTGGCATCGCTCTGCCCTGGTGGAATCAGTGTTGACAGCTTGATACGTCGATGTGGGTACAAGATGGCCGTCAGACTGTTCTGCTCGCCGTGGACGGGGAAAGCACTCGTGATCTGAGCGAAGACACCCGTATCGTACACATCATCCGCATTGTGAATAACGTCGTCATCTGCGTTCTCGTCTTTGAACAGGAAGGCTCCGACGTAAGGCTGCCCCCGCTTGATCATGTCAGTGACGGCCGCCGCGACGTTGGGATCCTTAATCGTAATCGCCTTGTAAAAGCCGGGGAAGAGCGGCCTCCTGGCGATCGGAATCGCCATGACCTGGGGGTATACATCCGGCACGGTTGGCTTTTGCAAAGCTCTTTCTGATTTCCGGCCCTTGCGGCCCCCGTCTCCCGATCCATCGCTGCCCGATCCAGATCCAGCCGCACCGCCGGCAGCACTGCCTTTGCCGTCTGCCGGGTCTGATTTGCCTTCACCGCTGGCAGGGCCGTCGGCGCTCGACGATTTGGCCTCACTGATCTCCTTTTCTAGCTCCTCAGTTTGCTTCTTCAGGTTTGCCTTCGCCTCTTCTTCTGAGAGAGGCTCAATCGTATTGTCGAAGAATCCTCTTCCTTTCTTGTCGGAGAGTATCGCGGAGGTGGAGAATGTCGACCTCGTCGCAGCATGAGGGCTTGACCTCGGAATCTGAGACTTGGGAATGAGCCTGCTGCCTAGGCGGCTTGAAGCATTTGATGAGAGTCCTGCCGAAGGAGACACTGTAAACGCCCTTTGCACGCTCCGGGAAAGCTGGCCTGGCGTGGCTGGCCTGGAGACTCGTTGTCGGAGAAGCATTGCTGGTGGAATAGGAAGGCTACGGACAACCCGTACCCGCGCGAGTGTGGAGAATTGAGAGACGAGCTTGTTGACCACGGCCTCGTCAAGATCTCAAGGAAAAAGGAATGGCAGTGCAGCAGGAAAGGATAGAGTTTTGTTATCGGCTATTGCGACCGTTGGCCGTGCTCGTTGGGGTTTGGATGACAAAATTACTCTCTTCGTCATCACCATCGGTGGCTACTTCGGCTGATCCCGACCCTGCCGACCTCGCTCCGTCTCTGCGCACGAGCCAGGCTCTGCTCAACCCACACCCCGCCCGCCACTCCATTGGCAGCGCCGAGGCTATGTGACAACTTACCTAGACTACAAATTACTCTGGGATAGCTAGCCTGTTGCCTTACGGATAAACCTGCAATGGAGTGACCTGGTACGGGACAACTGCTGCAGATATGTACTACAACCTCTCATATGATAATCTCGTCCAGAATGCTGAAACAAAGGAGGAGTCTCGCAGAATAGCCTACTGTATTCTCCAAGATAGCCTAGAGACGGTATCCCCTCGCTGGTAACATGAAAACCTTCAGAAATCCTGCGGGCTCTTACTATCGGCAGACGTTCCTCCACAATTCTGGCCTTCAATGGCGTCACTAGCGCGACTCATACGACGACCATTAACAATTTCGCACGATCAAAATAGGACTTCCCTGGCCTGTAGCACTGTCTGAAGTGCAGAGTCTGCAATGTGAGCCTGTCCACTTGAGATGCTGCTATGGAAAGCATACTACCGTAGGCAGCTGACACTGGACCAAGGCCGACTCCTTCGGGCCTTTTGTAGAGGATCCCTGTGCGCTCTATCTTATCGAGTCCCAGGCGAGGCTAGACCACCAAGCTCCCCAGATTTCAGTCCACACCCCACAGTCGAGCCACCTGCAGGGGCCCTAGCTACCCAAATATATAACACCAACTTCTTGCAACCTCGGAATCCATCTAGCCCCCGAATTGTGCCTGCTTACCACCCAGCAACATCGACCTCACGCACTCAATACCATATTTTGTTACAACGGACGACGCAGTGATCTGTAAAGCGGGACCTCGTATTCCTGGACCGGAAGCCACTTGACATATAAACCCCTCGGGTTTTCCTGCATGACGTGAACCTCACTTCACGTTCGCCCTCGGTTCAGTCTATCGAGTGCGCCAGTATCACAGCCCACCTCGTCACTTGGCTAGGTTATATCGGGTGCTATATATATATATATATATATATATATATAGACACATCTATATCTAAGCACGCGGCCTGCGCTGCCTCAGTGTTTCCGGATATACACCTGCTGACGCCAGTTCTCTCTGTTGCTGCGTGTGTTAAGCGTGCAACTTGTTCCAATCCGCTCCAAAGCCCTGTGTAGCCGCACACACATACATACAACCGTCTCCCCAAGATGTCCTCCGCAGATGCAAAGGATGTGGCCTCGAGCGTCTCGAAGCTGTCGCTTGATACACAGAACGCCAAACAACCGGCCAAGCCAACACCAAAGAAGGAGCCGGTCGCCGACTCTTGGGAAGACGAGGACCTTTCCTCTGACACCGAAACCGAAACAGAAAGGACCAGCAATCCGGGTCCCTCTGAGGGAGACCCACACGGGACATCCGCCCCTCCACCGACACCCGTCACCCCGAGCTACGGCCAAGGGGCATTCTCGTCCGCGGACCCGTCCGGGGGCTACCACATATCGGCAGGATCGTCCGGCGCCCCCGCGGCCCGGCCAGAAAAGACAGACGCCGTCGCGAGGAGGATGATAGCCGGCGCACTGGGCATGCGGGCGCCCAAGCTGACGGAGGAGCAGAAGAACTACGACAAGGCCGTGCGCGAGAAGGAGCGCAAGCGCAGGGAGGAGGAGAAGGCCGCGCAGAGGCGGATGGAGGAGGAGGCTGCCAAGGCGAAGGCGGCGATGTGGGACGACTGAAGACCGCAAATCTCTCGGTTATGTTGTCCTCATTTTTATGACAGGCATTTGGGCCTTGAGCACGAGGTCTGTATTGCTTGATCTGCAGGCACGGCTTTCCCAAGGCCTGATCATGAGCACTTGTCTGCCGCGTGTTCGTCGTTACAAACCCTCGTGAGGGAGTATCCTGGAGTTAAGCATCGTCAAATGGGAGGTGATGGCACTTTGAATTAGTACACACTGCATACGTTTGGCACGAAAGCATAGTCATATGTATTCTGTTAACAAGGCTCTTCGCCATAAGCGTATTGAACGCCATGATCAAAACATTCTCGTGCATTATCGAGCCACGTCACGTTGGTGATCTTTGCATCTCATTCAGTTCGCATTTCCTTCCGGTGAACTTCAGAGCCCCTGTTCACATCCTCGAGCACAACGTGCTGTCCCTTCCACAGCATCGACAGCTGTGACTCCCCGTCCCCGCCGGCATGCCGCATGCCCACCCCCAGGCCCTCCAGCCCCTCCTCCTCAGCCCTGCGGTTCCACAGCATCTGCTGGACGTGCCCCGCCCTCGTGCACGAGATAAAACACATAGGCCACCTACTCCGCGCGAGCGAGTCCCTCACGCCCTTGGTCGCCGGCTTCTCGGTGACGAAGACGCCCAGGACCCCGTGGCCCTTCCACCCGACCGGCGCGCCGACAAACGCGCCCTCCAGCTCGCGCACCAGGTTCGGGGACGACTTCCTCGCGATGGCCTTGCACTGGGCCAAGACCCGTAGTGGCTCCTTGGAGGATGGGACGGTCCATGTCCCGAGCAGGTCGATGCCGTAGTCTGAGTGGCCGCCCACCCTCTTCAGGTAGAAGCCGTACTGGGAGAGCACTTGGGCAACGGTGTACTCGTAATGGGTGCCGACGTAGAGAGTGGACTTTTGGTCGAGCCCTGACCTGTCGGCGTATGCGAGGAATGAGGGCAGATCATGGTGGTTGTTGGTTGGAGGGTCTGGGTAGATCAAAGTTGAGTTGAGCCTGGTGGGTGTCCATGCTGAGGCCAATGGAGTTGCTATCCCGGGCAAATTGTGTGTTTTTTATGCGTCCCAGCAGACGCGAATGCTGAGCGCTCAGCCCATGCCGTGGGATCGTTATCATCACCGTGACATGTCGTTTGTTTGGTGAATTCTGCCACGGATATGTTTCCAGGGCGGAAATAAATTTGGTTTCTAGTCGCGCTCTTGCGCGCCCCTGTTCAGTCCAGGTGCCCACTGCAGCATGCGTAGAAGGAGCTAGGGCCAACGTCACTCAAGCACCCCTGCCAAACTGCGTGGGGTGTAAACTGGCGTGCATCAAAGCCGACAACTTGAACAAGCCGCGACAGCATTTCCCTCCTGTTCTTCCTAGCAAGCTTGCAAAGATGGGTGACAGATTAACTCAGCTCCAGGATGCCGTCGATCAGGTAAGGCTCAGCCCGTTCCAAAATGAGCAGTGTACTAAGCGCAGTCCCAGCTGGCGCAACAATTCGTCGCATGCATCCATTTCCTCCACCGATACCACGATCGCGAAATACTGGGCCCCAAGGACCAGGTCAGAGAGGTGAAGCCGGAGGAGGACCGCAAAGAAAGTGAGCCTTGATCGCACGACCTCCAATTGGTATCTCCTGCCTGTTGTCTAACGATCCCTCGGAACAGTTACGCCGATCCCAGCCGAGGAGTTCAAAGCAGGCCAGATTGAGCTCGCGCGCGACCTGGTCTTGAAGGAACAGCAGATCGAGTTTATCATATCCTCGCTCCCGGGGCTCGAGAACAATGCGGAGGCACAGGAGCGGTGCATAAGGGAGCTAGAGGAGGAGCTTCGTGTCGCGGACGCGCAGCGGCAGGATGCGATCCGCGAGATGAACGAGGTTCAGGGACAGCTGGACCAGGTCATCCGGGGCACGAAACGGCCTTGAGTCGATGCGGGATCAGGAACAATTCCATACGAAGAGTCATACACTTGGCGGTTCATTTTTCGGCGTTTGAGGGGCACGGCGTATAATGGCGTTGGGATTCACGGATACCCACAAGGAAGACGGCCGTTCTGGAAGATTGGATCATCTTCGGAAGCGTCGAGGGCATTACTCTACGAGGCATCAATGACCAGCTGTCGAATGAAAGCCACGAAGAGGGCCTCAGCTGAGCATGTGGTCGTGCTAGTTGCTAGAGAAGCATTGTAGGTAGCAATCTGCTTAAGACCACACGGTGGACCAGAGAACTTAACAAAGCAGGATATTTCCAGGTCTGGCGTAGGACCATTGCTTTGCCGGTTTTGCAGTCAACAGAGTTCAAGTAATCTTTCCTCCTTAGTCCCAGTAAGATCTAACCCATGGGTATCTCTATGTCTATGTACAGTTCTGGTCTATCCGTCTAAGCCTTCTTGAAAAACTGTGGGAAAATAGTCCTCAGCTCCTCTAGGTGTCGTATTTGGTACTTTGAAGCCTGCTTCTTGGGAATTGGGACATCGTCTTCAACAAGGTGTACTGTGTTCCATCCGAATTCCTGGGCCTTGACGCAGTTGCCATAATTGTCATCTATTTCCTGTCAGCAACGTAGGTTTCTGTTATGCCTTTGTGAGGCTCGAGCGGACTGCAAGCCCTAGGGGGTTTGGGAGCGCCACTCACCAACGAAGAAGCAGTCCTCCCACTTCTCGACTCGGGCCTCCTTCATTGCCTTCACATACGCATCTTTTTGTGGCTTGCACACAAACGGGACCTTGGAATAGTCGCAGTACGTCACGCCCTCGAATATGTCCTCGATCCCGAGGAGGCGGATGACCCTGTGGGCATGATTGATGTAGGCGTTGGTGAAGAGCCACAGCCTGACCTTGCTCCTGTCGATGTCCTCAAGCAGCTTCTTGAGCTCCGGCCGTGGCTTGATGACGCCGTCCAGGGGCAGAGCATCGTCGACTTTGGCGTTGTACTCCAGAGGATCAATCTGGTGATGTCGGACGAGACCCTCGATGGCTAGTCCATAGTTCGTATAGTACTCTTGGTGCAGCCTCACTGCCTCTTCCTTGGGTAGGTTGAGGTGCTTCTGGAAGTAGGTGTCTATCAGATCTGCCATGAGATCATGGACCTTGGCGCCTGTATCGCCGTTAGAGTACCAATTTAGAAATTTAGAGACTGTACTTACTCTTCGGGTATAAGCAGTTGTCTATGTCGCTATTGTGCGTGATTAGAATATGAATGTTCAACGATAGGTTGCTGCGTATTGACTTACAAAAAGAAGACCTGTTTCGGTGTCGTGGCGCCATTTTCAACATGTTGCTGGTCTTTCGATGCCATCGCACTTGTTGTGAATCTGGAGAAGTATGCCGGGAAGGGCCTGATAGAAGCTTCGGCTTTGCTAGTCGTATGTGTAAGGGAGGAAGCGGCCAACTGTCTGTTCGCGCAAAGGGGTCTATCGAGAGCCGGGACGGGGTGTCTGATGTTGAAGTTAGAGGCGATGGCGTAGCATGAATTGAGTGTAGTTGAAAATCGTCTCGTTTGAGTGAGAGTCGGACTTGTAAGTTGGAATCTCATGTCATGTCGGTCTCAGCCGTCCTTATATGACGTCTACAAAGGCGAGGGCGATTATACAGAGCTAGGCTAGAGGAGATTCTAGAATTGAGTCAGGCCGGTTGTCGCCAGCCTGTTCCAATGCCCACCAGGGGTCAGCCCAAGACCCTGGAGAGACGTCCGAATTATGGTAATTCAATAGAAATTGGAAGAGTTCACCAAAGCCTAGCACGGTGTGACACAAACAATTCAAGACAGGAGAGAATGGAGTAGCCTTCAAAGGAAGGCTCTTCTCGCTCTGAAAGCAGCAAGTTCCGTCGACCGAGGTCGGCTGCTCGATTGCGCAGGACCGACCCCTGGATCTGCCGTTTGTACTTCCAAGGTTGTCACTACCACACCTCGGTGACTGGCCAGGGGTCTTGGGATGTCAACCAGCTTGTCTTATGTAAGCGATCACCGGCCCAAAACGCGCTCGTTAGACGAGTTGCAATTTCGCTCTGTTCATACCACTGGGCAAAGAAGGACAGACAGCTCGGCAACAGCCTGGATGTCTTCTTGCATCCATCAACCTAATCCCTTCGCCCTTCGATACGCATGCTAGCTACCCCCATTTGCACACGGTCCTGCTTAAGCGGCGTATGAGGATCGCGGGTCCGCCTTGCTAATGCACGTCCTTTTTGAAGCCTCAAAGTAGAAATTCTCTGATTTTGCGCCCGTCCGAACAACCTACAAACCGCTCCATCACGATGGCCCAGGGCCCAATTACCGCCCTGCAGTCAACCCCGGTGCCTTCCATGGCGTCTAAACTTCCAACTGCGCTATCAGAGGAGGAGGAGCATCAATTGCGAGAATGCGAACGCATCTTACAGTTTCGGGATGAGGTGCTGTCGGGCGCCCACCCCAGGATCAAGGTGCCGGCGCATTTGGTTGCTGCAAAGAAAAGCAGTGAATCTCGGAGTCCCGGGTCGCTTGCCATTGCAGCACCATCTGGACCGGCTGCGTTGATGAACAACGTGCCTACAGGCCCGAAATCCGCGAGCGCAAAGGTGGCGAGCCCGATCAACGGGTCTCAGATTGCAAACAACTTGCGCTCGTTCAACGCGAACGCGCATCGCTCTGCCACCGCTGCTTCGAACATTGCCTCTGGCCTTGATTCGTCCTTTGGTACCACGAGCACTATCTCTGGTGTCCCAACCGGACCCAAGGCTGCCACGCCAGCGCGATACCGCGAGGCCTCGGGGAGTGCTCAGTTTGATCCCGTACTTCTCACAAAGTCTGACGACCTGATCAAGGCTGAGATACAGCTCCAAAGGAAGCGACTCGAGAGTGCGCTGAGCGAGCAACTTCAACAGCATCGCGCGGCCAAGAATTCGCATGCAGCAGAAGCTCTGGTTGAATTTGATCTCGCTGACGTTCTCATGAAGGCTCTCAAGCTGGTTCAGACCTCTACTCTTCCACAGACTGATGCCAATCTAGCAGCTAATGCAAGCGGTACCGATGGTGATTCTTTTGACGACGACACGTTCTACTCTAGCAAACACGACACCCCTGAGTCCCACCAAACGCACCGCTTGCCCGATCGTGATGAGTCTGGAGACGCTCAGGCTCGTGAAGATTCCCACTACGAGCCTCCCATGGTTATCCAAGCCAGTCCAGTACCTGAGCAGCAATCTGCGGTAGCTATGCCACCATTCGTCCTGTCAAGTGCAAATGCAACTCAACCTCAGCAGCACCGAGTGCAGCAAACATCGGCGCCCGATCCTCGCAACCGCGCAGCTGTGACGTACTCCGGCGAATACCAGACCGGGTCGGATGTCGCAGGTACAAGGAATGCAAACGATGTGCCAATGGAAATAACTTCGTCGCAGGAGAGCGGGGAGGCGAGCAGCTCGAGAGACTCTGGCCTGGTTGGTGACCAACAAATGGCTCGTCACCATCTCGAGTCTGTTACGCAGCAACTGATCGATCAAGGCTTTGGTCGCCGTCAGTCGCCGATTCTTCGTGCGCACAACCTGTCTCCTATTGCCCCTCAGCCTGCACATGTTTCTCCTCTGGCCACTGCCCGACAGCCCCCAGTGCCCCGACCTGACGCTCCACCAGCTCAAGCGACTCCTGCGCAAGTTGCGGCACTTAGAAACGACCGCTCCAATGGCTCGAGTCCTGAGAGTTCTCCACAAGGCGGCAAGCCAAACAAGAAAGGCAAGAAGAAGAACAAGAGAAAGGCTGATCGCATGGCTACAAATACTGTGCCATCACCATACATCAAGCCAGAGCCGCGGTCTCCCTCCCCTCTTACTGCGCCTCAGTTCACAAGACCCAACAAGCGGCAGAGACAAGCACAGCGACCAGCACAGTCAGGCTACGATCAGCCTCGCATCGAGGAGCCTTTGGAGATCGTCGCTCCACACGGCTATCCTGCACGAGTTTATAGGGAAGAGAGAGTCGCTTCGGGGTACAGTAGTCCGAGCGGACAGCGTCCTCGCCAAGATTCCCGCCACATGCTCGTGGCTGAGCCACCAAGGTATGAGAGGGACTACCACGAAGGACTCCGTCCAACCGAGGCCGTCCAATACGTCCGGCGCTCTCCACCCGGAGCACCAGCATATCCATACGCGCCTAGTGAGGTGCAAACCATCAGGTCGGTTTCCCGTGCTGCGATTGAGAGGCCGTATCCATATTACGATGTTCGAGACGCTCCTCGCGCTGTAGTACGGCAAGTGGCGGATCGTGACCGGTCTCGTTCGCCTGTCATGGTCGAAGATCGCTCACCAGCCGTCATGGGCCCTCCACGCTTGCCGCGGTCGAGAATCGTGCACGTTGACGAGTTTGGCCGCGAATACTTGGATCCTGCTCCAAGACCAGAGGGCGTGGTAACCAGGCGCTCTGTTGTGCCAAGGCCGGTTTACGATGATCGGGAAGAATATTATGAGATGCCTAGGTCAACAACGGTGATTCGGCGTTCTGTTGCACCCGCGAGTGCTTACGGTGAGCCTGAAATCATCTACGAGCGGCCTGCTCCGTCAGTCCGTGCCGCTTCCGCCATGCCTGGCCCACAACGATATGACGACGAGGTTGTCTACCACCAGCCGGCTTCTCCCTCAGGCTATGCCACCACGCGTCGTGTGGTGACCCGTCCAGCAGAGTACGCGGTCCCCGAGTATCGGTACTACCGCGAGCGGGACTACCAAGCTGCACCCCCCGGCCAAGCCGGCGATGACTATTACGAAGTTCGGAATGTACAGGAGAGACGGCCAGCAGATGATGCCCCACGAGAGTACCGAATCCGGGCCACAACGGTGCGCCCTGAGGCGGCCCTCAGGCCAGAGGTGGTCGGGATGTCCAGCGTGCGGCCCGAGCCCATCCCCGGCGGCTACGGTGCGCCGATCCCACTGGGTGAGCGGCAGGTGATGCCGCCTCCTCGGCCTTATAGCACTCGACCTATTGCACCTCCGCCTCCTCCTCAGCAGCAGCAGCAACAGTACGTGCGTCCGTGGCCAGAGTACGAGGCCCGGCCGTATCCAGAGCAGGTTGAGGAGGTCGGTGATGATGGAGGTGTGACTTACTTGGACAGTGCTCCCAGAGAGATGTATAGATGAGGCGACGTGTGGATGACTGTTCTTGGAAGCAGAATGAAAAGATTATGTCAACATGCACCAGTCCTCGAGTAACATTTGTCGAGCACAACTGTAGTGACTAGCGATATTTCCCCTTGAGACAGGCTTTTAATCTTTTGTTCGGCTCGAAAAGGGATGGTCAGGCTTTTGCGAGAGGGCCAACTAGTAGAGATACAGGAAAGGAGCCATGAGCAGTGGGGAATGTAGTCAGAAAAGCGCGAGGACCCGGCTTCTTCAGCAGATTCTCCTGTGTGCCCAGCCCTGGCTCCTGCAAACGGACGGACGCACTCTCACATGCAAAGTGTTTCTGCTTTTCAAGCCCCCGCCAACACCCAGATCTGACGATGGACCCTCAGCCTTGAATCAGGCAGTTGTTAGTGCCCGAGTCGGCCAGGCGCACAAACACTTTCTGGGCATATCCATCCCCCTTCTCCCGGTGCCAGTGAGTAATTTCTCGTCCTTGTCCCACGAGGACCCGGGGGCCCACAGCGAGTTAGCTACTTGGGGGTCGGAGTTTATTTTCAGAGGCGCAGGTGCCACTCTGCCACGACTACCGGTAGCCAGCCGAAACCAGCCTCCGAACTCTATTAAATTGGTCCCCAGTCGGGGCGGTGTGTGTGTGTGCCAGGCGTACAAGAATGGTAGATCAGATTACAGTTAGCAGGTGGCCGTGGTCGCGCAGGAAGCGAGCAATGCCCCCTAGTTTGAACGTGGAATAGTGTGGGTGCGGGAAGCTTCTCTGGAACGCATGGAGAAAAAAGCGGCCAGGCATGCCCATCGAGAAATGGGGCACAGTCTCGCTATTTGTTGCGTTCCCCGTCAAGGGCCCGGTGGCAGAAAACGGGTTGGGCCTCTCCCCACTACGGTAACGCATCACGGTGACACTTGGGCTAAAAGTGGGCAGGCGGACCCCCCCGAGCCTCTCTTGGCCCGGGGCACGTCGAACAGATGGAGCCTACTCTCTGACTTCGTTGCTGGAGAAAAGCACTGCCCAACAGTTCGCAAAATCTCGGACGATAGCGCTGACGGTACCGGAGGAAGGAGGCCGCTTCCCTGGTTAATACGACTGCATGATGGGTGGGAGCGAGTAAGCCAGCGTTGTGAGAGAGAGCCAATTCAGGAATAGGCGGGAGAGGGAAAGATTCTGTCGGCAGAAGATATCCATCCTGCGAGGCGGCGGGCGACGGTAGACGGGCGAACGGGCTGACGGGTCAGAGCGAGAGCATCCGGTCGAGTGAGCTCCTCTAGTTTGTGGGAGCATGCGGGCGCGTGCGTGCGTGCGTGGTTGTTGTTGCGTGTGCGTGGGTGGGGTTGGGGTTGGTTTTTCTTCACGAGCTGGGCTGTCCGACGACGCCTGATTCGAGAAGCTGAGCTTGTGCTCACGTGAAACCTGTCCAGGCCGATCGTAACCTGCGATCCGGTGAGTGGGAGGACTGTTTCTCTGGCAGCTGAAGGGGGCTTTCTCGCGTCGGGCAACGCTTGTCTGAGACATCAATCCAATCCTGTCTGGTCCAGTCCAGCAGGAGGAGGGGGAAGATCGAGAGCCGGCCTTTGACAGCGGCTAGCTCGAACGCAGGCGGTCTTGGGATAGCTCGTCACTTTTCGCGGAGCCGAGATCCTGGCGTCTGGCGTCTGGCGTTGCGGTCTTTGCAGGAATAAGTTGGGATGAAGTCATGGCTCTGTGGAGTGCTGGCCGGTCTGAGGAACCGTGCGTCCAAAAATGCGCCCGCATGGGATACTGTATACCTACCATGTAACCATCTTGGGGGAGCGAGGTGCGCCGGCTCCATGTCTCAGTCGGTGACGGATTCTAGGTAGTTCCTGTGGTCAGTTGTCACTTTTTCCACATGCTAGCCCGCAGGGGCCGGAGCATTTGAGTCTGAGATTGCCGTAGAGAATCATCAGATAATCGATCCACGGATTAGATGTTCCTGTCCAGGCCTGTCCTCTCGGCTTGTGTGGCTATCTGCTGGTCCTGGTAGGATGGATCAATCTGTCGTGGTTCCCATGGTTCCCAGGCCCGGGGTTGGAGGGAGTGGGATTGGGCGACCACGCGTGTTGCTGTGGCCGTGCCCTCGCTTGCTGGCCTTGCAGGCAGTGATGGAATGGGCATGGAATAGACCCATGCAATCGTCATTTCGTTTCCAAGCCCTGCGCCTGGCTGCCCTCTCCAGACAGGATTGGCGTCGCGCTGGGTCTGCCAACGTTTCGATTTCCAAGATGGACCCCGGCCTCGTACTGTGCACCTTTCTGCTGCGGCGTCCGGCCCCGCGAACTGGCGAGTTGTGGGTTCGCTGCAGGGACTTTGTTGAAGAGTGGTTTGAGCTGGTCAGTCCATGAGTCCTGTCAGTCCATCACTACCGACGATCAATCTATCAATGGGCAAGCCTCTGCATCAGGTTAGACGGGGACGGACGGACTGCCCTGCCCTGCCCTGCCCTGGCCGGGCCAATCCGGCCAAGGTTCGAGTTTCCCATACCCAGCTCGACTCGACTCGACTCGACTGGACTGGAGACTGGACTGACTTGACTTGACTGACGGGCAGACTGGCTCCCCTCCCGACTGGTTCATTCGCAGTGCCAGCCCAACAAAGGGCCCCACCTTGGCACATCCGTCACTGCCAGCTGGGCACGGGGATTGGGGACGGGGACTGGGACTGGGACTGGGGGGGGGCGTGGGTGGTGGAAAGGAAGGGAGGGGGGGCATATGCAAGTTCTTTTACACTTTCCTACACAGTCCTGCGCTGTGCTGTACTTCTCCACCAGGCAGGGCTGGTAGTCTACCCGGATAGCACGCTGGTCCCGCGCGGACAGGCCTCTGGTTGGCGCTGAGCAGGCCCGCGCTACCTGGCAACAGTGGTCCGATGCTACCTGCAGGCCTGCTCCTCTGCCGCTGCTTCAGCCACTCTGCCCAGTGGTACCATCCAGAATCCAGGTCGACGCCCAGGGCCTCCAACCACTCACTACCTGGGTACCGGCTGGTTTTGTTTGACCAGGCGGGCGTGTTGCTGTCACTGTCACCGTCACTGTTGCTGCTGCTGCTACTACTCCGTGCTCCTCGGTGCAGTGTGTTTTTGGTGCCCTGTGTGTGTGCCCCCTGTGCGCCTGTCCCCCTCCCCCGAAAAAGGTGTGTGCTTCGCCTTGCCCGGCCCTGCAGCAGCTGCCTCGTGTCTGTCCGTCTGTCTGTCTAGTCGTGTCGTGTCGTGTCGTGTCGTGTTGTTGTCTCGAACGCACCCGTTGCTGGTGCTGGCTAGCTTTGCTTACTGTGCCTGCCTCCCTTCCTCACACACACCTGATTCCTGATTCCTCTTCGAACAGCGTCTCCTGTCTTCCTGTCTCCCTCTCCTTCCTCCCACCTTGACTCTCCACCGGGTGGAAGTGGAATAGATAGAGCACACAATTGTTTTGTGGTGCTTCTCTTTTCCTTGAAGCCCCTTTCCCTCTTGCTCAATTCAGTTCCTGTGGCGCGAAGGCGGCTTTATCGTCCCATCCCATCCCATCCGCCCCCTCCCACCCTTTCAACGCCATTCCCGACTCCGTCATTCCGTCCGGCTCAGCCCAGCCCAGATCCAGCCCGTCACTGCCGGACCTACTCCCCCCTCCCCCCATCCTTTCTCATCATCTCTGCCCTCACCTCAGCCTCTACCTCTGCCTCTGCCACCGCCACCACGCCCGCCCATCCCGACCTCAACCTCATCCGCGCCATCGTCCTTGTCCTTGTCCTCGTCCTCGGCCCCCGGCCCTCGATCAGGACCTTGACACCGACACCCCCGACCCCGAGCCTCGACCCGGGCTGCCGTGTGGCCTCATCATTACCCATGTGGACATCATCATGAACGCCATGAACAAGATAGCAAACATGAGAAACTGGTCAGAGCGGATGAGTCCCGCCTTTGGCATGTCTTCAAGGCCCAACCTGGGCATGTCCATGCAGGGTCTCCATCCTCACCACAAGATGGCACCTCAGGGAGCCTCTCCCATAACTCCACCCCAGATCGGCGACTCCATCATACACCATGCATTCAACGTCCCCTTCGCATCCGAGCTGGCCGGCCCCGACACCGAGGACATCCTGCATGCCACCGCCGACGCCGTCCTGCGCTGGACACACCCTGCCGAAGCCCCCGATGATGTCCCTGTCTACGAGCTCCCCGTCCACACCGACAACCTCGCCAAGTTGAGGAAGATGTGCAAGGACATCACCACCAGCCCGCTTCCCATCGAGGCCCACGTCATCTCCACCATCCCTAAGCATGTCAAGGGCCAGGTCACCACCGTCTGCCTCTCCGGCTCGCACGAGATGGTCTGGCAGACCCGTGAGAAGATCCTGAACGAGACCCCTCTGTCTCTGGTGTGTACACGGCCATAGTGCTGCATTGCTTCCCTGCTGTCCCAACGAGGCACACGTAAACTGACCCCCCCCCCCACAGCGTTGCACCACGGTGGACATTGACGGTGATATGGTGGCCGACATCAACGCCGGCTCTCTCAAGCACGTCGTGACGGAAACCATCGACAAGATTTCCGCCTTCTGTGGCGTCGACATCTTTCTCCTTGGACCCAAGCTCACACCCATCGTTGATGGAGTGAACGGTGACGTCGAAGTGCGAAGGGATCAGCGTTGGCGGGTGGCTATCTACGGCGACATTCTGTCTTCCGAACACGCAAAGACACGCATCCTGGTCTCGATCGACCAGTGGGTATGGCTCACCAATAATGCCCGCTCCGAGGGCAGGCCACGCTAACTTTCGGGCAGTTGGGTCGCATTATTGACATGATCCACATGGACTTTACTCTGCAGCAGGCAATCTGCGGTCGTAACCGGAAGAACATCAAGCTTATCGAGTCTGCCACCGGAACCGCCATCTACTTCCCTCCGCCGTACTCGAGATACTTCCGATACTGTCCCAAGAACGCATCGCCCCGGGACCCGAACGAGATTATCATCACCGGAGACAAGCCTCGGCAGATTGAGCTTGCAAAACTCAAGCTGGGAGATCTACTGAATCGCTGCAGGCTATACGTCAAGGATGTCCCCATGCCGCCGGAGAAGGTCGACACGATTCTCTTGACTCGACTGGACAAGGTGCGAAAGATTGTCGAGGCCAATGGCAGCTACATCCAGTTCCCTCCTCTGGGTTCGCGGTCGACTCCGGTCCGGATTCAGGCTACTGAGAACCTGCACATTGAGCGAACCGTTCGGGAGCTCATGTCTCTTGTGAGTCTAGTGGTGGACTTGGCTGTGTATTTCGTACTGACGCAATCCCAGGCTGGTCAGTTCTACAGCGGGTTCTGGGCAGCCCAGCCTGACGGGCGGAGGCTGCCGGAGGACAACGACATCAGACTTATGCTTGGAGACATCTGTGCCAACTCTGATGCCGAGATTTCATTCCAGCGTTTGTCCTTCACCATCGATGGCTCTGACGACGCGGTCAAGGCAGCGCTACACGTGATCTCTCAAATCAAATTCGTGACACAGACACAGTATACCATCAGGGTCAAGATCGAGCTGGCGAATGAACACAAGGAATTCGTCAGCGGCAAGAAGAATGGCAAGATCAACAAGATCATGGGACAGAGTACGACCTCGCCGCTCCTCACTTCACCCCTGATTTGCGTTGGAGCTTTGGCTGACCAAAAGTATAGGCAATGTTCAAATCATGTTCGAGAACTTCGGCGAGTACAACTTCAACATCGACGTCAATGGCTCTTCCTACGACTCGATGAAGCAGGGCCTGGGCCTGGTAGAACAGGAGATGCCAGCTTCTATCTCGTTCCACGTGCCTGACCAGTACCACAAGCGGATCATTGGCATTGGCGGCCAACACATCCAGCGCATCATGAAGAAGCACTCTGTCTTTGTCAAGTTCTCCAATGCTCAAGAACGCAGTAAGTTCATAGCATAATAACGTGCATCGAACCAGGGCATCAATAAGCTGACATTCATAGATGGCATGATTCGAGAAGATGATGACAACACGCTGGACAACGTCATCTGCCGTACCCCTGCGCGGAATGCCCAGAACCTTGAGCTTGTCAAATCTGAGATCCTGGAGATGGTCGATCGCGTCGACTCTGAGTTCACTTCTCAGGTGGTGCCTGTCGACCGTTTGTACCACCGCCAGCTGCTCGCCCGCCTTTCGGATATTGCAATCATGGAGAAGAAATGGAATTGCAAGATCATTTTCCCAAGCACGGAGCAGGCCAGCGATGAGGTTACCTTCACTGGTCCCCAGTGGCAGGTGCCCCTTTGTGTGGACGAGTTCTTGGTATGCATTTGATACTGACCGTCCCCATTTCATCCAAGTATTTACTAATCGGCTGCAGGGTATGGTGCCCGACAACCACGAGCTCGTTCTGGCCCGCACGCCGGCTTTGATCAAGTACCTGGAGTCTCCTGAATTCGTCAACGAAGTTGTGCAGAAGCTCAAGGCACAACATGAGGTTGACCTGACCGTTCATCAGAACGCATCGGAGCTCACCGAGGACGGCAAACCGACGGTCACGCTCCTCTGGACTTTCACTCGAAACAACGCTGGCGGCCTGCGTGATGCCATGGAGCTTCTTCACGGACACTTTGCCACTGCGGGTGTTGAGGAGACCATTATCAAAGGATCCATGCCGCGGCCGAAGTCGGATACTTTCGAGGAATCTCTCCAGTACTTCGATTCCAAGCTTCTGCAACACGCGCCGACAACAGTCGCGACCGACTCGCCTACGAAGACTGCCTTCGGCGACGAGGTGGCACGCGAGCGCAGCACGATCTTTGACAAGCTTCGAAAGCCTGGGAGCATGTCATCCATCTCATCCTTTCTGGACCGTCGCAAGAACAGCTCTCACTCTGCCAGCAACTTCTTCAAGGGCTCAAGCAACGTGTCCAAATCATCTCTCATCTCCATTGAATCAACTCGCAGCTTTAATGCTGAACGTAACCCCTGGAACGACAGCGGTGTAAACCTACCCGACGACGACAGCCCATGGCCAAACCGTCCCTTCGGTAACGGCGCCGAACACAAGCCGACGCCCAACGGCATCGCCCAGCCCGGCGATGTCACTCCCCGCCACAATACCCGACAGTCCGCCGACAGCGGGCGTCCTTCCACTGCTCATTCTACGAATTCTGGATACCCCGGTCCTATTGGTGGGCCATACCATTAGATGTCTTCGTTTTTAGAACCTCTTGCGTCAAAATACCCGGCTGGATATACCCTGGCGTAAAAAAATACCCGGAATGTTGTTGCATTTTGGTCGGCCCGATTCTTCTCGATTCTTCAGTTTTGCCTTTACAGCCGCACGAATTTTCGCCTTCGTTCTTGGCCTCGCCCATCATCGAGGATGTGCGCTCTTGTGGGGGACGCGACCTCGGAGGACTGGACAAGGCTCGTGACTTAGACTCGAAAGATCGTAGTTGGCCTCGCTGTTCTGCTCTTGTTCGATTTCTCTTGGCGTTTTTTAAGGGACCCTATCATTTAGTTTTGTTTTTGAAGATTTCAGTATATCCTGTCTTCGTCATCATCTCTATACACCCGCATGGGACAGCCAACAACAGACAGATGTCTTGCACGTCGTTTACTTCCTGGCTGGCAAGAAGGGGAGGGTCCCGATAATGTGGAACGCACGCTGATGATACCAGTTTCCGAGATGGGATGGATGGGGGCGCGGAGGATCGATGTATGAATGCAAGGGACGGAAGGTGGATTTGGGACTCGGGAGCGGCACAAGGTCTGTTGGAAGCGCGGGGGGTATGGAAGTGCAAGGAAAGTCTCTTTTATGGTTTTATCTATAGCGATGGCAGATATACAGATGATACCCACTCACCTTTCACCTAGCGCTGCACAGAAGTGGCTGGTTTGTTCTACTTGATACAAGATGCTCAGAGGCGATCCCATGACCACCCATCAGAAAGAAACGTGTAACTTGACACGGCATGGCATCTCTGAGGTCATGACAAGGTGAAGGGACTCAGAATATGTCGGCAACTGACCCTTTGCTAGCTTGTAAGCTAGACTGCCTGCTGCGCTTGGTATTGCCTTCGGTCATAAATATGCTGGGGACGTTTGCATAAGCCATACATTGCTGCCGGCTTCAGGGCGATCTCGGCCATCTCACAACCGATGAACAACATGAACACCGACGCCGTCACTACAGAAGCCGTAACAAGGAATGTAAAAGGGAGAGAACATGGCCACCTCAAGGGATTATGAATAAGCTCTTCGGAAGAACAAATTAGAAGCCCTGGGGAAACGAATATATGATATTGCGAAATACCAAATGCGTGATGCGATACCAATCTCAGGATATGCTAAATGCAGGTTACCATGAACTCGACATGCAGATGCCCAACCTAGAGCTTTTACAACAAGAGACCAGTCACTCATGATCCCCAAAGACCTAGCACATTCATCGGCTCACATTGTCCGAACAATTCCCAAAGAAGTCAGAACGAAATGCAACAGAAAACATTGAAATCGCCAAACACACATGACACACCGCCCCTCGTCCCCCTCCCCCTTGATCAAGTCGCAGGCTCCGTATGCTGGCTAGCCTCCCTGCTCCTCTCCCTCTGCATGGCAATAATCATGTCGGTCAGCCTGTCGATCTTGGAGCTCAGCTCGGCAATCTTGACGTCCATATCGGTCGGGGCGTCCATGTCGTCATTGGCGATGTCAGGGTCCGCCGACGGGGCGCTGATGGCAGGGGCCGAGACGGGCCGCAGCGCATCAGAGCGGCGCAGCTGCTGGTGCTGCTGGTGCGCGTACGCCGAGGACGACGAGGCCGGGCGGACCTTTGCGCGGGAGGCCTTGCGCTGGGCGGCGGACCCGCCGCTGCCGAGGGCCCCCTCGAGGCGGGGGCCCTTGAAGCCGTAGAACTCGTCGCTGGCGACCTTGCCCTTGACGAGCTCGTACAGCATGATGGCGCCGACGATGGGCAGGTGGGTGGCCTTGAGCAGGAGGATGCGGGCGGCGCGGAACTTGTTGTCCGAGGGGAGGACGAGGCGGAGGGGCCTGAAGATGGCCAGGGCGAGGAGATTGAAGGGCGGGTAGAAGTGGGTCAGCCTGTTCGAGGTCGAGGCCTCGAGGACGTAGACGGAGTAGACGTAGAGGTACTCCTCGCGGGCGTGGCTCATAACGCGGGAGAAGGAGTTGGAGAGCATACCCGTCAGGCTCCCCATGAGGAGGATGGACGAGAGAGTGACGAATATGAACATCAGGGGCGGGCCGAAGTACGGGTCGATGTCTTTCATAATGTCGAATCCGATGTAACTCGAGCCATCTGATTGAGAGGTCGGTTAGTGAGTGCTTGGAATACCTGAAGGACGTGAAGCATGGGCAAGGAGCAGGTCCCTGGGCCGCTTGTGATAGATACAACACGACAGCAGCTCGCGTATGGTTTACTCACAAAAGATCTTAGCCAAGTTCATGGTCATGGCTGGAAGAGTCTAAAATGAAAACTTGGTGAGTGGTCGTCTGTCAGGGTGAAAAAAGACTGCTTGGAAGCGCAAGATACTTACGAAGGTGTCACGAGCAACGAGTGTAAAAGTCGTCAAAAATCCAAGGTACACTATGAAGACGAGCACCATGAATTTGACGAAATCCTTGCCCATTTCCTTCAGACAGGGGATAAGGGTGCCCCAGTATGGAGAGAGCGACAGCACCGAGCAGACCCGCGGCACCATGAACAGGGCCAGCAGGGCCAAGACGTCAAAGGACGACCCGATCAGCTTCTCGTCGTGCTTTGAGAGACCGACAATCCCTTGCGGAGCGTTAGAATGGCATCAGATAATGTGGGATCTCAGACTTACGCAACACAGAGAAGATGAAGCCTATCAAAATCATTATGATATCGAATAGATTCCATATCTGTACGGAGAGCGTGAGCGGCTTATTCCGAAACATAAGATTGGCCGGAGTAACTCACATCGGTCGCGTAGAAGATTGATCCGGCGTCGACGTACTCGCTCAGCTCATCATAAGCAAAAGCCAAGAACCAGACGTAGAGCAGGACCTCGTTGACGCTGATCTTCTCCGGGTTCCTCTCAACCAGGACGGAGTAGTAGAGGAACAGGAAGATTAGGAAGAAGATGACCTCGAACGACTTGAGGTATTTGGGGACTCGAAGGCGAGAGAATGGGTCGGCTGTTGCCTTGTTGTAGAACCGGGGCCGTTTCACCGAGTCGACAGCCAACCCTGGTGGTCATGATGTTAATCTAATTGCCCAATCGTCTTATAAATCCATGACCACGCAGCAGAATAATCCCGGGCGGCCCCCGGGGAGGGCAGGGGAGATGATGGAATTACTCACGATCCCAGAAGACGATGTCACCGTTCCAAATGCCGGTAACAATTTTCTGGACGACATGCTGGCTTAGAAACCGTTTGGCGTCCGCAACGGCGGCGATCTCGAGCGCATTGAGCGTGACGAAGGGCTTGGTGGGGTCCTCCTCCTCGTCCTCGTCGTCATCCTCCTGGGACATCGTCAGCCGTGAGATGGACTGCAGCAGCTGGTAGCGCTTCTTGCTGCCGGTGTTGGTGAGCGTCTGCTTGGCCGAGTTGACCGTCCCGGCCAGGCTCTGGGCGAGCAGGGCGGTGTTCTCGTCCACCTCGTGCGACTGGCGCCCGTTCTCCTCGTCGCGGGCCCCTGCGCCCCCCTCGGCGTCTTCCGGGTCTGGAATCTCGTAGAGGCAGCAGTTCATCACCTCCCTCTCGGAGAGGTGGGTCAAGAACCGCCCTGGGCGAGTGTCAAGTCAGCAATCGCTCAGAGTCCGGTTATTCGAGTGGACATGAGAGCGGGGCAGGCAACTCACATGCCACGATTTCAGCAGCGTTGGCGCGGGCTTCATTGACACCTTTGTCCTCCGTTGCCGCGCCATAATGCCATCTCAGAGCCCTGAGATATTTCCGTCAGTGAGGTGTGTTGAGTAGCGAGTAGATGTATGCCCCGTTCTGTAGATGTGTGCCCATGGGTGGAGCCGTTGCGGATCGGGGCGTCTGATGCGCCCCACAGGATTTGCATGTTGTGGTCCAGGCCTTGCAGAAAGAGCCATCCGATCGATTGACTTACAAGAGAGCATTCACGATGGCAGGATGTGAGCATTCACTGCTGAGATGCTCGACTAGAGTCCGTAGGCCCTGGCCTGCACTGGTTGTCCGCAGTTGTTCGAAGGTGACCGGAAGCACAACCACCGCATTAAAGTAGCTGCCAGGAAAAGTTGTTAGTGGTTGGGTGGAACATTAGATAGGTACAACCGCCAAGTCGCCAATTTCTCACGCACACTGATAGCTTCTTGATCATTTCCCTGAAAGAATCATCATCACGGATGTCAGGCAGCCCGTAGCTGTCCAATCGGTAGCCCATAGGGGAGGGCGACCGTGGGGGCTCGTCAGCCCCCGGCGGTTTACGCGACTTGACGCGTATAGGCATGACGGCTTCCCAATTGAGGTGTTGAGAGCGTAGCTGCACCAAAGTCGACGTCTCAAGGACGACAATGCCCAGGGAAAGCAACGGCTTGATGTCGAGATAAGAACCAATTTCTAGACAAGGCTTAACCCCACAATCGCGAGTGCTCGCCGCCTGGTCCCCTAGTCCCCTCCAGCAGGCTTCCAAGGGGCTACACTAGATGGGACCCCGCCGGCCTGGGAGCGTGCTTTCCTTGGTCTTGTGCACAGGGACCCCTGCTTCTGGCCTCCACGCCGTCTTCAGCTAGATCCCATCTTGCCTAAATTTGTCTCGCATTCAATGCCTGCCATCTGCACCTCCACGGCTGTCAAACCACTCCAGAGACACAATTGGACGACCAGCCTGGGCTGCATTGTCTCAGTCCGAACGTTGGCGACGACTAGTGCTACGGAGGATGGGCGGGAGGATCGTGAGAAGAGCAATCTCGACTGCTCAAGCCTGCTACCCTGGGCCCGAACCCCTCCTTCAACCGCGCCCCCCCCCCCACAGCCGCGGCGGGGAACTGAGCCCACGAATCCTGAAACTTGTGCCGGCTGCTGTCTTGATAAGGCTGCGGTGCGGGCGAGGAAAGCCCCACGCCCGCCATTGACGGGCTGCTCAACTCCGGTCGGCTCGGAAACGCCAATCTTGGGCGCGGCCATGAGCGGCCCAGCTTACCGCAGATTCTGAGACCTGTCGCCCGGTCACATGTAGTCGCTGTTCAGGTGGCCAAATATACAACCCTCGTGGGATACAAAAATACACTTGGTGCGCTCCCAGACTCATGCCGATGGAACATTGTGGACGAAACAGTCCTGGTCTCTTCCAGAGGAGCAGTCGACTACGCCAGCCATAACCCGAACATGGTTGCAAGTCACAGAAGCCGCGTCAAACTGGTACTGGGTGTATCATTGCATTTGGCCAAGTTGCAACCTCTCAGCATTCTCTTTGCAACGCACTCTATTCACCGTTCACGAGCTATTAACACTACCAATCGCTGGCCAGCACTGCCAATATCGACTCACCCACCACCTTCTAGATGCTAGAATTCGGGCTCTGGCCATGGTTGTACAGAACGCCCTGGTCTGTTCGAGTCGGTCGGCTGGCCGTGCCGTGCATGCTGTCGTGCGACTGCACAACTGCCTATTCGAGGTCTACAGTGCAACGTCTTCCTGCTGCCGGGTGACTATTGCCTTCGAGTTCGTGTCTGTACACCGCGAGAGAGTAGTACACATACGAGACAGAATGGACCACGAGCTGTCGCTTCCGAAGACAGGCTAGGTGACCTCGACTCCAAGCCTTCCTGAAAGGTAGTCCGTGAAGCGAATCGGCCGATAGTCTTTGAATCCTCGCGTACAGATGATCGGCGACCACCGGTAACACAATGTGTTCAGCCAGCACGTCAGGCACATACAGTCTTGGTACTTGTTGCGATAGGAAAGCTCATGAAGCTTGCATTGATGCGGTGCAACTCCACAGAATGTTCCGGCCTAGGGAATCAGTCTACCCAGAGAAACGATGGCTACCCGATGCAGAGACGGGTGATGTTACGATAATCACCCCGGAACACGCAGACGTCTGGTAAACAAACCTCAAGATCACAGCGGGTTGTCTATACCCGGCTCGACTGCGGTCAACAAGTCCAGGACACAATTTAAGGTTTTCGAAAGCCACCAGCATTAAAACAACAACTAACGACAACCACATGCCCAGCAGTCTGGCCGCGTGTTGAGGGTCCTTCCACCAAGGGTGTCCAACCGAATTCTAGAAGAACCCAAGCCACGTTCCCCGACAAACCCTGTTGGCCGAGCGAACGTTCCCCTCATGACAGGCATCAATATATTCGGAAGCCTATCCACTGGGAGTGACGTATTCCTCAGCTGAGGCTGACCACGAGAATCGCGATGCTCAGTGCGGCCTCCCGGAGAACAAAACCGGCTGGTCGACTGCCGAGCCCGCAACAGGGTGTTTTCGCACCATCTGGACATGCGACTGGCGTGAGTCTTGCGAGGTCGATCTGCCCCGGAGCCAATGCCGATCTCCGCTCGAGAGGCATCCGGGCAGTGGCAAACGTTTCGGGACCAACCTCTTTGCTGGAGATATCCTGTTGGAGACAACCTCGGGTTCTTATACTGGGCTACTTAAACATGTCTGAGAAAACTGACATCATACTGTAGCATTGAGCCGGGAAGCCGTTTGGCAAGTCTCTTTGACTACCCCGGGGGACTACACGAATATCTCAAAATTACCAGATGCTATGCCCATCTGTAAAGCCGTGGTGATCATGGCAGATGAGACACGAATCGAAGTCTATGTGAGGCACAGACCCACAAAATATCAAGTCGTTCCTGGACCGTTGGGTCGTTCGTGTATGCAATCTGCCCACGGTTGTCCTGGGATCGCGAGTACTGGAACGCTGTACTCCCGAGTGCCACCGCCAGGAAACGGCCAGGCGCTAGACGCCAGCGGTCGACGACTTTATTAGCCGTGGCGTGGCGATGTTTAGAGGGTGGGCGCGGGGTGACTAGCCGCAGGCCGCTCGCTAAAAAAAGCAGCAGGGGGAGGTCTTCGCCACCTCTGCGGTCACCCTGCCTCGAGCCTGCGTCTGCAAGCGCATCAGTGTGGCTGTGGGAGCGGACAGTAGCACTTTGACAACGAAACGTCAGGGCCTCGATTGGCTGCAGTCCTGCAGGGGCAGTCGTAGGCCCGTTCGAACTACTAGACTATTTTCTTCGAACCCGAGCTGCTGTCTTCGCAGATCTCTTGCGTCAAGCCGCTATAGCAGCCCGGCAGCCGGATGCAAGCTAGACTATTCCTCCCTACTCTGCCGGGGATCTCTGGACCCTGTGTGTATACACACATAGATTCACGATGCACGTTGCGTACGCGCTTAGCTTCATCACGCCAGTCCGTCAAGGGCCGTAGCAGATGGAGACAAGTGGAATCGAGCCTCGCCGCCGGGCGCCTCGACTAGCTTCTCGACATCCAACATGGCAGCATGGCCAACATCACAATGCACCGACGGCAAGCCTACTCCACCACCGCTAAGCCCCTGGGGCAGCTCTGCACAGACGGCACGACCCTTCATACTGGGCCCTCTGATGTGCCCCATTCCTGAATAGGATCGCCAGGCGACGCGATACACAATTAAGGGCTCTTAGACACAACCGCATGATCTACACTACAGTAGGTATAGAAGGCATCGTGTGCACTATTATGGCCCCCAGTTCCTGGAAACTTTTGGACCGCTGTGTCACCAACGGCGGCCCTGTGCGTTTGTGCGCTTCTGTGTGTGTGTGTGTCTGACCCTCGATGGGTATATGCACTGATCCTTGCAGATGCGCCATCACGGATCCTACCCTGTCATGGCTGCCACTCTTTTTATTCCTCACTGCCTCACCCGCCTTGCCAGCCTGCTTACTTGTTGGACCTGTTCTACCTTTTTTCACCTTCGCTTGTCCCTTCTTGTCGATTTTTCTGTTTCCCTCTCATTCTTTGACGAAAACCTCACCGTCTTTGTATTGATTTGTGAATCCTTCACCAAGGGCTGTTCTGCTCACAATCTCTTGGGATCCCCAGCCACCAATATATTCCTCGATGCCCCGGCAACGCATATAAACAAATCCGTGCAAGATGCTCCAAGACATCTTCGTCAGGCTGCCCAAGCCGACGGCTCTTCTCATCCTCTCTAGCCTCTTCAGGGCCACATCAGCACATATCCCTCGTCAGACACCAACAACAGTTCCGTACAGATCTCTAAATGTGGTTGCGTACCCACCAATCGCAGCACCGACGTCACCACCGGTCGATCTACCTACGCTGAACGAGCTCCTCAGGAGGCAGGATACCAACACGATATGCGGCTACATAGGAGGTGATCCAGACCTGCCTGCAACCTGCTCAGCTGGGTCCCATTGTGTATTAGACGCAGATCACGGCGCCGTGGGATGTTGTCCGAATGGAGAGGAGACATGCACCTCGGGTGTCTTCACGGACTGCGTCGATCCAAACAGTGGACCACAGACGGAGGTGAACCCATATGTGTTCACTTGCACAGGCAGCAACGTCTGCTATAAAAACGTGTTCGAGGGAGGGAACTCCCAGTTCGGGTGCGGCACAGCAAGCGAGCTGGGAACGGTAGTCTCAGCTGGCGCAGGGGGCGCGGCCGCCCAGGTCTCGCTGACGAGTGAGCGCATCAGCTTCACACAGAGCCCGAGCAGCCTCGCGACACCAACCGAGCTCGGCTCAGCCACCCGAAGCGACTCTTCTGCCGGCTCCTCATCAACGGGGACCGCCACCGACACAACAAGCGGTGCCTCATCAGCAGCGTCCAGCTCATCGCTCACCACCATCAGCATACCCTCCCCAACGAGCAGCAGTGATCCGACCTCATCTGGCTCGTCATCATCATCGTCAGGCAGCACGCCGGCCAACACCGCAGCACCAGCTGCAGATGGCGACGGCGGCGGCGGGGTGAACCGCACGGGGGCGATCGTGGGCGGCACCATCTCGGGCGTCGCCGTGCTCGCGGGGCTCATCGCAGTGGGAATCTACCTCTGGCGGAGACGCGCCGCAGGAAACACGCGCCGCGGGCCCGGGCCAAGGCCAGGCGACACGCAGTACGTCAGCCCCATGTCCGGCGCAGCATTCGCGCCGGTCGGCCGGGGCACGTCGAGCCCGAGCGCTGGCTCGCGGGGGGCGGCGAGCGTGCGCGGCAAGACGATCAGGCACGTCACGGGGGGACCCGACTCGCGCAACACGGTGTTCCAGACGGGCGGCGTGGGCGACTACCAGTACCAGTACCCGGGGCAGAACCCGGCGGCATGGGCCGGGGGCGCCGCGGCAGGGGCAGGGATGGCAGCTGGTGGTGCCGCGGTGTACCACGGGGCGTACGCGACACCGCACGACGGCGGCGGGGAGGACGAGATCCCGCTGCGGTATGGCTCGCCTGAGATTGACGACTTTTCGCGGGGCTTCCACGATGCGCTGAGCCGAATCGGCGAGGAGGACGAGGAGGACCTCGAGTCGCACGTCAACGGCAGCGGCATGCCCGGGACGAGCAACACGGGCAGCGGAAGCGGGGACCTGGGCGAGTCGAGACCGTTGTGGCTCCAATCGCGACGGATGTCCAGAAACCAGATGTGGACATGAAAAAAACGAACAAAAAAAAAAAAGGGGGCGTGGAAGGTGTCATGAGGTGGTAATCATGAGATATACACGTGACACAGGCCATGGGGGTTTTCAACCTCTACGGTATTCTATAGACGATATGAGCGATGTTCTCACGAAACTACGGTACCATACCTATACCTAATATCCAGGATTAATGTATATAGGTTCCAATGAACAAAAATGCACATTCTCAGCCGAAGTGGTTTCTCCCCCAACGCCCCTCGTCTCGGTCCTTGGCATTCATTCCACTACAACGCAACCACGGCTGAAGTGAACCATGATCAACTACCTTTCAATTGAGGCATAGGCGTCCGTCTCTAGCGCGGAGACCGGTGTCTTGACCCAGAGGCGCGCGCAAGGTTCCTTCGTGGCTCTCTCATATTGATGTGCTGGATAGTCGTCAAACAGCACGCTGACATGCTATCACGACCGGGCGCGGAACAAGACATGTCCTATCTATCGCATGCGTGCCGGACGAGCAGGGCACATTATTGCGGGCAGGCGAAGCGGAAACGCGAGCGAGAGCGAGCGGTTGGTTGATCCTGTCGATAGTTGACAGGTTAATAATAATAATAATACCAAGAAAACCAAGCGGGACGGCCGAGCGATGTCCTGACGTCAGAACACCAGACTGGTTACAGCGTTCTCCGCTAGCTGCCCGCCCCCCAAGCTGCCTGGGGTGTAGCGGGGCAACCGTCGAGCAGGCGCCGGGGGCTTGACTCGCTCTCCTGCCCATTAATGCTGCGCATCATGGTGAGCACGGCGGGACAGCCTCGGTACACAGCTTTTTTTTTTTCTAGTGGCCCTGTGGACTTCAGTCGATCGGGGCTTACAAATGGCGGAGGGCAGAACGGTGTTGCCTATCTCCGATTGAAGCTATGCTGGTTGTATAAAAAGCTGGATCCCAAGCAGTTTACGTCGGGCATGTGAAGAAGTCGGTAGACCACCATCATCACAACACACTACTATTTTGAGCAACCTTCAGTTCAACTTCAAGCATCGTGCCACTTGCAACCCCTCCTCTCAAGTAACCCCCACCATGGCTCCCAAGATCCTCGTCGTCCTTACCTCCCACGACCAGTTGGGCAACACTGGTAAACCTACCGGATGGGTATGACATTTTCATCTCCCCCCTCTGAATGGCCATGAAAAGTCCCTGGAACCGAGAACATTCAAGAAACGGCCTTGAACGCGTTGCTGAACTTTTGCTGACGAATATAAATAGTACCTTGTAAGCCCGCCCCCATGGAAATAACCAGGCTGTCTTGTCAAAAAGCCCAGCACCAAACTGACCCTCCCTGCCCTTCAGCCTGAGCTTGCACACCCCTACGATGTCTTCGTGAAGGCCGGCGCCGAGCTGGCCTTTGCGTCCCCCAAGGGCGGCGTCGCACCGCTCGACCCCGTGAGCGTCGAAATGTTCAAGGACGACAGCTCCGTCAACTTCCTCAACAACCACAAGAATCTCTGGGAGACCACCAAGCCCCTCTCTGAGTTCGCCGACGCCGCCGACAAGTTCGATGCCGTCTTCTGTACGTACAAGCCCATTCCAGCTCTACCCTGGCTCCAGCTTCAGGCACAACATGCTAACAAAAGGCCACAGACCCTGGAGGCCACGGCCCAATGTTCGACCTGGCCACCGACGCGGCGTCGCAAAAGCTCATTGCAGACTTCGCCTCCAAGGGCAAGGTGGTTTCGGCCGTGTGCCACGGCCCCGCCGTCTTCGTCAACGTCAAGCTGGCCGACGGCACGCACCTGCTCAAGGACAAGGAGGTCACCGGCTTCAGCAACGTCGAGGAGGGCCAGGTGCAGCTAAGCAGCGCTATGCCCTTCCTGCTCGAGACCGAGCTGGACAAGGCCTCGGGTGGCAAGTATGTCAAGGCCGCCGAGCCCTGGGGCGAGAAGGTCGTCGTCGCTGGCAACGTTATCACCGGCCAGAACCCTGCTTCTGCGCACGCCATCGGTGAGGCTATCGTGAAGGCTCTCAAGGCATAAGGTGATGGTCAGGGCCGGAAAAGCAATATAGTAAAATAATAGGTTGATGACCAAATCCCTGTGAGCGCGGCTCGTCGCACTGCGGTTTCGCAGACGATGATATGTATCATCGTGCATATCCCATTTATCAGTGATCTCGAGGCTGTCTGGCTTCAGTCTACAAGGCCCGCCACGTTCTATTCACATGCAGTGCTACGTGGGTAAACCATATCTCATAAACACCCCAAATTCAAACCTCCCCAGACAGTGCGCCACCATAGATCCAAGAAGGGAAAGAAAAAAAAAAGTAAGAAAAAAAAACACCCAAGCAAGACGCAAGGGTTTTAGAAAAGCTCCCAGAGCGGACGGGGCAGCGCAGTGCGTATCTTCAGGTCGACATCCCGCACGCCAACATAGACACACCTCCGCGCCGGGCTGCCCACGGTGACGGACCTCGAGACAAGCCCGTAGTAATCGGAGATGGAATGCGTAAGCCACCTCTTGAAGGCGCCGCTCGCGTCGTCGTCCTCGGGCGATGAGTCAAACACCATACCGCGGTCGACGGCCGGCCCGTCGCGCACCTCGCGGTGGGCGGTCTTCCAGGAGCCGTCACGCTGGCCCGCCACGGCGGCGCCCGTCTTCTTGCGCCCGACAAATACGACCTCGTCGTCCGACTCGTCCGACTCGTCCTCGGCCACGGGCGCCTCCCCCGCGGCGCGGTGCCTCTCCACGAGGAACTTGCGCACCGGCTCCTCGAGCGCGCGCAGCCAGCCCTTGACGCCGGGGGTGCGCTTGACCGTGTCGCGCAGCTCGCGGGGCACCCTCCCCGCGCCCGCGCCCGCGCCCGCCGTGTTCTTCTTGTTGCTGCGCGCCTCGGCCTGCTGGCTGAGCCCGCGGTCCCAGAACCCCGCGACGTGGTAGGGCACGTGGTGGATCGGGTACACGGGCCGGGGCTCCCAGTCCCTGGGCTCCGGGGGCTCGACGTTGGGCACGTCGGTCAGGCGCTTCATGTCGTAGCGTCGGCGCTGGCGGGAGCCCTCCTTGCCCTTGAGCAGGAGCTCCCTGCGGCGGAGGGAGTCTCGGCGGGACGGGGGCCGGCGCGGCGGGGTGATGCCGTCTGTTGTGGGATGGGTGCCGTCGGCGGTTGCGATGGTCACCCGTGCGGTGGTCGGCTGGGCATTGGCGCCGGGATTGGCGTGCTCGTCGAGGGGGATGCCGAGTGGCCTCCCGGTCGTGCCGGTGGCGGTCGGTGACACGCTCAGGGCCTCGAGGGCCGAGATGGTCCACGCCTCGATGTCGAGTGGGCCAGAGGCCGCGGGCGGCTGCTGCTGTTGCGAGGCATTCTGGGATTGGGCGGTGGAATGCGACTGCAACGCGGGCGGCGGGGGAACGGCGCTGTAGATAGCCATGTGGGTGTGGCAACTTCGGCTTCGGCTTCGAGCTCAGGAAAGGGGGGTAGCAGGCGGAGGATCTCTGTACGGGCTGGCACAAGTGGCACGATCCTGGGACCCGAATCCGGTCTATAGAAGCAAAGGACACACACAGGCAGCCAGTTGCCGTCAGAAGAGAATTAAAGAGAACAATGTGCAAGCAAGTGAAGGCGGAAGGGGCAGCCGGCGACGGTTTTCGGGAGTAGTTCCAGACCAGCTCAATGACACATGCCTACTCATGTTGGATAGTAGCCTACGTAGACTAGTCACTCGGCCAGACCAGATAAGACACGCCGCCGTGACAGGCCAATCGGAGCGATTGCGGGGGCACGCACGCCGCATGCGAACTCCTGTGGTTTGTGTGGGTTATGGGCTATTCAGGGGGCTGAGCTGAAGACTGCCTAGGTACCCTACACTCGACCAGCATTAATTTTGTTAGTTCGGCAGGAGCATCCACTTGCCCTCGCTATTAGGTTGGATTGGATCGCCTGCCTGCCTAACCCTCTGAAATACCCTCTTTTCCTCGGATATTTATGGAGAATAAGTAGCAGGACTTCTCTTTCCACAGAATTTGAGTGCAAGTTGATGTTCTCTACTTCTCCACGTATATCCACTTTATGTCGAGCTAACAATATTAATGCTGGTCGAGTGTAGAGGTGCTAGGGTTTGACCCTTGGGCTGGCTGAACACATAGTCTACATAGGGTAGACCATGTCTTTCACCGTGAACAATTCCATCTCCGTGCTCGATATCTACACTGGTTGTGTCGCAAGAATTAAGAGTCGTCTCTTGACTCCATCGAAATGAGGCAAGGCACCATGCGATTGACTTGGAATTCCTGTTCCCAGGATGATATTAGCCGTGCCCAACAGAAGGAAGAACGCAAGCGGAAGAGCTCACAAAGAGCACCTTTAGACTACATGTACACGAGCATAACGAGCCTCGAGCAAGCATTGTCCGGGATGAATGTCCTGGATCATCACCAAGTATGCGCTCTGTTTTACTGGGTACTGGACATGTATCTAGCACGGCGATTTTGGTAGGTAACCCGTCAATACGTACAGTCCGTTCGAAGGGGACCACCATGATGGAGTGTTCCTCGCTCATCTCGGTGAGCAAAGCGGGTGACCCTGCTTGGATGCCACATAATGGGACATGTGATGGGTAGTAGCATGCCCACGTCTTACCCAGTCTGGTTGGCAAACCTGAAAAATGTACTTCATTATGCTCTATGCCCGAGCTGGCCGTTTGCGTAGCCGTCCGATGCATCCTCCCCTCCCCCATCTGCCGCGCCTATGTGACCAATCAACTTACATGAATCAATCCTTGCATTTCTTTTCGAGGAATCGCGTATGGACCACACATGAGCTGCCTACGGGTTCAGGACACGGCAGCTTCTACCATGGCGGTTTTCCAACTATTAAGCAGTAGGGTTGATGTCTGAATGTGAATGTATTATCTAATGCATCAAGGGACAAACTACTCACTCAAAAACCCACATTCCAGCATCATAGACACGAAAAAGGAACATAGTGTATGATACTGGAGCTCTCTATGCTGGCGGAGTCCCTTGAGGCGGATAACGCGATGCTGACCTCAGGACTCCATGTAGTAGTCTAAGTGTCATGTGAATTTATGTAGGGATATTATGCCAGCCACTGCTTCCCTCGCGATGGAAGGTGACACCGTTCTCACCACTCCTGAACAGAAATTAATTCATCAAGCCTTGTTGAATCCTTCACAAAAGTCTCCCTACCGAATTATCTACTGTGACAAGCCGCGAATATGTCCTGTTGCTGAGAGGCCAGGGCTCTCAGGCGTTTCCATCCTGAGAGCCTAACCAGTGCCATGCACAACCGGTGATGATGCAAGGCATGCAAACCAGCATCTCTGTTCTTGATTTCAGTTTCTTGTCCAGCTCCACAACGAGGCGTCATGTGGCTTGGTAGATGCGCTTGCTCGACTGGTGCGTGGGCTTCGAACCACGTTGCTGGGACAGTATGGCTTGCTCGGCAGGTCCTTGAATAATCTAACACGCTGTGTGTAAGATTCGTTGAATGTGAGGAGAACATTGACGCAGAGTCCTTCGACAGCACCCTAAGATCAGCCACTTCCGATGCCTCCAGGTTTGAGCAATGGCTGCCTCTCAGCCGCGGCCTCGCTCTCTTGACGATCAATGATGTCGCCCAGCTGGTCGTTGGAGGTGGCGTACTGCTCTGGGTGTCCCGAGTACGTGGTCGCCGTATTCTCGTCCAAGCCGTTAGCATATACGCGAGAATGAGAGCGACGGAAGCCGGGCCTCGCAGTCTCGTCACCCGATCCTTCGGAGAAGATGTAGTACAATGCCATGCAGAGCAAGATTCCTTGCATGATGGCTGTCAACAGGAATATGCCCCACGTGCTCCAACCAGCCCAGCCCAGCCTCGCTGCCAAACTCGCAGCGAAGAGGAGGCCGCCAGGGGTCTGGATGCACATCATGGGAATGCTCAAGCTTCCGACATGCTTTAGGTGATATGTCATGGTGATCTGTGGGATGTACTGAATAGCAGCGAGGCCCGCGGCCAGGACCCCATTGAACACAGCCCAGCTCTTGAGATGCGTAGGCAGAGCGAGGGCGAAGATGGCAGTCAGGACTATGGTGATCAGCATGTGGACGAGGACGACAGTAGCGACCATGACCGCAGTCTGCCAGTTGGGCTCCTCCTCGGCATCTTCAAGCTCTTCCTGGGGGACGCTGGCATCTGCGAAGCGGAAGAAGACAAGGAAAAGCACGAATCTGTTTCTAGAGTCAACGCTAAGCGGAGGGGCCAGGATGGACGGGGTTACTGACATGAAGGCGAAGCAGAGCCACTGCACGCCGAGTTGCACGATACCCAAGACGCCGGCTACACACTGGAAGGTCTCGAGCTCTTTGCAGCATCCGGCATCCTGAATGCTCTGGGGCAGTGTGAGGATGTTGGCGAATCCCGCAGTTGCCGAGGTTGTACCAAGCAGGACAAAATAGGGTGAGATGCCCTCAGAGGTGCCTCGGGAGATGATGCGATAATGCTGGGGAAGGTATGAGATCAGGAGGCCGACGACGATAATGCTAGTTCAAGTCAACAGCTGCGACTGGTTGGGGATCAGGAGTCACAGGTTCATGTTGGTAGGAGGTTTGATGGGTGGTTGTGGTGCACGTACATGGAGACCACAAGGTTCACAAAGCCCGGGTCACGGAGACCTTGACACTGATCCTCGGTGGACTCCATAGCGATGCAGGCTTCGGTTGCACCGCGCAAGTATCGATCCCGGGGTGCGGCCGACGCGTAACGACCGGGCAAAGGGAGGGTTGTACTGGGCTATTGTCGCGGGAGCGTGCAGTGAATGGACGGTTGCTGAGGGTTACAGGACGGCACGGTCGAGGGGCCCCAAGGGCGGGGTCCTGTATATGTACGTATTTTGTTTGTCGCAGAGACAGGACAAGGAACGAGAGGCAAGAGTTTCCCGGTGATGTCAGAAGGCGGAATCAGGATGCACGGCCGTTGAGGGCGCTGACGAGGAGCATGGGAGAATGCGAGACACGGAGCGTCGACGCGTGCGAGAGCGCAGGAGAAGACGCAGGGGGTAGGCAGTCGTGCCCGACGATGATGGGATCGTGGCTCTCCCAATATACTGCCCCCGTGGACAGGCAACAAGCTGTTTCGGACCACACCGCACCGTGACGTGGACAGAGCAAGGCGTGCAGAGGGACAAAGAGCCGGTACAATAGTACTTGCAGGGTTCCAAGGTTCGTGATTAAGGACGGGACGGACACGATACGGCGATGATGAACGAAGGCAGATGCGCATGAGGCGTAATGACTGAGGTGGGCAGCTGCAGCAGGGAAGCAGGAGGCAGGGAGGCATGGGGCCAGGCTAGCGTGGGTCTGACCAGGGGCGAGCTTCTAGCGGCAGGGAGCGGAGTGTGACCCTGCAGCCCAGCTCTAATGCCGATTGGCTGCTCGGTGGCTGTGGGACCCACCAAGCTCACAGGAGTGATGGGCGGCAGGGCCCATCCACCCATCCTATCGAAGCTTGACACTGCGCGGTGCGACTCATTGTTGAAGCTCAGATGACGGCTCACATCCAGCTTCACCTCATCACTGCTCACGGCATTTCATGCCCAATCACCAAATTAACCGCTGGGCGGACCATGGAAAGTATCATATGACCAAGAGCTGCAGCAGGGTGCCGTGTGCCGGTACTAGAGCGTCCAGAAAGAAAACGGTCTTGCAAAATGCCAGGCGTAGCACCAGAGATCAAGCTGGTGGCCTCCAACACGCATGGTCACGGGCTTGATACCTTTAGCAGAGCACTCTCAACACGCTTAGCTGCCTCGGCACCCCCCGCGTCGGGTGGGCCAAACCCAGTCAGCCCAAGCCCACGTAGGTCCAGTAACAGCGACTCCAGCTCAAGTGAAGACGAGCCAGCTGAGGCTGTCCATGCGGATGCTTTCCCGAGGGCCCCTTCAATCTACAAGGGTGCGCAGTGGTGAGTCTTCTTCGAAGAGAGGAATAGTACTGGGGAAGATTTGTCTATTCATTGCAATCCAAGAGCTGAACAAGTTTCCTCAGGACTGCTGATGGAACAACCATCATCGCATCCGCATATCACAACCAACTCTGCAGCTTCGTCATCCCCTCAGACTTGCTCGAGCCCCGGGAACACCCTCTCAGCCTTCGCCCTCAGAAGACTCTTGATCTCCCAGAGACGACAAATGTCTTCGCGCCGGCCCCTTATTTCGCCCTAGAAAGCCCCGACACTCACCACGTGCTCGTCGCCTGCCGTGATCACCCAATTCAGATATTCCGGACTCTTCCAGCTACACTAAACCCAGGTGACGAGCCCCAAGAATCGCACCACCAACCGCATGAGAACAGCTCCCTCTTCTCGTACCGCCTGATATCGCCCCAGACAGAAGCCTACCTCCCGGTGCACTCACTGGTCTGGCCGTCCCCCTATGCTGCACCCAGCTCATCATTCTTCGTCGGAAGTAACAACCTCATCGCACAGTTCAATCTCCATCGGATAGGTCAGGGCCCCCAGCAGGTGGTCCACACCATCCCATCCAAGCGGCACATATCTAAAGGCAATGGCGTCGGCATGCGTGGGACGGTTTCTGCACTGTCCATGCAGAACGACGAGAACTACGTGCCCACTGGACTGCTCGCAGCCGGCACCTGGACACGATGGGTAGGACTGTACGACTTTGCCCGAGGGGGCGAGCGCGTCGCAACGTGGAGCGTCGCCGATGCGGCTGCATCCGCGGCTGTCCCAGATCCCTCGCCAGACTCGCCGCAGCAGCCTTGCGTTCCAATCCAGCGCCTGACATCCGGAGGCAAGAGGCGGCCAATCGCAGGCATAGGCGGTGCCGGCATCAATCAGACGGCATGGTCACCTGACGGGCGGTACCTCCTCGTGAATGAGCGGCAGTCGACCGGTGTCCTGATTTACGATGTGCGCGTGACGAGCAAGGTCCTCGGCGTCCTGGCCGATCGCGACGCCCTGACCCATCAACGGCTGGATCTTACCGTGTACCCAGACTCGGAGGGCGTGGGCGGCTTTGAGGTCTGGGCCGGCACGAGAGACGGAACGGTCAAGGTGTGGCAGGGCGTCGGCAACGATGAAGGCTGCATCTGGCCGTCCTGGGACTTCTCGACCAGGGGTAGATCCGATGCCGAAGAAAAGCCTGTACGGTCTCCGGTAGGCAGTGTTTCTCTTCACAAGTATGGGTCCGTCATTGCAACCTGTACCGGGGGCTGGAGGGTTACTGGCGAGGATGATGACGGCGACGAAGTCTCCTCCTCTGCCCACTCCTCGTCCTCATCGTCAAGCAGCGGTTCTGCTTCCGATGACGAATCGGGTAGCTCGTCTTCATCTAGTTCTCCGTCCGAGCTAAATCGGCATGCTGGGGGACTTTCTGGTAACCGGACATTTGACAAGTCGGATCTGAAGATCTGGAGCATTCGCGTCAAACCGCCTGATGGGGCCAGCCCTGAGGCAATGGCCACCTCGGACACGGAGACCACTCAAGCAGATGTCCACCTGGACATGTCTCACCGTGATGTCCCACAGATGGACCCCTCTTCTGTGGATACTATCCCAACGACAGTTAAGAATTCTGAAAATAGAGCAACTCACACAGGTGATTAGAGCTCTTCAGCCTGATGCCTTGCAAACGATTCTCGTCATGGTAAATTAGGTTCCAACTGTTCTTGACCACTGTATGTAAAGATTGCAGCGGTAGAGGAGCCTTGTATTCAGAGCAAATAGATAAGCTCCTAAGGGGCCATTCGGGCTACCTGGGAAGTACGAGATTATATGCAATTCGAAATGCCTCCCCTTCATGGCCAGCACTCCTCCGTTGATGGTCGAAGTCAAGCTTTGTTCCAAATCTCATCTACAACCTCGCTAACGCGCTCCAGGACCCGTGGCCCAACCAACGGTCCAAACCGGCGCATCCTCTCGTTCCGAGTCATTGTGACGAATGCGGCCAGCCCATGGTGTCCTCGCTTCGTGTCTGTCTCAGTCTTGGGCACTTTCAGCTGCCCAGCCACCGTCTGTGCCGCGTAGACATTGAATCCCGCCCTTCGTAGCCAGAGCTCCCAAAGAGTTTCGGCTTCGATGAGAGCGTTCTGTATATTTGGGTCGGATTGGCCATGTCGGCATACAAGAGATGCAACCCATCTTGACAGTGTATCGTCACCGCCACCGATATAGCACACCAGAATATTGCACTGGAGCCCGCTCGCAAACCCCTGGAAATCAGTGAGTGCTGCCGCATCTGAGGACCCCATCTCCCGGAGAGTATCGTCAGGGCCACCCCCGCCTCCCACCAGGATGATCAATCTGTCGTACCGAAGAGCAATCTTTTCGATTCTCTCTTGCAGACCGTTCCTGGCCGATTGTGGACGTGGTTTCTGGCGAACCATTATCATGGATGTGATAGCAACTCCAGTCGATGGGGAGAGAGTAAGGTCCGCATCAAAGGCGAGAGGTGGAACTACCTCAGTACGGGAAACGGAATCTGGGCTCCAGACCGAAGTGTTGTGTTTATTGTAGTCGCGTTCCATCAAGGAGAGGCCGGGAAGGAGGCCCTCAAGGGCTCGTATCAGGTGTCTGGGGGCACGAAGAGAGATGAAGATTGTCAACGGAGTGGACATGGGCTTGAAATGTGGATAAGGCGCCCGAGTAGTCGACTTTGAGTGTTGTACAGACTCCGCTTTCTCTGCAATATCGGGCTCACCCGACTCGCGAGGCTTCTCAGATGGTTTTGGGGGAGGTGGGAGCACGTCTGTTGCATCTTTCACTGAAGGAAAGTACTTGCTGACGGACCACTTCTTTTTCGGTGCATGAAGCTCCATGAAGTTGCTCAAGAGTTTTGCAGACGCCCCCGGTGACCCTCCCAGAAGCAAAGATTGGCCGTTTTTACCGGCATAATTCGCAGACGAGCGCGGCTTTTTCGAGCTTGTGTTGTCCGCTGCATCGATTGCTCTCTTTTTTCTAATTTCAAGGGCAGCACAGGTGCGCTGCTTCGGTTTCTCCATTTGGGTCTCGATCTCATCATCCTCGCTGTTGTGTTCAAGTATCGCCAGTCTCTCTCGTTTCTGGACGAAGTCAAGGCTGTTGGGGACCTCGCCACTCTCGAGACGTTCGACGAATGTTTCGATCAGAGCGTCGGCCGCGTTGATTGTCTCCTTCGTCGAGACGGTGCTTGCACCAGAACCGATTGGCCTCCATACCAGCCTGCTCTCGGTGACGCTGTCTCGGGGCCATTTTGGGAGTCTAAAGAGTCCATCGTTGCCGCACTGTATCCACTTGAAAATAGCTTCTCCGTTGTTGACTAACCGTGCCCATTCTGGTTCAGGAATGGAAAAGTCCATGATAGGTACCGGAACGCGAGCTGTTGCATCAGCTGCCTGGAGCTGCTCCTGTTCGATGTTCCTCATTGTCGAGTCTGCCACACTCGCCAACTCATCTCCAAACTTATCATCCGAGAAATTATCAACAAATTTGGTAGTCAAATTTTCAATATCCATCTCGTCGGCCACAAAGTTTCCAAACACTTCTGATCCGGGCAGGAACTGCTCTTCGGGCGACACATTAGGTAGTATCGGTAGGTCCAGTTTGTGATCATCGAGATGTCTTTTCGTCAGTCGCTGCTGAGAAGTGTCTGCTAGAAGTTCCATCTCATCTTTCTCTGAAAGCTCTGTATCCAGGAACCTGTCAAGGATCGGAGACGTGGGCTCGCTCCACACGTCTCCGTAGTCTTCGAATAGTTTTTCTTCAGCGGCCTTCAGATCATCGGCGAATATCGACGAGCTTGGATCAGAAGAAATTGGTATCAGGTAAGCGTCATCTGAAGGAAAGAATTGGTTCTGTTTGAGCTGCGGGCTGATGGGCATTTCCAGCTTTTCCAATCCCGGGTTCTGTTGTGCCACCTGTCAGTCCAGCACGCAATAATGTCTTGATCGTTTGTGACGCTCCCTTTAGGAAGGAGGACGTCGTGTCAGGAGAGGGCATTTTGAAAGTCCTGTGCATGATTGCTCACCTTCACCCACTTGGTCTCCTTGGCCTGTTCCATGAGAAAACCCCACTGCTCCTCCTCGGTGTATCCGTCTTTGACCACGTCGGCGAGGAATTGCAGGGAGCTCCTCGTCACTCCAAGTTTCTCTCCTTCAAGCTTTCTCAAAAGGCCGTTGGCGTCTGCACGAGCAGATACAGGAAGCTGCATGCCCTCGCCGTCTTCCACGGTCACAGGATCGAGCGGGAGTCGATGGTCTCTGATATTGACGTCTTGCCGGGATGCCATTTGCTTGCGGAACTCTCTCATATCCCGCTCGTTATCTGTTCGAAGAATTGGTAATTCCAGCTTCAAGTTCTTGGTGTTTCCAGAGTCAATGACATCTCGTGTGAGCGACTTGACTTCGTCGTCTGTGAGCTCGCGACGGGTGTCGTGTAGGAGCTTCAGTGCCGAGTGGGCAATGGTCAATACTTCGCTTCGTAGCTGGGGTACTGGGAGCTCCAGATCTGGAAGATGACTGCAGTCGGTGAATCCGTCCTCGGTGGTCGTCGGCAACGTGTTTTGGACAGGCTTGCTGAGTAGATGGGCAATGGAGAATGAATTGAGGGTGTAGTCCACTGTCAAATCATGCTCATAGGCATATTGTAAGGCCTCATTTGGGGCATAGACAGCCTCTCCTGCATACGGATATGGCTGACCTGGTGGGACGCAGGCTTGGGAGCCGTCCTCGCCATCCATAATCGACGCTGGTGACCCGGATGCCTTTGTGCAAAAGACTGCGCATCAACGGGAAGAGCTAAGTAGAAATACTGGTGAGGTGTCAAAAGATTTCAGAGTGACTGGGATCCGTGGCAGGGCAGCATTTGGTCGCGGTGTGTCTGAAGATGTAATTCAGATCACGGAGGTGCAAAATGCCTACCTAGGTACTCTGGAGAGGGGAGGCGCGTCACATCACCGCGCTTGCCCTCCGCGCGCCTACCTCCTTCTGGAACTGTCAGGCACCTCAGGTGGCTATGAATTTTGACTGAAGCTGAAAGAGCTCAGAATTTGCATGAATGCAGACAAAAGCCAAAAGAAAAAGTCGGCAGGATGGCTCTGCCTCCTGTCTAACACCACGCATACTTCTCGTTGGCAACCCAGTCCACCGCCTCCGTCGGCTCGTCGCCATACCACATCAGACTCGCGATGCTGTCCTTCTCCCTGTCGACAAGCTCATGCTCGAGGCCGCTCCCCTCCGCCGCCCTCTTCAAGAGCTCCGAGGGGTTCCACATCTGGACGTCGAAGGACCGCCACTCCGCAGCCTCAGCCTGAGCAATCTGGATGATGGCCCTGAAGCCCTCGGCCACGTAGTCTTCCGGGCTCGCCTCGTCCTCCACCACGAACCTGAGGATGTGGAACGTGTTGCCCTCGATCTTGTCCAGGCCGCCGTAGTAGCCCCTCGTCCACACCGCCCAGATCCTCCTGCCCGGCTCGCCGAACAGGGCGCCCCTGACCGCGGGCGTCTTGTGGAAGATGTGCTTCGTCATGAAGTCCTCGCGCATCAGGTGCCAGAGGAACTGGTCGAGCTCCGGCACGAGTGCTGCGCACACCTTCTTGTCGCTCGACGGGAGGCCACTCGCCTGATGCCGTATCTTGCCCCGGAGGAGTTTCTCGTCCAGGTGGCACAGTACGGCGAGGTCGTGGTAGCCCAACGGTCTCGCCTTGGACGCCGGCGACGCCCCAGCCGCCGCCGCAACCGGCTTGAAACAAAGGTGGGTGCTCTCGAATGCTGCCCATCCGGTTTTGGCGTAGAAGGTCTTGCCGATGTCAGAGTACAGCACCGAGAATAGCGAGCGCGTGGTTCCGTTCTCCTGGTTCTGGGCCTCCTTGGGGCCCTTCCTCCCTTCGGACCACTCCGCCAGCTTCGGTCCCAGCTCCTTCATCATCCGCGACGCGTAGCCCTTGCCGCGGTACTGTGGGTTGGTGAAGACCGAGGCGATCCCGTGTGCGATGCCATCCTGCACGACCGGGCCATCGGGACCGAGCCGGCTGGCGAGGGCCCTCTTGCGTAGCGACTCGCAGCTCGCGTAGATCGGTCTGTTGTCTGGGGGAGCGTTCCTGTCTGTCAGGATCCAGTGCGTAACTCCTCCATTCTTAGCAAGAGGCACCGTCATCAGGAACTCCTCTCGTGCGAGATAGTCCTCGGTTTTCAGCGCAGGCCCCCACATGGGATGGTGGAGGCCCCAGACATGTTGTAGCTCAGCCCTGGTTGACTCCGTGAGCACCAGATCCGGATGCTCTGCAGAGGGCAGTCCATCAGCGGAGGATCCCATGTCTGCGCAATTCTGTTGGGATGCGACGAGAAGTAAACGACAGTTTTATCCTCTTCTCGTTTCTTTCTCTCTCTCTTCTTTCCCAAGAGGACGGCAACAACTGTCTTAGTTTCGTCTTGTGAACGAGCTAGAAGTATAGTATGTCTGGCTTTGGGCCCGGGTACCACAAGTTCCTAGACCGAGCCGAGTCATTCGGTCTGACAGAGATGCTAGGTAGAACTAAATGCGGGTAGCCCTTCGACTCGACGAAGCGACGTTGGGCGGGGGGTGGAGGGACTATTTGTGCGTTGGATACTGCCGTTTCTATCCTGGGACTACGGAACAAAGGCCAGGCCACGGGATGCAATGGTAGGGGTTCGATTACTAGAGTTAGGAAGCCCAAGGAGCGTTCCGGACTCTGATGTGAGATCTCAGTCCGGCGTGGAGCCCCCTGCATTTGGCAGAGTCCACATTCCTCCACCCCATACCAGGTCGGTCTGGAGTACCCGAATTCAAGCTTCCCTGTTCGTGTTTCCCCAGATTCGTAGGCCGGAAAAGGTCACGCAGGTGGACGACTCAGGCAAGACGCAGGAACAGCTGGAGGTGCAAGACTTGATCATGCGCGTCCTCCTCCAGGCAGTTTCGAAACGTAAACTTACGTCAAAATTAGCATCTCGAGCCTCCATGAACTTGGCGGCTGGTCGCTGCTGCCGTTGCACCAGACGAGGAAGGCAACCCCGGGGCGTAGCTAGTAGCTCGCGCCGGGTCAGACGCCAAAGGAACGACGCCGCATGCCTAAGCCGCTGGTTTCCGGCCTGGGGTCGTGGAGACACGGGCGGGCTGGCGGCAACAACAAGCTCACTATCAGCGCGGTGCAGGGTTCTCGACGATCTCGAGTCCATTCCTGCGTCAGATGGTTGCGGGGAGTCCGTATGGGATTGGACGGACGAACACGACCGCACATTCAGGTGGATCCAGGAGGTAGGGAGTAGTCTACCGGCACCGCACTGCATGAACCTTAGATAACATCACCGAGCTCGGCTCTATCATTGTACACGTCCTGGTAGGATTCATCACCGTATTGCGCCAGCTACTGTACTCGTCTTGTTCTATTACCCCGAACGCCAGCAGTCCAGCCGAGTGCCTCCCTTTAGTGACCGTGCCCGTCGTCCTCCTCGCCCCTCTGCTCCGGATCCAACTTGATCAGGGTATCGATACGCATAATGCTGATGCAGGCCTCCACCGCACTCTTGAGCTGTCGAATCTTGCTCATACTGGGCTCCAGGACACCGGCCTTGATCTCGTCCACCACCTTGCCCTTCGATAGATCAAGGCCGTAGTTCTTGTAGCTCTTCTTCCGTGCGACCGTCTTCTCGTCCTCGTTGGCGTCGCCGTCCGCAGTACGTTGCGACAGTGCGTGTCTCGACCGCAGCTGGGCGACCAACTCTGAAGCATCCTTGGCGGCGTTGACGGCGAGCGTCTTGGGAATGACCAGGAGAGACTGGGCGAACTCTCCGATGGCCAGCTGCTCCCGGGATCCCACTGTTCCAGCAAACTCCTCGAGATAGATGTGAAGAGCAGTCTCAACCGCACCACCACCTGGCACGATACTGCCGCTTTCCAGCGTGCGCTTTACCGCCATCAGGGAGTCGTGGACTGAACGCTCCATCTCATCCAGTTGAAAGTCGTTCGAACCGCGAAGGATAATCGATGCGGATGAGTGAGCCTTGGTGCCCTTGACCAGGATGCATTCGTCGTCAGAAATGCGCTCCTGCGAGACTTCCTCCGCATGGCCGAGGTAGGATGGTTCGAACTTCTCGTCGCCATTCAGGTCAGACAGGGTGCTCAGCATTGTGGCACCGGTGGCCCTCGCTATCCGTCGCAGGTCCTCCTTTTTGCATCTCCGAACAGCCATGGCGCCCTTCTCAATGAACATCTTCAGGCAGAGGTCATCGATGCCCTTGGTGGTCAGAATAACGTTTGCGCCAGCCTTCAGGATCAACTCCACCCGCTCGAGGATCATCCCAGACTCCCTCGCCCGGATCTGCTCAAGCTGTTGAGGGTCGTCCACAGTAATCTGCACACCCAGCTTCATGCGCTCCTTTTGGAGGTTCATGTCCAACACAGCGATTTTAGCATCCCTTACATTAGTCGTCATCGCCTGCGAGGCAACGGTGCAGTTCAAGGCGTAGCCCTTGACCAGTACAGACTCCAAAGCGCCCTTTCCGTGTGCCTTAAGTATGTTCACTGCCTTGACAGGGTACTTTGTCTCGTTCCTGTTGTTTGTTGTCTTCACCGCCTGCATAGCGTCGACGACCATGTTGCTGAAGAATTCGGAATCGGCGCCGATGACCTTGGAGGACATGGAGGTCTTCGCAATGTTCAGGAGTGACTCGCGTCCGAGGTTCTCGACTTTGACGCTGATGTTCTCGTTCATGTACTTGACAGCCTCGCGCAAGGCCAGACGGTAGCCCGTGATAATCGTCGTAGGGTGTATCCGGTTCCTCATCAGCTCGTTTGCCCTGCGCAGAAGCTCCGCCGCGATGAGGACCACTGAGGTTGTGCCATCGCCGACCTCCGAGTCCTGCTGTTGTGCGAGGTCCACCAGGATCTTGCCGGCAGGGTGCTCAACGTCAAGAAGGCTGAGGATAGTAGCGCCGTCGTTGGTGACCGTCACGTCGCCGATGTCGTCGACCATCATCTTGTCGAGGCCGCTGGGGCCGAAGGAGCTCTTGACGACATTTGCGATAGCTTGTGTAGCCAGAACTGGTGTTGACAGGGTCAGCTACGTTGTCCCACCCCGTCCACCGCGTGGACATCATCATGCTTCGCAGGTGGGAGACTTGCCGTTCTGGTCACGAATGTCAGACCCTGAGATCTTTTGACCGCCCAGGAAGAGGGTGCCGTTCCCGCTCTGCTCGAACATGGAAGCCATCCTGACCGAGTGTAGATAATCAAGCGGAACGCGTCCCAAGAAAGGTGTGCAGTGTGGGTGGTGAGGACGTTGAAAGCTGGCACCGACTGTCGCGTTCGCTACACGTCAATAAGGTTGACCCTGAAGCTTCCACACGACACAGCCAGCAGCCCAGCAACTTTTCCAACGGCTTGTCAGGTTCTTCCAGATCCGCCACGCAGCCAACGACTTCATTGGCCCCGCTGGGGCAGGGGGGACCCAGTGCTCCACCTTAGCTGCTGGCTGCCCCTCAATCAAGTACCTAAAGGCCCAGCTCCGATACGCCCCTGAATGGAAGGGCCTATGAAATCAACTGCCACTGGGGCCGGCCAGTCACATTTGACTCGAATCCATCAAGCCTGCTGGGACACTTCACGCAGCTCCAGTAAAAACTTCGAGTCTTCAACTTACCAGATGTTTTAGTGCAATTTGGCAACGCTATTCACAAGCTAACAGTACACTCAAAGGAAGTCAAGCAAGCAGAGTGCTCACTTGCATACACCATATGCCTTCAAACGGTCCTCATGGCTCAAACAAATAGACGACCAAAGTATCACTGCCTCTCCAGGTTCAGCTCGAAGGGACTCCAGAAGTCTGTCCTATACTCGGGGCTGCAGAGAAATCGGCAAGCAAGACATACTATCTAGTTATCCATATGCTGCAATTATTCTATTGAATCTTACCTCACAGATGCTTGTCCCACCGGTACCTACACCTCAGCCAGTTTATACCTGTGTGATCGGAATCCCCGCGAGTTGCATGTTCACTCCTTCAAGCCTTGGTCTCATCCTTATGAGCAGCCTCGTGGACTTCCGTGACACCAACAGGCCCCAGCTCGAGCTGCTTGTCGACATTGTGCTGCACCTTGTCCTGCACCTCCTTACCCTCGAACATAAAGGAAAGCTCCTCCAGAGTACGGTTGTGTGTTTCCGGGAACAAGAAATAGACGGTGGCGATCTCGACGAGGATCCACACGCAGTACACGATATAGTATTTCCACCCAATACGATCGAGAGCGATCGGGTTGACGTAAGTGTTGAAAAAGACGGCAAAGCGAACAGTCAGTTGTTCTAGAGCAATTCCCTTTGACCGCTGTGCATAGGGGAAGATCTCCACTAGGTAAGTGTAGGCGAGTGCGTTCCAACCAATGTTATAGAACCTGAACAGGATCAGTTTCTGAGTGTGAACATTTGATATCGAACACCACGTTAACTTACGGCGAGTAAACAAAGATAAAGACCAGCACAGGAATGGCAGCAGCCGCAGTCCCATCTATGGCGAAGCGGGCAGAAGCAATAGTCCACACGGTGTCTGTGATATGTTAGCAAGATGTATAACCAGATAGGGTTGATTCAAGGCTTGTACGTACAGACACAGGCGGTGCCAATCGTGCAGGTCAGGAACATGACCCGCCGAGGGTACCGGGGCGCAATCAGCGCAATCGGAACCGCGTTGATGAAGCCCCAGCAGGTATTGCTCAAGATAAACTTCTGGACCGTGTGATTATCCGTGATTCCGACCAGGTTGAGGATCTTCTTCATGTAGAAGGAAAGAAGACCGTTCCCACTCCACTGAGTGAAGAATCCCATAATGCCAGCGAGCAGGAATCGGCGCCTCATGGGGGCATCGCGGAACACGTCGGCCCAGACAAACGCCTCTGCCGTATGTTAGCTCTATTTCTCCAGCTGAGCCTCGCCTTGCCTGGCAAAAGTATCGCATATCCACCCAGGAAATGGACATAAAATCCTCGCGGGGCTAGGCTTATACGTACTGGCAGTGGCTTTCTCCTATTAGATCTCTTTGTCAGCTAAGTTTCTTTCTTGAGTGTTTTGGCAGTTCTCTTGGGAGGGGTGTTTTATGAGTTAAGACATAGGTCCTCCTAAGACATCTCTTAAAACACCTCTAGAGACACCTCCCAATACATTTGAGAATGGGAATTTGGGTGGGAATATAGCTGACCTGTGCGATGGTGCTTTGGATCTGTGCATACTCCAAACGAACGAACTCCTCCCCATCGTGGCCTTCGCAGTGGTATTTTTGAAGGATGGCGAACGCCTCATCACCACGGTCCTTGGAAATGAGCCAACGTGGACTCTCGGGGCACCAAGCCATGAACGAAAGCTGGCACGCGCTGGGCACGAACTGGAGGAGCGACGGCAGCCTCCACGCCCACGTGCTCTTCATCTGGAAGGTTCCATATGTGACCCCAGCAGCGATGATGGCACCCACGAACCAGCTGGCGTTGAACAGGGAGGTCATTATGGGGCGTTCTTTGGCGTAGGCGAGCTCGCCAATGAGGGCAGACGCGTTGACGATGGCGAAAGGTATCCCGAAACCGAGCACCCAGCGAGAAGCGAGGAACATGTCGACGTTCACGGCTCCGGCTTGCATGCCGGCGCCAAGAGTCATTACAAGCGAGGCCGCGACGATGGTCCACCGTCGTCCGAGAAACTGCGAGACGGTAGGGATGAAGGGAATAGACATGAGCGCACCAAGGGAGTACATCGCATTGAGTAAGCCAAGACGATCTCCAGACGGATTGCCAAAGTCTTGAAAATGAAGCCATTAGCTGGGGTCGTAGCTTGATAGGGTTGGAGACTTTAGTGAACTTACAATCTACCCATGACTGAACTGCCTGGAGAGAGTTCATCATCGAGGAATCGAAACCGGACGTCCACTCAACACCCAAGCATGTTGGCACCAAAATCAGGTACAAGAATCGCAGGTTCTTCTTCTTGTACCATTCTATGGGATCAGCACGAGCGATGTTGCTGAGCCTCGGGTCGGCTGCATGCTCTTTCGTGGTTCCAAATGCCATGTCGTCTGATGGGCTGAGCGCTCGCGTCGCTCATGTACGTGGTCAAGAAGTAACTACGAAAAGACGAAGCAGGCAAAGTTGAAGACATAGGTAGGAGCCCACGAGGCTTTTGTGTATTGAGGTCAGCAGAGATCGGCCGGCCGAATACCCCCCGCGGAGGAGGAATGACGGGTGATCGCGTCTTTATGAGAATATTTCGTGATTGGTTACCGGCTAAATATCTCGACCAGGGAGTACATTTCCCAGGTCCTTTTGGTCTTGGTCTTCTTGGCGAGTGAGAACGAAAACACCTGAGGTTTCCCCGCGCAACACCTGTTCGACGGGTAACTGACGGCCGAGGTCGCTGTCAGACCACCCGGGCCAAATGCAAGCGAGGACATGGTCTACTGCGTCCAGGGACCACAGCTGGTGGAATTGGTTTGCAGGGTCGTAAAAGGAACTAAAAATCCTCAAGGGGACCTCAAGCATTCTGTAATGTCCCGTCGGAAGATCAATGTGGTGTAGTGTAAGCCGTGAGCGTATAAAATGGGAGGAGGTGGAGATGCCAAGCCGTCTAGAATCCGGGGTAGTGACACGGAGAATCTGGGGAAGGCTTGGGCCACTGATCCTTCCCATACGGCAGTGACTCGGCACTTTTGGGGTGTCTTGAAGGATGGTTAGTAATTGCACTCACTTAAAGAGCAATGTAGTTTGGCAGTGACTCAGTCCAAGTTTCACAGCTAGCCTAGGAAGACATGACATAGATTTCCATGAACGCGTTGACATCTCAGGGTCCTGAGAGACAGGCTGGCTGGTCAATGTCCAAACTCTATATTTCTGCCGAGTTGTATCCAGAGAGATGCTACGTGCCCGTCATAGTGGGTAGGTCAAATGAAGTGCATAAGGGGAAAAGGATTACATACCTTGGCAGCTACACCAACAGCAACGCCCTACACCAGTGAATAACGACATGTAGGCAAATGCTGAGATACACTGAATTCCTGAGCCTTGGAGTTTGAAAACTGGGCTCCCACTTACAGCAGCATCTCCGTGATTCCATCCATTCTCACAGCTACGTAATGGTGAGGGTCAATGGTGAAAATTCGACGGCGGCAGGAGACCAATCTAGAACTGAAATTTGGGATAGTCCGAACACTTCCAGGCCTACCAGGTTTGGAAAATTAAAATAACAGTTGGAGAAGCTTCTGGTCACACAGCATCTTAGGAAATTATAGTTCGGCAGACAGCCGTTTACTTCAGCCAAGCCCTGGTAAGAGCAGGATGTCAAATGGGGGAGTGTCACCGTCAGAGCCCCTGCACATGATATAGACGAGGTAGCGATATTTCAGATCAAGTTCAGCACATAAGATGCAAATGTAGTAGTCACACCTCTCTTAAACTATGACTAGCTGGAGCTTCGCCTCCAGTCACAGTCAATGCAGGAGTATATAAAGGCCACACCATACCGGCCTGCCCTCTTTTCTCGCCTTTTTTGCTTCAGAGCAGCCACGATTCTCCACAGACCTCTACGGCATACATGCAGATTAGCGGTGGGGCCATTCACAGTCCTGTTTTCAAGATGAATCAACAAGATTTGAAGAACGTCCCCTTCACCGAAGACCCTACTCAAAAAGAGCTGACGGCATACGCGACTTTCACGGAGTCGTCCTATACTTCCAAATTTTGCGATCACTTCAGAAAAAATGAATCGGTCTACGTGGTGGAGGATGAGACTTCGAAAGACAAGGAAGTTCAAAGGGCCAACAAGATTCATGTGGTAGAAGAAGACGCCGAGGAAGGTGAAGGCCCGATTGAGCGAAAGGACTTGTACACCGTTTGCCACAGCGTCCTTGGAAAAGACGGCCAGAATCTGAGGGGTTTCTGGGCCATCGAGGTAGGAGACACTCACATGACCGCAAGAACTCCGTTGCCAGTTTTCCAGTTCGGAACGCTTGGCCTTGAGATCCACCCCGAGAGAAAGGGCATCATCAGGTCAGTTTAGCGAATCGCCCGGTTCAGTCAGCTTTTGGTCGCGGCTAACCTTGACACGTGCAAGACTAGGGACTTGGGACGTGGAGCTCATTCTGAAGACGTGCATCAATTATAAAGAAGGAAAAAACATCATGAAGAAGGTCAGCGGTTCGGCAATCTCTGATGAAAAGATCCGGTTTCGGTGGTGCTTGCGGGGCCCCACGATTGATCGTGCGACTGATGCTGAGCCTATTCACAAGCGGGCTGTGAACAAGTGGAAGTCACTTTTCAACAAGTGATGTTTGGAAAGGGAGGGAGATAATCTGAGAGCTGGGATTATGGCAGATGATGGTTGACCCAGAAATAGACCCGGAGACAAGCACAGGAAGATAGGCGCATCATGCCGGATGACTGCTGGATTCTTCAAGTCTAGCAGCTTCTGGTTGGGCGCCATGCCATCTACACAGAGTACGGCATGCTGACATCTCTGATAATTTTGATCGTTAATTTTTGGAAATATCATCTTGGTATTAATCATCAAGGAAGCCTTCTTCGGACATGTGAAGTCTTTTGATCTGGCTAGTTCTACAGTACCTCGATAATCCTCTCGCCGGAGCTCCGTGGATAATCCATGGTGTGGCTTCCCGCGCGGGAACCAAAAGGGGCCAGCGCCACTCCCAGGCAGTACGCTTACCAAGTTGAAGGACTACCCTCTACTTCATCAGCGAGGATACTCCTAGGTAACAAGTGAGCCACTCGATGTGGCCATTGTTGCAGGCGCCTTACCTCGCGTCGCGCCGCCAGCGGTTCGCCGCCGACAATGCTCTGGATGGGAGTGATATACGACATAGGGAGGATGAATTGCAAGAAATATAAACGCTTTGTTTTTCCTCTCTCCAGAAGGTCCACCGTATCTCTTTCCAAAACCATCAGTGAAAAGTCTCAAGAGGGCTCGTGTCTTAGTCTCTAGTATAGCCAGTCACCTGTGAAAACACTCGTCGCTCGGAAACGCAAGGTCAACGCCCATAACTTTCGTCACACACCAACATCATGCACGCAGCTGTTGTCACAGAATTCGGTCAGCCGCCAAGGTACACCGAAACCACTAGCCTACCACCCGCTTCCCCCGAGCAGCTCCGCCTGCGCGTCCTCGCCGCCGGCGTGCCCAACGTCGCCGGGATGATAGCAGCAGGGAAGCACTTCATCACCGCCTCGCTCCCATACATCCCCGGCATCGACGGCGTAGGGGTCGACGAGACCGCCAGCCCGCCGCAGAAGTACTATTTCTCCACCCTGCCCGCCAACACGGGGTCACTCTCAGAACATGTCAACGTCGACCGCAAGTCCGCGGTACCACTGCCGGACGGCACGGACGAGACGTCTGTTGCTGCGCTGGTGAACCCCGCTCAGAGCAGCTGGATGGCCCTCTGGCACCGGACGAGCAACCTGCCTCGGGGGTGGTCCGTTGCCATCCTGGGTGCCACAAGTGCGAGTGGCCGAATCGCTGTTGGGGTTGCGAAGGCACTCGGGGCCGGTCGTATTGTTGGCATAGCGAGGGGTGAGAAGGCACTCGCAGAGGTTGATGGTCTGCATGAGAGAATAGTGCTGGACAGCACAGACCCGGCCAAAACCGACTTCTCAAAGCTGGGTGGTCACGTGGATGTAGTCCTGGACTACGTCTACGGCCCGGCCATGCTCGCGCTTCTTTCTGCGCTGAAACCTACGACGGAGGTTCAATATGTCCAAATTGGGGTTCTGAGCGGAGCCGACGCCGCGTTGCCTGCTGCCCTGCTGAGAAGCAAAATGATCACCATGAGAGGGGCCGGCCCAGGCTCGTGGACAATGGCACAGATGGCAGGAGAGACAGCAGACTTGCTCCAGGCGGTGCATGGGTTGAAGGCTGATTCATTACACATTGCAAGGTTGGAAGAAGTGGAGGCTGTGTGGAACAGCCCTGATGTAAAAGGGAAGAGGCTTGTGTTTGTGCCTTGAGTTACCTCGGAACAAACATGCGGGCTGTGATGTAGTGAGGCTGTTTGATAAAAGACATTGCTACGCGCATTTGACAAATCATGCTTCACCGACTTTTTCTTCGTCTGATTACGAGAGCCATTAAACTACATAGTTTGATGGGAGAAAACTTGATTGCCCCCAACCGTGTTTTGATTCCACAAAGCCACGTTTGGGTCTCATGTGAGACTCTCCGGGCCGTAGGTGGGGCACTGACAACCAGGGGCGCTCAACATAACACGAGTTTGTGCGGCTCTTTGTCGGTGTAGCCCGGTGAACTTCATCCTGAAGTCGGGTTTGGAGGAAATGGATCATGTACGAGTCGATTGTCTGTACTGTTCCACCTCAGGAGCGTCCAGGTGGACAGGCGATAAAAAGAAAACACCATTGCCAGACCACTGAATCGACTGCAATGAATTGATGATGTCTGCAAAGTAGAGGACGGCGCCTCATAGAAGCATTTAGAAACGTACATTGTGGAGCAGCCCCCGGATCAATGTGGGCTTTGAAGCGACCATCATGGCCATGCATAAAATACAAGACATGTGTATCTGCGCGAGAAGACAGAAAGCTTTCTACAGCCCCCTGTTGTGAATCACAATCCCAGATCTCCAAACTGATAGAGGACATCAAGGTCCACAAACAAGATGGCGGTTACGCAAGCACATCTTTTTCTCTCGTGACCCAAGCTTCCGTAGAGACGAAGAATGCTTCCAAGTTGGGCCAGTCATTTCCAAGGACGCAGCTTACTTCTTCCAGGTCTGTATGTAACCATGGTCTAGCACGTCGACTATATAAGTCAATTGCGGACGATCAACTTCAAGGTGCAAGGACACAGCTCCACAGTCCACAGCCCATATTCACCACAACGACGAACATGAAGGCGACATCATTTCTTCCTCTTCTCCCTATTGCCTCCAGCCTGGTCACCACACACGAGGAGACCAATCCTTGGCAGCCCGGGGAGCCCAGATGGCTCATGTACAATTTCCACTATACAGGGAGCGGAGAGCAGGAGGACGCATTGTTCTTCAATCTCACCAGCGACCCAGGATCCTTTGAGACTCCCGTCAGAGCTGAATGCGAGATATTAAGGGCTTGGCAATATTGGCAGCCGTGCTCGATTTGGATCGCGGGATCGGCCGACGGGAACCGAGGCGTCTGGGTCATGCCGCTGCCCACGAGCACCGCGATCAACATCCAGATCAGGCACTCCTTCGTACAGAAGTCTGACAATATTCACACTTTCTACAACATGGTAAGTTGATTGTGGCACTTCAAGATCAAATATCTTTGAGGCGTATCTTGCAAGTTCCTCGCTCCACTGGTGTCGTAGTAGTCGTGCTTGTGAGCGTCAACTGCATGCACTGCTCGCACATCAAGGCTGGCTGGGCCTTGACTACCAAGAACTTCTGTGGAAATCCTACAGTTTTATGACCTTGGAATCAACAAAACTTTTGCTGACTGTCCTGGCAATACGCGAAGACAGGCAGTTACAGCGCAAATTGGCAGGGAGTAACGTCTCCGACAGATCCAACCGTCTACCCCCTGAAGGAAGAGCATTTTCAGCTCATTTTTCCAGAACCTGGGAATACTCATTGAGTGGTGAGAGGAGGTACTGAGGGTATTCGGCAGGATGATAAGCTCAAGTTTGCAATAAACTTCCTTTTTCCCATGTGTGCATGCTAACACTTACAGATACTGTGACTTGATAATCTGACACCAACATACGACCATCAGACCCAAGAAACATCTCGAAACCTTGCATGCCTCGCTGGATTGGTCCATGGTAATTGGAGGCTGTGAGAATTGGGAGGGATGGGGTGGTCGCTGAGTGAATCCTGCGGGTTATGCTCGTGGTGATAGTGAAGGTCGCCTCGCAATTTGACCCCATCGAACGGGACAGGTCTCATAGCACAGGGCCTCAAATGTTTTCTCCTGATTATCATGATTCAATTAGCTCACCCCTTCTGAGGTTTCGAGGGAAACAAGGTCTTGCTGCGTATACCTCCATTTGTATGCAGATATCGAACTCGAGAATGATGAGGGTAGAGACGGGCTAGCAGTAGAGGGAACGGCGGGAGCATCGGGAGCCCCACCCACAGCAGTGTCTCACCGGCCGCTTGACTGATGCAATCGGCGCCGTCGAGTAAGCAGTACCAACAACCACTCCAGAGCAAATTCACTGTGACTAGAAAATAACTTGAGTTCCCCAAACCTTGAGATCGTCGGTCGATTCTGCTTTTGCCATACTGCAGCCCTTATTGGCATCCGTTGACCCCATACGAGTGAGCCAGCTGACACCGCGATGGCTGTCACCATCTCAGACGCCGCAGTCGAGGCGCTGAAGCCTGTCCGTTTGCCAGACGACGCGTCACTGGTCAAATACGAGGACAGTCGTCTCACTTGGCTGAGCGAAGCTAGGAGCGGCAGTGAAGATGCAGGTAGTGTCAAGACAGAAGAGATCGTCCTCATCGCAGAGCTTTCAGGCGGAGGTTATCTCATCCTCGCCCTAGGCCAAGGCGAAGAAGGCGCCGCGGAGCCCTTTCAGCTGTCATCTTTCACGGCACCGAGCCTGCCGCAAGATTTGATCGACCGATTTCTCCTCAAGAAAATTCCGGAATACCTTTCATCCAGCAGAGATTCAAGCCTGGACGTTATCCTTTCCTCGAAATCCGGGACAGGCCAGGCCCAGAAATTCTACGACACAGTGCTGCAGCCTCTCCTGGGAGCACTTGGCCTCAGAGGCGAAGGGGCATCGGCAGGCGTTAACTCTCCAGCAAACGGGAATGTGTACCAAGTGACCATCACAAAGGATGCAGACAGTGTAAAGGAGTTTTCACGAGAGAGATGGGGCCGTGATGAACGGTCTGCCGGTGGTAGTGGGACTGTCATCCTGCTCGCCGGCGATGGGGGCATCGTAGATCTCCTCAACGGAAGCACGCAGCCCACAAAGCCAGCGCTGCTGCCGACCATCGCCCTCATCCCACTCGGCACCGGGAACGCGCTTTTCCACTCCTCACACAAGCCCCACTACGCCGTGTCCGACGGGCCAGCACCGTCGCACCTGGCCCTGGCGCTCCAGGCACTCCTGAAGGGCAAGGCCTCCCCACTGCCGACCTTCGAGGCCTTGTTCCCACCGGGGTCCCATCTAGTCGAGGAGAAGAAGGAACCCACGGAGGCCGCCCCCGCGCCGGTCTCCCAGCTCACGGGGGCCATCGTCGCCAGCTACGGGTTCCACTCCCAGCTCGTCTGGGAGTCCGATACCCCCGCGTACCGGCAGCACGGCGACAAGCGCTTCGGCATGGTGGCGCAGGAGCTTCTCAAGGAAGGGCACGCCTACGCCGCGTCGGTCGACACGCCCCCCTCCTCCTCGTCTGCTCTCAGCACAACCACTCGGTTCAACTACATCCTCGCCACTATGGTGTCGAGCCTGGAGAAGACCTTTACCATCTCCCCGGAGGGCCGGCCGCTCGACGGAGAGCTGAGGCTTGTCTACTTCGGCGACGTGGGAGGGCAGAAGACCATGGAGATCATGATGGCGGCCTATAACAATGGGGCACATGTCGGGATTGAGGGCGTGGGTTACGAGGCTGTGGAGTTTGTGAAAGTGACCACCCATGAGGAGGATGCGAGGTGGAGGAAGGTCTGTATTGATGGGACGATCGTAGAAATACCGCAGGGTGGATCGATGACGGTCAAGAGGAGTCCTGAGCCACGGCTTCGAGTCCTGGTGCTGGGAGCTTGACTTTGGCTGCTCAAGATTGGATAATGCATGGGAGCAAGAACAACATGGTTGGGTGTCGTCGTTTCAGCAGCACCTTATAGATTTACGATTCCATCAACTTCCTTGCCCTCTTTTCCATGAGATCCTCGAATTCTTGGACACCATTTTCGAGTTTTGTGAGTATGCCACCCCTCAGCCTGCACACAACTCTCCGTCTCAAATTCGCTTCCTCCTCGTCCTCGTCCGTATCACTGCTCGGGTCGTCAATAAGACCCTCCACCGCACCCCTCATGAACCATCTGTCGTGGGATACTACAATCACTGCGCCCACCCAGTGATTCAGCGCCTCGCGCAACGCGGTGACCGTCTCATCTGTAACGTGTTAGCAGCGTTCAAACAAGGTGCTACTGATACTCTGTTTACATTTACATGCATCGAAAAGAGAGGATTTAAGTGGAAGCGGGAACACATACAGTCTAGGTGAGTCGTCACCTCGTCCAGCACCAGGCAATGCGGACGCTTCCACAAAATCCTTGCCAGCTCGCATCTCACCAGCTGCCCACCGGAGAGTTTGCGGATGGGGACGTCAGAAGCCAGACGCCCAGGGAGTCCCAGTGACCCCAACATGCCACGAAGCTCGCCCTCGTCGAGGTCACCTTCGACTTCCCTCATCAATAGCGCCAGGGAGGTGAGGTCAGGCTCGGAGTGGCCCAGCTGCTGGAGTTGCTTGACCGCCTGCTGGCTGTAGTATCCAAGCTTCAGCCGCGGGTGTGTCGTAAGGGTCCCCTTGGTGGGCTTCTCCTCGTCGACGAGTAGTTTGATCAGTGTCGACTTGCCGGCGCCATTGAGCCCCAGTATCCCGATCCTGTCTCCCATGCCCACAGTCAGGTTGATGTCTTGCAGAACCGCCGGAGACGATGCCGCTGCCTTCCTCCCTCCTGCGGAGTATCGGAACGTCACGCCCTCTGCGGAAATCAGAGGTCCTGGGAAACGTAGTTCGGGCGGCTCTGGCAGTGCGATGATCGGCGGCCTCTCATCCTGCGGGATCTCGACCTCGGCGCGGCTGCTGAAGTAATACCCCGGAAGGTCTCTGTTGAGTTTGAATCTGCCACCTTTGGCGCTGGTTTCTACGCCCCAGCGGTCATCTAGCTTTTTCTGTCTCATCTTGGCCTGGCGGACTGGCAGTTTGTCAGTCGATATTTTGGCTCCTATCATAGAAGGGAGAGGCTCAAGGGACAGCGGTAGCGGGCTTTCGTTACCGCAACGTCTCACAACAGTTACCCTCCAATCGCCTGGCCGGTAAGAGAATGACTTACTTCGATTTTCGTCATCGTTCTTCTTTCCCTCTCGCATATTGCGCTGGATAGTGGCTGAAATATGGGCCTTCTGTTTGTCCTTGGCCTCCTTGACTTTAGTGAGATGCAGCTTCTTCTCAGCCGTGCTGGACTCGTACGTCTGGAAGTCACCATGAAAATACACCAGGTCTTTGTCCTTGATGATCAGGAGATCTGTGCATATAGATGTGAAGTCGCGATCGTGGGACACCAGAATGAGAGTGGGAGGATCGGGTAAGTCTTCGAGGGACTGGAGGTACCTCTGAAGCCAGATTATGCCGAGAAGATCCAGGAAATTGGTCGGCTCGTCGAGGATCAGGATATCTGTCTCCTGCAACAGTGCTATGGCTAGTGCTGTCCGCATTTTCCAACCACCCGAGAGCTCAGACACGGCCTTTGACTTATAGGCCTGTGAAAATCCAAGACCAGCGAGGATCTTGTTGGCCCGCGACTCGATGTCCGCGATCTTTGATGGCTCTACTTGGACCTGGAGTTCTGCGAGAAGGTCCGTGGCTTCCTGAATCTCAGTCTCCAGTGTTTCATTTGATATTTCCTCGTCCTTCTGCTCTTGTCTGTGAAGTATTTAGTACTCACTGTTTCTGACAGCAGTTTTGACTGAAACTCACAACGCCGCTGATTCTGCGACTACTTTCTCAAAAGCGATGAGCTCCTTCCGAGCCTGCATCCCTCGAGCACCACTGCGGAGCCGTGCATTTTTGTCAACCACAAAAAGTTGCTTCTGCAGCCTCTCATGCTTGACTTTTCTCAATGCTTTCACCGCCGCCAGCCCTTCCGGGCTGTTGACTCCGTCGGCCAGGATTGCGATCTCTCGCTCGAGCTCGTCTTTTGCCGTTGCTTTGTCTATAACCTCTTGAAGGACGGTGTTCCCCGAGCCCGAACCCGCTGCGTTGTTGCCCGGAGAGAAATCGGCGTTAGAATCATCAGCATCGGTCTGCTGTAGCATTGCGATGCGGGTCTGCTCAGGTATTCCAGGGATCAATCTCTCTCCGATGGCCCTCAGCAGTGTCGACTTTCCAGAACCGTTCTTCCCGACCAGTGAGTATCTTTGGCCAGCCTTCAGCCTTAATTTGGCATTTGAGAGAATTTCTGTGCCATCAGACTTGGCAGCCTTCGCCTTGCCTTTGCCTCCTGGAGTCTTGACGCCAGGGGGAGCCGCCGAAGCCACAGTGATGTTCAGCCCCTCGATATCCAGCTAACCACCGGCTCTTAGAATGAGATTTGGGATACGTGAAGCTGATAAAACTTCTAGGCAAAGGGTCAACTCTGAAGCATACCTCTCGGTAGTTTGGGCTTTCGATGTGAAAGCGTGTCTGCTTGCAGGAGACGAGGATCGTCGCCACGGACTCAGCCGCCATGGAAGTCATTGTGAATTCAACAAGAAATGACGGGTTTTGAAAAGAGACTGATGATGATGATTATGATGGTCTGGTTGCAATTCTTGTAAGGCGACACGATTTCTGTTCTAAGCCAGACGACAAGTAGATTCGGAGATGGTGATGGAATTATCGCATTCCCTTGCGTCCCTGCCATCCCGTGGACGGGACGATACCGACCGGCCTCCTCCCACTCAAACAAAGTTACCCCTTTTGGCAAGCTCGTGGGCAACAGTGCGGGAAGCTTGGTGGTGTGGGGTAGTGAGTCACACCGAGCAAGTCCACAGCGGGTGTCTCGCCCTGGAACTGTGCTGTACGCTTGACGTTCCACAGTCGTAAGCCCGTGAGGTGATGGACTTCAATTAACTTGCTCGGGGCTAACTCTTTGCCGATTTTTTCGGTGGAGCGCCGTCGCAGGTCGAGAATACGCGTATAGCGGTGAACTCAGAGGTCGAAACAGGCCCTTCACCATCTCGCTTGGCTGCCGTCATCAGGGCCCTGTCTAATTGCAAGTGTGCTGCTGGGGCGGGAACGTTCGGGTCAGGTACGTCGAAGTACTCTTAAGGAGTAAGTGAGTTAACAAATTGGGCCGGAGGTTTCTCCATCCCTACATATATATGTAACATTTTGATGTCAGACCCTATTATCAGTTGCACGATCTAGATACCTACTTTGCAGGGAAACCTCAACTGACGAAGGTTGTCGTTAGTTACGTCCCACCAACGAGTTTGTAACGTCCGCGGCCCACGCCCTCATACGCGCATGTATACGTCTAAACCTGCCACATAAATCATAGTAATATCGTTTGGCTACAGGTCAGCGCTGCGTGGGAGTGGTGTCAACCACCTACAAAGGTGATTTACATATCTCACATGCATGTATCATCACCGTGCTCTATGGGTGTCCGACTAGGATTTCTCGTACGAATTACTGCATTCACTTGCTTCAAACCACTTGTTCAAACCCAGAGATTGGGGCAGTCTTTGCCCACCGATTTTCCTACATACTTAGTAGGCTCGAATACATCTCATTCGACCCCGCACACTTTTCTATAGAAGCTGCCGCGTACCTCAAACCTCATCTATTTCTTTCCAAAGGCCTCCCCGAGTCTTGAAGATCAAATTGGGGCCGTCATGGTCAGCGACAATAACGTCCTAATACAACTGGAACTCTTCCCGCCTGGCACGAAGCCTGTCTCCTCCTAGCTTGCCCCCACCGACCTCCCCGGCCGCACCATGGGCCTTCTCAAAGTCAAAATACCACAGCGTCCTCGCCACCGCTAGGCTGGTCTCTAGGTAAGCTACTGCCTTGCCTGCGCAACTCCTGTCCCCGACAGCAAAGGGCGCAAGGGCACGGCTCGAGACCTCAGTGACCTCGTCCCCAACCCACCTCTCCGGCCGGAACTCGAATGGCTCCGGAAAGTAGGCAGGGTTGTGCAGCACGCTGTACGGGCTGATCCCGACCATTGTGCCCGGCGGGATGACGTGCCCATCGACGACGAACGGCTTCCCCCCTCCCCCCCCCCGGGGCCAGGGTAAGGTCTTGCTGGCGCCACAGCGTGCCGATGGACGCCGGTGCGATCCGGAGACACTCGTCGATCACGGCGCGCAAGTACGTACAGCTTGTGAGTTTGGGGCCGGTGTGGATATCCTTGCCTGAGGAAAAAGTGCTGCGGATTTCGGAAGCAAGTTTGGCGTAGACCCTGGGGTGACGTGAAAGGTAGAAGAAGATGGCCGTCATCAGCGTCCCGGTAGTCGTTCCACCTTTTTGAAGGGCAAACTGTGATCAGCGGGTGCTGTTCAGATGGGCAGGAAATTTCTTGCCCCATCACTCGCGGGACAATCTGATTCCAGGAATGGACACAAATGTGTTAGGGTCTTGAGTCACGCACGTACCTGCTGTAATGAAGAAGACAGCCTCTGCCCACAGCTCACTTTTAATCATATCTTCCTTGGAAGTATGTAATTCGATATTGTGTTCGACGTTATGGTTCATAGCGACATTGTACAGATCAAATTTGGCGTCCTTGCCGAGTCCTATGCGGGCTTTCACCATGCTTTCTATAGATATTCGAAAGTCGTCTGACACCTTCTTCGCCAGTAAGTTGATTAGAGAATTAAGAATTATGGACGTAGCGGGCCAATTAATACCTATAGAGCGCCATCCTTCCGGTGATAGCTGGAAAGGCTTCCAAGAGTGGCCTGTTAGTTGTCTCTGTCTGTGTTTTAAGGGGATAGCCAAACCCGAGCTGGCAAATCACATCTCCAGCGAGACGCTGGCACCGTCGAGACGTGTCCACCACTTCGTCCTTGTTCTGGCTGCTGGAGCGAAGGAGCTCGCGTAAGAATTGATTAACCTCAATACTCATGGTTGGTTCAAAATTGCGCATGGCGTGCTCTGAGAGGACTCTGCCGACGACACGGCGCTTGCGACTGTGTTCGCCCTGATCCAGGGTGTCGAATAGACTCGGAGTAGGCAGAAGACGGGAGTCTTCGTATGCCTGTCCTTTTGTGACTTGCGGGTTCAAATAAATGTCTTGCAAAGCCCCGACGGTGTTGAAAAATGAGGCGGTTTGGAGCCTGTCTGAAGACGGAACCTAGGTTGTTGGGTTACTATGCATGCGCATGCGTTTGCCACACGAAAATTTGGCCGATGTATGAAACTGCAAGAGGGGCACATTGTCTCACCATATTTGCGATGGTTCTCGTGGGTTACGAGATGGAGTCGCTTCCTAGCAGCATGGATTCCACCATACGCGTTGGTGAATTTCGCGAAGAACGGCCCGGGGAACTTGCGCAGAGGATCGGAAGAGACATGGTACACGAGTACAAATAAGAACTGTGGATCATTTTCAGTACGCCAACTTGGGACTGAAATACACGTTGGGGCTCACCAAGGCTAAAAAGACCGGGACAGCCCGTTGAAGCCATGGTAGGAAAGCACGAGGTATGTCGGCAGCAGCCATTGGGTCTGACGTGTAGCAAGACAGAGTATTCGGTTGGTGTTGGCAAATTGCGGAGGGATGAGACACGGAAGAGAAGATGGAAAGAACCACAGGACTCCTAACTGGAAGGTTCGAGCTAGAGCCTCCTGGTTGGCTTGTAACAAATCACATCAGACCTGTTGGTTGCTCTCTGCCAACAGAGACCTAGTACCTACCGCTGCAACCCCCGTAGCATACCATTCATTCGGGCTGTAGCCTTTCGACGTCTGGATTCATCTCCATACTGCGCCCCTTACATAACAGATCAATCAGGTTGATGTCAAAACCAGGCTAGACTACTACCATGAAAGTAGCTGCGTCGACTATTAGCTTCCAACATGTCCATTTGCGGGAATTGGTTGACTGGTTGTGAAGAGAGTGCAATGGCCATTCTTGCGCAGGGCATCCTTATTTTGTCCTGCACTTTTCTGGATGCCGTGTTTTCAAGACAGCTTACTAAGGGAGGGTGCTGCTTGATGGGAGCGAGAGCAGTTGCGCTTCCCCCTCAACCACTTGACAGCTTCGTGCACACATGAGCGTGAGCTATGAGTCAGAACACCAAGAGCAAATGCAAGAAGGAAGAACATGGGTCTTTCGCCTTTTTGACTCCTGAGATCTCGAAGCTGCATTTCAAGACCCCTAAAGGTACTCGGGAGTGAGATTTTGGCGTCACGGCCTAGATCCAGACAGACACACACCGGTTTACCCCCACCCCCTAGTCACACAATTCCCTCAAGTGGACTCGTGTTATCTTTATCTCACACCAAAGCTCAGGGCGTACAAGTGGTAGAGGCGACGTTGAGTCCATCCCATTGCCTAGGCTCCAATGGCTGACACGAAGGCGAGAATTGATCTCATCCCTTGGGATTTCAACTCCGAGGAGCATCATCAACGCATGTACCTGCAACGACTGGCCTGTGGATGGAGGAGTGACGAGATCCAGAAATGGGCCGAACTTGGAAGGGCCGGTAAAAAGACCCTTTACTGGATTGTGAGCAGCATCCCCCAGTCGCGGAAGGGTGCAGACCTCCGTTCAGTTGCTGACCAAGAATCAAAAGGGGCTGGCTGAAGACCTGTCAGATCGGGAGACGCTCAGCGCCCAGCACATTGCCGAGAATCTACAGGTATGCAGCAGCCCTAATACCACAGTGATCTTACAATTAGGCACCTGCACCACATCTAACGCGGGACTATCTAGGAGTCAGCTCCAATCACGGACACAGCACCAACTCACTGGCAACAGCCGCGCACGCCCAGCAGCCGAGCCTTCGTCCCTATCGGACACGTCGCCCTCGACTTACGCCCCGAAGAGAATGCCCACCTCAACCTCACAGATGACGGAATTGTATGGGTCGCCGGGCTCTATGTCTCCTGGACCCTCCAGCGCTACGGCTTCGGCCGGGAGGCGATGCGTCTCGTTGAGCACCTCGCCTCCCGGGAGCCCCTCGGTGCAAAGTGGATCGTCCTGGACACCATGCCCCGGGACCAGCAGATGAAGCCGGCCTTCATAAAGAAGGTGTATTTCGCACAGGGGAAACCAGCGCCGAAGGTTCCCATACAGGACTGGTACGAGGGGCAAGGATACGAGTCTTTTGCCAGGGACGTGGCTGCGTACAAATGGGCGAACCCGGTTACTGGAGAGACTGAAGATTTTGATTACCTCTTTTTGAGAAAGAGGCTGACTTAGTCGTGTGCACTTTGATTGACAGGACTTTACCGTCCTTGCGAGCAATCCCGCCGTCTGAGCTCCTTGATTTTCTTAGTCGGGTTGATGCTGGATACCTTGTAATATCGGATGTCGGCCTGCATGTGAAGTAAGTGACAGGCAAAGTAGCTGTCAAACTCGATAGAAATTACAGTGTTGAAGAAAGACATGTTTGTAACAGAGGGCATAACACCTATGCGAGGAGGAGTTCCAAAGGGAGAAGTGACAGAAATCAGGATACATTTCCTCTCAAGTGCTATCGTGATTTCTATGTTAGGCTCTCAGAGAGGGTCTGTACTATGTGGACTTTGCCCTGATACTCCTTTTCTGTATAGTACCAAAGAGTCTCCAATAGGCTCAGCTCTGCTACGTCTAGTTGAAACAAAATCAAGGCTTTGCGGTAGCAGCCGGTACAGCTGCAATCGTCGAAGACATGGCGAAGAGATCAGACTGTGTGAGCTCCACAGGCGATTTGGTCCAGCCCAGATGAGTCGGCAATCGGTCCCCTTGGACATTTGAAAAGATCAGTCATCACTGTTAACATGGAGCTCGGCATCGCAAAGACGACCTACGGAAGAAAGACTCGATCCAGACTCTCTGGGTCTGCGTGGCATTCACACCCCCAAATACCAGCATGTAGATAGCAGGCGCAAGTCCAGCGATGAATGGGATGGGCGTGTAGGTCGGATTCTGGATGTCAAACCCGGTTAGCGATTACTTGCGCCGAGTTCTGAACTGTGACGAGGGTAGGGCCGGAACTGTGCCAGGGTGGTGTTGATCTCGGTTTCGAAGGGTGCGACTTGTAGGTTCATTACCTCGAGCATGGCTTCTCCGGGTCGATGTTGCGGCCGTCACGGGGAATGTAACCTTGGTTGGCCAGGGCGTTGAGGCCCGGGCATGGGGAGCGACCTGTGACATCTTCAGTCTGTTTGTCTCCAGAACGGTAAATTTAGCCAGCTTACTATCGCTTGCGGTGGGAGGAATATACTCATGCGGATCACTCGGGTATGCGTGACAGCCTGTGAAGAGGCCACTGAGAAGCGGGCTGACGAAAAAGGAGATATGCATTGTGTGTAATTAGAAGGTTTATCTGATTATAGGAGCAGTGGCTCAAATTATGAGGCCTCGACTTGATGACCCCATTGCGAAGCAACACTTGTATACGAGAAAACAACTACCCGCTGTGACGGAATCTTTGCAATTCTTTCCCATTAAAACTGGCTGTAGCCTTCTTCACGATAATACGCGGATACGCTCGACACTAGAGATTACGCCTATACGCTCGATGCAACGGTAACTGTGAAATCGGTCTCACGTATACGCCCGATCTGCGGCTGACATGCTAATGCGCTCAGACTACGGCTGACGCGACGATACAAAGGATCATCTAGCGATATATTTGTGTGAGGAAACTGACGAGGGCTTGGTCATCCGCGTGGCAGAAGACGTATTTGAGAAGGAGCGAGCTGGAATATCGGCGCCAGGCTGGGCTGGGCTCATACGCAGGTGGGCAAATATTGAGTCGGTAGACAAGTCCATGAGCGAGCATGCCAAGCTCAGCAGTTCACTTGAGCTGGATCAGGATCATCAAATGTTTCGTGAGGCGAAGTTGATTCAAAAGGCACACACTGAACAATAAAGGCTTTACTTGATAATTCTCAATGTTGAGTGAACTAAACAAGATCCGGGAAGTCGAAGTGGAGCCCAAAGAGTCAATGGATGCAAAAGACGTACTTGGAAAAGGAGAAACATGCATGATTACGGTCAATGCCTGTCGTGTAACTATATCTCAGGGTGTTTAACAGGAATTAGTCCATATCATATTAGCATTATTACCATGTCGTATTGAAGGGGCATTTTCAGAGGAATTCTCTATTGCCTTCACCAGAGTGGCAGGCTACCATTCCAGCAAGCCTGTCATCCATGCATCCACTACTAATCCAGCCGAGACATGGAGGATGCCGAAATTCTCACTTTGGTTATCTTGCTTCGCCTTTGTAGAACGTCCCACCCAGCAGGATTCGGCCACAGGCGTATAAGCCTTCTCGACGACCTCGTGCGTAGAAGGTGGCGCAAACGAGATTCAAGGCTTGTGGGACGCTCACTTCAGCCCCATGACGCGCAAGAACGTCTCCCTATGCTCAGCCCGTGCGATCCCCTGCGCCATCTCCCCCAGGCTCTCAACCTCGCAGACTCCCGTAGAGTGCTCAAACCCCCAGACGAGATCCTCGCAATGATCATGATCATCATCCCCCTTGCCGAGGGCCCCATCCTGCTCGCTGTCATACCTGACCTGGAAAGCCTGCCACCTCTGCGACCGCAGCTCGGCCACGTGGCTGTCGACGGCGTCCTTGGGCCCAGAGAAGACCATCACGCCCGGATAGCCCGGCCTCGTCAGCCCCGACACGCTCCCCGCGTCAAGCCCGGGGCTCAGCGCGAGCTTACGCTTGTTTGTATTGAGGAGGTGATGGAGCCATATGACCACCGTCTTGCGACGCTGCTTTCTCTCTTCAGCCGATGTGATGGTCGCAGAGTCCTGAGGCGGTGAGTCCCTCGCCAATTCGTTGATAAAGTCTTGGAATGCGAGTATAAAAGCATCCAGTGCCTCCTCCCCCTCGACAATCGCCAATTCCGAGAAGGCAGCCGAGACCTGCGTCCTTGCGTCCAGGCCCTTCGCGTCCTTTGCCGTGATAAGATCCGGCAGACCCTTGGCTGGATAGTGATCTGGCAGCCTGAGGACGAGCACTCCCTTGGTAAGACCGTCTCCGGCTGACGTAGGGGAGTACTTCAGTTCGCGGCCTCTGCTCTCGAAGGCGATGCATCCTGGGTACATGGCCCCGAGGAGCTCTAGCTCATTGCGCAGGCGCTCCTCCAGCCCGTCTCTAGATTCGGACATGTCTTTCACGCGCCTCCGGCTTGGTGTGGGGGTATACGTGCGTGGCTCGCCAGTAGGTTTTTATCACGAGGGATCTGCTCTGTTGAAAAGGTCAACGGGGGGGGGTATGATGTAATCAGCGTTGCTGCTACCTACCAGCAAGGTCCTCTGCCAATGTAGGTGGACCCCAAGGCCGTGGTGGCATCGTTGACATGCAATTAAAACACTGGACGTTTGCTCTCACTGCCCTTTTTACGTTTGTGCACAAAATGGACCTTTTTGACGGCAGCGTGCCCGGCGAGGCAGAGTGTTGCAGTCAAGGTTACAAAAGAGTAGGGTAGTCCAGAGCTAAGTGACACCAAGTACCTAGTTATTTACAAACCCCAGCACCCACAGTACCCACCCTCCCCTACCTACTAATCACCCTCACAACTACCTTTTCCTTAACTACAGATCCTATTTATAATAGGAAGCCTGTATCGCGAACGGAGTCTGCGCCAAGCTTCAATCAGAGGCAGGAACATGGGACGATCTACAGGGCCCTTGAATTGCAGGTGGGCACCAAGATAAGATGCCGGGTTTACTTGCCATATATCATGTAGCCGGCACCCTCAACTCGTGTCTGGCTTTGGTTCAGTCACCCTAGTTTCGTGGGCATAATCATGGCAAACGAGACTGTTCGAAGGATTAAAGAGGCGGTGATCCTCAAGTCGGACGAGTCGCAGCATGAGGAGGTCAGCGCCTGGTCTAACCGGGACTTAATCCCGTTGCCGCCTTCTCGTCGCACTTGGGGTTGGTTCAATTTCTTTGGTTCCTGGTCATTGTGGGTTTCAATCACAGCAAAACCTCCATGGCATTTGAGTGATGTGCTGACCTTGAATCCGCAGGTCTTCCCTCAATGTAGCAACATGGCAGACCCCCAACACTTTTCTCACCCAAGGACTCTCCGTCGGCCAAGCCATGGCTGTCATCGTCGTCTCCCGAGCTTTATGTTGCTTGTTCGCCGTCCTCGTCGCTTGGTGCGGTCTGACTTGGCACATCGGCTTCACGGTACAGAACCGATACACTTGGGGCTTCCGGGCAAGTTGTGTCCCTCTAATGCAGCGTATCTTGCTGAACTTCATTTGGAATGCTCTGCAATGTGAGTTGCTCACTCGCGATCCCGGGGTCAAAGAAACGCAGGGCTGACTTGCTTCGAAGGCTGGAACGGCGGTAAACCTGTGACGTGAGTACGATACCTCGACAAGATGGCCACTGAGTGCTGACGATACCTACCAGCGTTTGCATTACCGCCATATGGCCATCATTCGCAAAGATCCCCAACACTCTCAGCGCCAGCACACCGACGACGACATATGAACTCACTGGGTTCATTGTCTTCTGGGTCGTATCAATACCATTCCTCTTCATCCGGCCCGAGCGTTTTAAGAACCCTTTCTTCATCTCATCTGTCGCATGTGGTGCGGGCATGGTGGCTCTGCTTATCTGGTCGCTCACCGTCGCAAAGGGTGTCGGCCCCATCTTCTATCAAGGCCAGAGCGTCTCTTCTAGTTCTCGCTGGAGCGTCTCATGGCTGATGATGGCGGGTATCAACCAAGCCATTGGTCAAAAGGCTGCCGGTATGACCAACAGCAGTGACTTCCTCGGTACGCAAAGAACAAGAGAGACTACATCATCGGCACAGTGTCTGTCTACTGGATCACTGGTGTGCTGGTCTGTCTTGGCGGATTGGTCACCACCGCAGCCTGTCAGAAGATCTACGGAAGCATTTGGTGGAACCCTCCCGACCTGTTGATGGTCATGATGGATCGTGAGTTATTTCCCCGGCTTCCTCGAGTCATAGCTACTGACTTCGCCTGCGTTAGACGGCGAAGGCTCCTCTGCATCTCGCGCCGGAGTCTTCTTCCTCGCCGGCTTGTTTCCTCGCTACATCGACATCCGCCGCGGCGCCCTCATCACCTTCTTCGCCGCCTGGATCATCCAGCCCTGGCAGCTGATCAACCAGGCCGCCACCTTCGTTGCCGTCCTCAACTCCTTCGCCGTCTTCCTCGCGCCCATCATGGGCGTCATGGTCTGCGACTTCTTCTTCCTGCGCCAGCGCAAGGTCAAGCTGTCGCACCTGTTCCACCCCGAGTGTTGGCAAGTACAACCCTCGCCATTAAAAGGCTACTTTAGTTATCCCCCACGGGGCACATAGCCTCTCAGAACTTAGACAGAACAACACCAATACATAATTGCTTCCCATATAATTATTATATATATAAGAAACCTATTAATATTAATTAATAGTTATAGGTATTATAGATTAATAAGGTAGAAAAGGTAACCTTATAAGAATTTTCTTAACTTAAGAATTATATCCTCTTTATTAATAAGCGTTATATAATAATAATTGCTTTTTTAAGCCTTTTTATATTATTAAACTTCCTAAATAAATATTGCAAAGATTAAATAAACTAAGTAGCATTCCTTATAATAACCATATATATATTTATTATTATTTAAGAAATATATATTTATTATGCATAAAACTTTATTAAAAATAAACTTATCTTTAACTTCTTTTTAAAACTTAATAAAAATTAATAAAACTTTATTTTATTAATAAATAAAGCTTATAATTATTATAATTGCTAAGGTTAATATAATGTTATATTATAAATAAGCATAAATTATATATTATGCTTTTAGCTAATATAAAAGAACTTAATAATAGGAAAAAGCCTTAGCTTTTGAAATTTAAAGGAATTAATAACTTTTTCTTTTTAATAATTATAATTTATTTATTATTAAATTATTATTATTAATTTACTTTTAAATATTATTTATTTTATTAATATTTCTTTATTTTATTAATTTTACTTTTTATAATATTTATTATAAAAATTTATAAGCATAATTAATAACGTTAAGAAGTTATTAACTTTTATTAAAGGGTATATAATTAATAAAATGCTTACTTAAACTTTAATTAACTTAGCTTATTATAAATATATTAACTTAAAATTATAATTTATAACCCTTATATAAAAAGCATTAATAAAATACTTAATTACTTACTTAATAAATATTTTAATAAACTATATATAATAAAACCTTTATAATAACGATTTTTTTATTACTTATTAAAAGGATTATATAATATAAATATAAATAATATTTAAAGCATTATTAAATCTTTATTAATAATATTTAAAGGTTTTTCTTTAAATATAAAGTATTTATATAAAACGTAATAATTAATTACTATAGTTTAAGCTAAGGAAAGATTAAAATAAATTAATAATAAGCTTTATAATGCCTTATTAGCCTTAAAATTAAGCATAAATAAATATTATATATAACTTTAAAGATAATAATTATAAGCAGCTTAAGCATTATAAGTAAGCTTTAAATAATAATAATTATTAAGAAAATAATTTTTAAAATAACTTTTATTATTATTATTAGCTTTAAGTATATAATTATAAAACTTAAACTTAATAATATAATTTATTAAAAATTAATATAATTAATAAGGCTTATTATTATTAATAAAGAAATAAAAATAAAGCTTATATTAAAAATATATATTATACTTAATATAACTTTAAGCTGCCTTAAAAATGCCTTTATTAAATAAAAAGTATAATTTATATAAAACTCTTTCTTTATAATATATTATTAATAAATACTTAAATTTAGCAAAGTTAATATAATTTATAAAAACCTTTAATAACTTTTATAAATATATTAAAGATTTATATAATTTATTAAATAATAAAATGAAAATAATTTTTAATATTTATTATTATATTAAAATTTAGCTAAGTTAATTTTATATAGTTTTTCCTTAAATGCTTAAAAATTAAGCTAAGGTTTATTATCTTTATTTTATAAATTAAATTAATATATTTATAATAATATATCTTAAAATTAAAATATATTTTAATATAAACCTTAATTATTAATATTATTATATAAATTAAATAATAATAATGTTTATAAAAATAAAAGCATAAAATTTAAATAAAGATTTATATAAGGCTTTATATTTAATATTTAATAAGTTATAACTTTATTAATAAATATTAAGTTAAGATTATATTAAAAAGGATAACTTAAAAATAATAATAATTTAAGCTTATAAAGAAGTTTTTAAGCTGAAAATAGCTTTTTTTAAGTTAATTTAATTATATAAAGAGTTATTTTTAAATTTAAAATTTATAATAAAAATATAGCTTAATTATATAATTATAATTTATATTATAAATAAAGTTTTAAATTAATATTATATTAATTATAAATATAATGTTTAAAAGCTAAGGAAAGGATAATAATTATAGTTTTAAGTATTTTAAGGAAATTAAAGATTTAATTAATTAAACTTAAGCTATTTAAGCTTTAAATAATTAAGATTTTATAGTATTAATTATAAAGCTTAAAGTAATAATGCTTATAAAGAAGGAAAAAGATAACCTTAAAAAAAAAGATATTATATTTATAAAAAAGAGGGATGTTAATTAATTAAATATTTAATTAATAAGTAATATTTAATAAAAAGAAGCTATTTAATATAATGTAAATATAAAGGTTATAATAATGATTTTAATACTTTTTTAAGTAAGTTTAAAGAATATAAGATAAATAATAAAGATAAATTTTATAAATATAAAGATAAATAAAATTAAGATAATAATTATAATAATAATACTTATATTATAAAGGTAAGACTTAATAAAAAGGTTTATTATATAAATATTAATTTCTTAATTAATAAAATATTTATATATTAAGTTATTAAAAATAATATCTTTTAAATAAAAATAATTATTATAGCTAGCTAATTTATTTTAAAGAATAAATATAATTAAACTTATTTTTAAGGAATTTTGCTAAATATAAAAGCATTATTAATATTTATAACTAAAGATAAGCAATTTTTTTATATTATAATAAAAAGACTTAAAATATTAAATTAATATAATTATTATAAGAAAAGCTAAAGTTAAATTTAATAATAAAATAATTATTAATTTACTTAGCATAATAAAGGTTTTTACTTTAATTAATTATGTTAATTTTTATATTATTTATATTAGCTGGGTTAATGTACGTTAATTAATAACAAATTAATTGTATTTAAATCGGCTATATAAAAGGAAGGAAGGTTATAGCTATAAGCTATAAAACTTCCTTTTAACTATAAATTATTTAAGGGTGGTTATATGCTGCTATATATAATCCTTGCTTATTAATGCTTTAATATTAATTACTTATAATGCTTATTATGCTTAATGCTGCTATCCCCTTATAGCATATTTATAATTATATTAATAATCTTTAATTAAATAATTAATATATGCCTTTATAAAATATATAAGAAAAAAAAATTAAATTAAACTTAAAATTGCTAAGTTTAAATTTATTAATTAATTAAATTAATTAAAGATATATGCTTATTTAATTATATTAAGTGCTTATAAAAAGCAAGCATATAAAAAAGCTTAAGTTATTATTAAAGGGTTAAAGGTTAATTATTTTATTAAAATATATAATTAATAAATAAAGGTTGTTTTAATAATTATATATAGTAAATTATCTTAATTATATTAATTAATAAAGTATAAATTATTACTTTTATTATATAAATATTTTATTTATAATGCATTTTATAAATTTATGCTTTTATTATTTATAATATTTAAGTTAAATAAAGATTAAATTAAACCCTTAAATTAATAACATTATTATTTAATTTTTAATTTATAATATGCCTTAATTTAATTTAGCTTAAGTTTAATTATGCTTAATTTTTATAATTAAATAAAGATTAATTAATTATGGAGGAAAGATAAGTAAGATGAGTTATAAAGGTTAACGAATAAAGTATTTAAATAAAGAAAAGAAGTTAAATATAAGTAATTATTAAAAGATTATTTAATATTAATTAAGTTAATAAATAAAAATATATATAAGATTAATATATAAGTATTAAATTATGAAATTTAATTAAAAATGCCTATTAAATATAAGCTGGCAACTTAAGTGCTTGCAAGGGGAATGGCTTGCATTATTACCCTTAAAGGTGAAATTCCTAATATATAAATATTATTATTAAAAAAATCTTAAATATAAAATATTGCTTTTAAAAGAAATATAATTAAAAGTTAATTAATTATATTATTTTATAAGGTAATTTATAAGTAATTAATAAAAGGGAATTAAACTTTTATTAATTTAATATACTTTTTGCTAATAAATATAAAGATTAAGTTGCTTTAATAGTTTTTTCTTTGCGATTTTATTATAATTAAGTTAATTTATTACTTTTCTTTATTAACTTTTATAATAATATATTTCTTAATTTTAAAAATAAAAAATAATATTATATTTATAACTTATTAAATAGCGTAATAATAATATAATGTTTTTATTTTATATTATATATAAGGCCGGCGCAGCCTTAAGTTATTAATTGTTATGTAAATAAAAACAGTGGTTTTAAGTTTAAGTTTTAATTTAACTTTTCTTTTTTATTTAAATAAATAATTACTCTTAATTAATATAGCCTTATATTTTAATTATAATTTTATTAATATTTATAAGCTGCTTAAAAGTTTTATTAAGCATACCCTTTATAAAAGCATTTATTAAATTATAATTATTAGCAATTTATTAAATCTTAAAGATCTTACATTTCTTATATAATTATTAAAGTATTATTAAGTTAATTATAAAGCATTTTTCTTTAATTATATTAAGCTTAATTAAGTACTTATATAAAGAGTATAAATTTATATAAACTATAAAAAGAATAATATTAATGCTAAGATAAATAATAATTTAATGCAAAGTAATTATTAAAATAATGTTTATATTAAATTTATAAATTATATTATAAATCTTAAAAGCTAAAATGCTTTTAATAACTCTTTTATACTTAATGGAAAATTAATAAATAATATTGCTATAAATATTTAATTTTATAAAGCTATTGCTTTAAGTTTTATTAATAAGAGTAATAATAAAGCTTATTTAAAAGCTAAAATCTTAATTATTAATAAAAGAATTATTAATAAAGATAAGCAATTTAGCTATAATTAAGTTAAGTAATATATATTATATATTATATTTAAAATAATTAGCTTATTATTAAAGCTTTTTATTAAACTTAATATAATTTTTTTATTTAAATTAATAATTTAAATAATTATA